GAAGCACAAAAGGTTTCGAAATTTTAAATGTTACTCAGCGATATAAGATAATCATTCCATCCTAAATTATTCTAGGAAAATTTTAACCATGGTATATTTTGTTTATTTCCATAACTAAAAATGCATGTCGGGCCTAACTTATATGTTAGTTGAAATTAATTAGTTTAACAACAAAATGTTTTTTTTTTTTTTTTTTTTTTAAAGAAAAGAGAGAAAGTATTTAAAAATTAATTTTCCAATAATACAACACAAAAGGTTCGAAATTTAAATGTTACTCAGCATATAAATAATCATTCATCCTAATTATTCTAAAAATTTAACATGTATTTTTGTTTATTTCCATAACTAAAATGATGTCGGGCTAACTTATATGTATTGAAATTAAATAGTTAACAACATGTAATTAGTATCATATATATATATATATACAAATCCTGCTTTATATAATTTAAATTAGTTGCCATGGAATTTAAATTAAATTATTTTTTAATACCTCAATTATGGATTAATTTCACTGGTGAAACTTCAATTAAGCCCTCCATACTTAATTGTATTTACACTTTAATTTCTAACTTAAAAATTCTCTAAAAATATCTCCAATGCAACGAATGTGTTTTAATAAATAGAAGTTGTGGATGATGATGTAACTGAATGTATATTTGTAGATGTTAAATTTTAAAAATGGTTCTTCAATGTACGAAGAAGAAATCAGTTTCAGCGCAAGAATAAGTTTAAGCGCAAATAATGGAAAATGCATAAAGGAATAAAAAAATAAGAAAAAAATGAATAATAGAAAAAAAAGAATAAAAAGTTGAATCACGTTGTTTAACAGACCCTCTGAAAATAGAGAGCGTGGTAGACAATATCTCTTTTGTTTTTAATATATTAGACTCACAATTTAAATAAATAATTAATAATATTGGAGAATATTTTTATTTTTAACTTTTAATTTTGGAGACATGTCAAATAAATTACCACAACGAAAGGTTACATGGGTAATGTTCTAATTTCAATTGTGCAATACTATGGATGCCTTCACCGTTTCAATTGATTCTGGCGCCAAAGAGACACGTAGGACTACATGTAGACTTTTTAATTCAATTAAATTAACTTAAAAAGAAACGTTTTATTGAATTTTTTGATTAAATACCTTTGTATTGAATAATTGATTATCTTTGGGTAATTAACAACATTTATTTGTTTTTATTCAATTAATTATTTTTTTTTTTTGTAAAAACTTTCATTTTTTATCAATTAATTAACTTTGAATAATTAAAAATTTTCTTTTGTTTTTATTCAATTAATTACCTTTTTTTACAAAATAAAATTTCCTTTATTTTTATCAATTAATTAAATTTGAATAATTAAAAACTTTCCATTATTTTGATTCAATCAATTACATTCTTTATTTAATAATTAAAAAATTTCCACATGGCTTTCCGGCATAGGAAAATTAATCAAAATAGGTAAAAGCATTTTTAGTGTTGCATAATTGAATTTGAAATATTTTTAATTTATAAATTGAAGTGCATTCACAATTAAATATTGGAGCCTAAGTTGATAAACCACAAATGAAATTAACCCTTTCCTTTCAATTACGTCGAAGCAAAAAAATGCTAAAAAGATTATTGTTATTAATCCAGAGAAGTATGCAATAATATTGCCAAAATCCTCAATTTTTTACAACAAACATAATAGTTCTCCTTTAAATTTTAAATTATCATAAATTTTTTGTGAAAAATATATCAAGGTAATTTATGAATTTAGTAAGAAGTAAAATATTAAAAGGGAAATCACAAGTAGTTACCGTTAGTCTTGATTTTCATATTTTAGATGTAATCAAAGATAAATTATCTACAGAAAGATTAAAGATTTGCAAATAAAAAAAAATATTTATATAAAATTTAAATTTTTATCAATGAAAAATATATAGAATAATAAATAATTATCTTATTGATTTTCTACATAAGTACGGTACCCTTATCTTACTTATCATCCCTATTTCCTAGCAAACAACCAACCCAAACCAAAGAGCAAGACTCTAGTCTCTACAAGCCTACTATCCAGAGGTGTCGTGAGCTACTCATATAGCCATCCTATTCCTACACTGCAGCAATAGGAAAATCACTCTTTTTTCTTTTTTGTTGAATAACATAAAAAGCTATTTTAACCTACTGACAAAGCTACCACACGCATCAGAAAATTGCGCATGCGGCATGCCCTATTAACCCTGCCACTCTTAACAAATCAAAAGGCGTTAAGCTTCTGACGACATTAACAAGTATCAGAATCTTAAGATACCACCAATACTATATGACGTATTGGATTTGGACTTAATTCTTGTGTCGTTTTCTATGGCTTTTTGGCTATTGGCATCAATCCATCTTCAATATTCACCCCCTTTTACCTATAAGATGTTTCAAAATTAACCCCTTTTACCAATAAGACATTGTATTAGTGGAAATAGATAAAATGTTGGCTAAATTTTTACATCTGTTGTTAGGAAATTTTACCTAAATATTAATTCCGAAAATAAAACCAAAAAAAAAAAAAATTAACCCCTTTCACTCTTTTTTTAGTTTATATCATAAGTGTTCTAATATATTAGTTTAAATTTAATTTTATTTGCATCGACATTCTCCTGTATATAAGAAAAACCTTCGATAATGATTTTTTCCATCCATAAAAATCCTAACAATGATTTTCTCTGTCCAGAAAAGTCAAAGATTTGACTTCTGTTTAACAGACCAAAATCATAGTAACCTCTTTATCTTTGCTAATTAACGTTAAGATTAATTTAAATAATTTTTTTAAGAAAAATAAATGGTTGTAAGGGTACAGCTCAGAGCTGCACCGTTAATGAATTCAAAGAATAAAAAGAAAAAAGAAAGAGAAAATTCAATCGTTACTGGTTCTGTACTGGTGGGAGGCAACGTGGAAGAAAGACAGGGTATAGACAGAGTGGGACCGGGTAGTGATGTCGACGTGACCCGGGTTCAGAGGAGCAATGGTTTTTAGATTTCTGGTCCCGACCACGATCTTCAAATTCTCCGCTTGCCATTCCGCTATAACGGTCACCTTCTCTTCATTAATTTTGTTCCTGCCGTCGCCCGCCGCCCCCACAACAATGACCTGAAATATTCAAATTCCATATTGCCATCCAATCCTATAAATAATTAAACAGCAATCTTAAGCAAAAAGATTAATGGCGTTTTCTCTAATTTGTACAGGCAATTTCATAACACTCGACTATGGAAATTTTTATCTTATCGGCCAGTATGGCAGTTTTTTGGCCGGTGATGGAAACAGCACCAACACAAAGTGAAAATATTAAAAATTTTGGCTCTATTTGGGTTGCAATGTCACAAACAAAGGAGGATTTTAAAAATATTGTACGGCTTATTAATTATGACTTGAAATTACTATTTACCCAAAAAAATGATTGAAATCTTTTTCAAAAAAAAAAAAAAAAAAATATATATTTTTTAAAAGATTATTGTACGGCTTTATGGTAATTATGTATCTTGAAATTAACTATTTACCCACAAAAATGCATTGAAATCTTTTTCCAAAAAAGAAAAAAAAAAAAAAAAAAAAAAAATATATATATTGAAATAAAATTCTAAAACAAAAGATGGGAAATTCATTATTATTGTTGTCCATGATAATTGATTCTTGTTTTGTCTAGAATTATTTGATATTTTTTTTAAGAATATCTGTCAATTTTTTTAATCAAGTATTAAGGAGTATTAATTTGAAAAAAATAATTTTATTCAAGACATTAAATTTTATCTACATTATTCTAATTCTAATATATTAATACTGAAAGCTACTTTCAGTAAGAATTAAATGAAAAAAGTTATTGAATACATATTAAGGGTGGTTTGATTTAATTATTCATCACCAACCGATGTTAAAACATAGAATGATGATGTAATATAACTATTAATAACTATTTAATAATATATTATATATATATATATAATAATATATATATATATAGTATATATATCATGTGATATATATATCATGTGATATATGATATGTGTATATGTATATATATAATTTGTAAAGTTGATATATTATTTTCTATTTTAATGTATTATATAAATAAAGAACGTTAACTAAATTTCAAAATAATATTGCACAAAATATTATTTTTTAAGTAAACATGAATAAAATGATAAAAGTATTAATTTGAAAAAAATATTTATAGTTATTTTTATGAGGTTAACGAAGTTTAAATATGACGTAAATACAAATTAACTACTCGCCGGGATGAAATGATCAATGATTTACAATAGATCAGCTGAATGAGTTGAAACAAAAAGCCTTTTTAATTAAATAAATTAAAGAATTATGAGATTATTTGTATTCTCAAAAGGAAAATGGCCTACAATTTAGAATAAATGAAAGAGGCAAACAAGTCTATCTTCATGGAACAAATAATTTTTTTAATTTAACCTTTATTTTAACTAGACATAATTTAATTATTTTTTAATAACTTAAAAAAGAAAACCAGAAAGCAGCGTACCAATTAATAAGATGAAAGGACTAAACTGAAAAAAAAAGGGTATTTCAGTCCCAGCACCAAAAAGCTGACAGATATGAACCAGACCGGAATCAAGTGCTGTCAGATAAAAAAAATACTGTACTATTTATTTATGAAATTAATCATGGTTTTCCAGCAGTTAATTTTTAATTTTTGAGTTAATATTTTAATTTATTAAAATAACGATACAAACAAGTAACGAAAAGAAAAAAAAAAAAAAAACCAAAAAAAAAAAAAAAAACCCCGATACAACCGTGAAGGGTATCATGAGAGAGAGAGATAAGACGAGGAGAGAGAGATTAAAAGAGTAAGAAAATAAAAATATTCAAAAAACAACACACAGATAAAAAAAAAAAAAAAAAAAAAACCGATACACCGTGAAGGGTATAGAGAGAGAAAGAGATAAGACGAGGAGAGAGAGATTAAAAGAGTAGAAAATAAAATATTCAAAAACAACACACAGATACACAATACATAAACACAATACATAAACACAGCACTAGAAGGTTAATTTTCAAAACAAGGAAGAAACCGAATCAACAAAGACCGAGAGCTCTCTCTTTCTTTTTAGGTGCCATTGAAACCCTATCAACAGAAGAAGACGCTTTTCATTCGGTCAGGAATCAATTAGTCCATTGAATCGAAATTTCTCTTCTGCCCCGCCTTCTCTCGCTCTCTCCATCGCCGGAGAGGTTGATCCCAACTTAGAATGGCAAACGAAACGCCGCCTGATCACAACCTTCAACATCTCCAATCTGCTAGGGTTTCAAGTCCAACATAACGTTAAGAGCGGAAAACGAATTCGTTTTTTTTTTTTTACTAGTCTGGAAATTAATTTCTTTTTGTAAATATTATTTGAATCGGACGGGGTGTTACAAGTAGAACAACGCCACATGGCGCCGGCTAAAGGATGTGTGTTAGTGTTGGATAAAGCCAGGAGGTGTATACGGACGGTGATCTTCATGGTAGCGATGGTTGCATCGCTGCTTGTTTCTTCTATGCCGGTGCTGGTGGCGATTGGAGATGTATTGGTGCCGTGCGTTTTGGTTTCGAGTTTTACTTGTTTGAGTTGCTATGGATTTAAGGAGCATTTGCACAGATACGCCCTTAAGAGTTCCTTGACGGATATTCCTCTCGTTTCCGTAGTCAGATCTCTTATCATCATCTGTACGTTTTTGTCTTCAGAACTTATTTTTCTTTTCTGTCATTGTAATGATTTTTTTCTTGAAATATATAGATTTAACGTTTGTTTTGCAGGAATCAAATTTGAATTTATATTTTATCCTTTCGAAAAATCTTTATTATTCTTTTGCTTGTTCATTTGATTTTTTTTAAATGTTCTAATTTAACTATTGATTTTGAGAATTGAGAGGAGGGGGAGTTTTAATTTGCTGTGTTTTAATAGTTACAGAAATGGAAATTTCTAACTTTTATCAATAATAAACAATGTTTTAACAATATTTTTTGTCCTTTTATGGACATCAAGTGTGATGACTGCATTTATTTTTCCTATTTTGCGCTTTTGATATTATTGGACTTTATTTTTGGTTTCTGAGAAATTGAGCAGATGCGTTTATTTTTTAGGTAATGTATAGTGGGAAAGAAGGTATTCTGGAGTTTAAGTTTTACTCCTCCTTAATACCTGGAAAGGGATTGGAACCTAGTCATCAGATGACATTGTCTTCTTGTAACATATTTCAAAAGCTGATAAATGCTCTTCTGAGTTATACAAAAGTCACAGTAGATTTTTGATTGATTATTTTTTCTAGCATATAGTAATCATAGTTGAGCAGATGAGCCTTTTGTGGATGTTGAGTTAAAGTTGATATGTCTGTTGTGGTAGTATTTATTATTTGCTGTCTAATTTCTGTGCATGTTTGTTTTCCAACGATTGCAGGTGTTTATTTGATGTGTGATGCTCCTGCTCTTTCACATGGCCCTTACCTTGGAACTGTGACACTCTGCTCTGTTGTTTCAGTTCTTCTTCTTTCAGTTAAGGCTTGTGTTTTCACCATGAATTCTCAAATTGAGGCTCAAGCTTCGTCTTCCCTTTCAAGACAAAAACTTCATTTGAAGAAGTCGTGGGGAATGCCTGTCTTGTTTCTGTCATCAGTGGTTTTTGCTCTTGGCCACACTGTGGTTGCTTATAGAACTAGCTGCAGAGCACGGAGAAAGCTTTTGTTTCACCGAGTTGACCCAGAAGCTGTAAGTTATTCTTTTGGTTGATGATAGCCTCTACTAAAATTCAATATATAAATATTTGCTTTTCTTGCAGCTAATTAAACTCAAATTGCAGGTGCTGTCTTGTAAAAATGTTTTCTCTGGTTACCAGAAGGTGCCACGATCTCCCACTCCTACTGCAGGAAGAACACCTAAAAGCGACAGTGAAATGAGGCGAAAGCCTTTTGGCATGGTTCATGATGAAGGGGAACTACCTATCAGATTGCTTGCTGATATTGACAGCTTATTCCTTACATGTCAAGGGCTTACAATCCACTACAAGCTATGCTTGCCTGGTTCACCCCCTCGTTCTTTATCTTCTGCAGCATTTTTTGAGCCTTCTCCTGGCTGTAGCTCACCAAAGATGACAGTTGGAAGGCTAAAACTTGAAAGGCAGCCATTCAACATGTTGAAAACACAGCATAATCTTCATAGAAGTTATAGCAATCAGTTTCATAGCTCTTCTCTGTATGCTCCACTATTGGATGTGTCTCCAACTTCTCCTGTTCTTTCTGAAGAAATTCCTGTTCTGACCCTAGATGCTGCTTGTGAGGAGAATGAAATGAGTACAGTGAACTGTGGATCTTCCGAGCAGGATATGGTGGAAAGTGGCCAGTTTGGTATTGTTTTAGTTCATGGCTTCGGTGGAGGAGTCTTCTCATGGAGGCATATGATGGGGGTTCTTGCCAGGCAAGTTGGTTGCATGGTTGCTGCTTTTGATAGGCCTGGTTGGGGATTAACATCTCGGCCTCGTCGGAAGGATTGGGAAGATAAAGAATTGCCGAATCCATATAAGCTTGAAACTCAGGTTATTTACCTATGCTATTCTGTAGTTCTATGCAAATAGTGCAATAGTGGGTAGGAGATCAAATGAAGATAAAGTTCTGTAAGCATTTTGGATAGACCCAACTGCCCAACTGTACTTTTGTCGATGTCATGCAATATCACACAGTATAGACAATAAACAAATGTATGAAGATACTATGCACTACTGAATTTGATTTCATTGCATTAGAAATATCCCTCTAGTTTGATTTTACTATTGCCATTCATAGTTTTTAAATTATTATTTGAATGTGGATGTAAATTATGGTATAGTTTTCTTCTAGTACTATCTCCTATTAGCTTGGGAGTGAGAAGACTTAGTTGTTGTTTTCTTTTAATAAGCAGTTTTGCATAGTTGCAATGAATTGATTTTGCAGAACTTCAATGGACACCCATCTGCTATTTTCATGACGTTATTTTGTCTTTTTCATTGTGAGAGTTAATTGTTTTATTTAAAGTTCGTTTCTGTTTTTACATTTTTCAGGTTGACCTGCTTCTTGCCTTCTGTTCTGAGATGGGATTTTCCTCAGTACTGCTTGTTGGTCATGATGATGGAGGCTTGCTTGCTCTGATGGCTGCACAAAGACTTCAAACATCAATCAATTCTTTCAATGTACGTAAGATTTCTTTGTTTTCAACAGACATTTTTCATTAATTGAAAATAAGTTGTGGTTTAGATTAAAAACGCAATATTAGAATTTGGGAAAAACTGCGATGCAAGTCCAACAACAGAGAATAGAATGCTTGTTTTTTCCACAACCTGGTCTGCACTGGGTTTTACGAGAGATGTGATAGAGATGAGTTCTGAAGGATCTTGGGGCTTGCATTACACTTACTGGAAAGATGGAGCTAATAAGGATCTTGGCAGCTTTTGTTTTATTTGTTATGACTTTGTTTGGCATTTACACTTGTTCATGCTATCTGTTTCTCTTCGACTTTCATATTCTTTTAATGCTTTGTCATGTTATCAGTTTTTGCTTGGTTGATTTTTTCATTCTGTAAATAAAAGTTTGGACAGGATATTTTTAAAAAAGAGAATGGAAAAAAAATCCTGCTTTAGCACTTATATTTATTTTTAGTTTGTCGATGAGCTTGATATTTTTATTATGTGGTCTTGTTATTATTATTTACTTTCAACTAATTTTACAAATTTAGACTATGACAGGAGAACATTGCAAACTGATTATTAAATAACGATAGACACCAGTTGTAATTTTGGGTATTTGGTTGAGATGTCTGTACTTTTCTCATTTCCCATATGATTGCGCATCATGCAGGTAACAATAAAATCGATAGTATTGCTAAATGTTAGTTTGTCAAGAGAAGTGGTTCCTGCCTTCGCTAGGATACTCCTTCGCACTTCACTCGGGAAGAAACACCTCGTTCGCCCTCTTCTTCGGACAGAAATTGTTCAAGTGGTGAACAGGCGTGCATGGTATGATGCAACCAAGCTTACACCAGAGACTTTAAGCCTGTACAAGGTATGCTTGTGTCTAAGTTAATTGAATACAGTTCTTTGCTTTTAAAATTCAATACGCTGCGACATCTTTGCATTTGTTTGGCTGACCCGGTGTGCTGTCAGGCCCCATTATATGTGGAAGGTTGGGATGAAGCACTCCATGAGATAGGTAAATTGTCGTGTGAGACTGTCCTTTCACCACAAATTTCTGCATCATTGCTGAAGGCAGTAGAAGACATGCCAGTTTTAGTCATCACAGGTGCTGAAGATGCCCTTGTCCCTCTTAAATCATCCCAAGCTATGGCTTCAAAACTTGTAAATTCTGTAAGTTTCTTTCTCCCCTTCTCTGTTTCATGGGTTCCTATGGTACTGAAGTATTTAGACAAGAGCGAATCCACGAAAAAGCTAAGTGCTAAAAAAAGCAACTTTATATTGTTTCTGATTATTGTTTCTTTATCTCACAGAAAGATTAAATCCCTAATCCATTTATTTTATTGGTATTTATGTTTCTTTGCTTTGTTGAATATTTAGAGGCCATTACAGAAATCCAAATAGCATGCAATTGAATCACATAAAATCAAATCTGATACCTAGAGTAGTGCTAATCAGATGAAATCAAAATGAAGAAGTTCGAAACTGGAAATATATCACTTAATTGATTGTTGTTTTTGTTTATTTCCATGCAGAGACTGGTCGCCATTTCTGGATGTGGGCATCTTCCACACGAAGAGTGCCCCAAGGCATTACTTGCAGCTATGTCCCCGTTCATAAGCAGACTATTGTTGCAAACAGATTTGGAGAACCAATAGGATACCCTTTCTTTTTTTAACTTATCGATTAGGCTTGTATCTTGTTTAGGTTTTTTGTTTTTTTTTTTTTTTTTTTTCATAAACAGATTTGGAGAACCAATAGGATAATCCTTTCTTTTTTTAACTTATCGATTAGGCTTGTAATCTTGTTTAGGTTTTTTGTTTTTTTTTTTTTTTTTTTTTTTAAATTCCTTTTTTTTTTTTTTTTTTTTTTTTTTAAATCCCTTCCTCCCTCTCTTTCTTCTTCTTCTCTTTTTTTACCAAGCAATTTACCCTAGAGAGGGATTAATGTTTATGCCTTTTCTTTAGGGGGTATTTTTGGTGTTCTATTTTCAAGCCTTATCCAAGCCCTGATTCCCCAGGGTTTATAGCTTCCTCATTTTGTAATTTTTTAAAAAATATTTTCTCTTATAATTTTTCCTTGTGAAGATCCAAGCAATTGAAAGCATGTGGAAAGTTGCTGCTGTTCCTGTTGAACTGAACTAGTCTTACCTTCTGTGTAAATAGATCTCTTTTTCTTCCCTTTTTTTTTTACTTTTATTCTTTTTCAGGGTTGCGGGATTAGATTTATGCCATGGGTATTATAAATCACAACTAGGTTCAGGAATATAATAATGTATCGGGTTTATTCAATGAGCGTTCGTTGTCGTTTAAAAATAATTTCAAGACAACATTTCCCAAGAAAAAACACGTTCAAGAAAAGGGAGTGTGGCTTACATGCTCGACCTGAGGAAACAGTATTGGACAAGAAATTTTGCAGACATAAATTATGAGCAACTAGTCTAATCGAAAATCGAATCTGTCTGTACTCAGGTAGAACTGCATTTTTTACAGTACAGTGGGCCGTGGGAAATGGTCCCCCAATATTACCTAATTAATTGTTGAATATTTTGTTGTGCATTTCAATTTCAATCACAATACAGACAGTATCACAATTTCTTTTTCTTTTTTTTTTAATATTCCTGGAGGATCTGTTAAACGAAATGGATATTTATTATTTTTGGTGTTTGATTGTATGAGAAATTATGGCTTAGGTGAATAAAAGAAAAAAAAAAAAAAGATGAAAGATGATTCAAAATTAATACATTTCAAGGATATTTTGAAAATTTAAAATCTATTGAACATGAATATTAATATTATGAAAAAAGATTTTAAACGGATTTTGGGTTGGGTTGCTGTATCAAAATTTATAAGCAGATATTATAAAATTTTAAAGGAATTTGAGATGGGAAGTGAGTATCAAAATTTATAAACGGATATATTATATTATATTATTAAGAGATTTGAAATAGACGTGAGTATTGAAATTTATAAGATGTAGGTGAGTATTGAAATTTATAAACGGGTCTGAATGTGGATAGTAGCCAATCAAACTTCCATCTCTAATCGAGTAATTGTAATCAAATTTACTTGTATCTTCACGACTGACGAGTGATTGGTCAAACATTCTGCCACTGCACGTCTTGTACGAGCGGGTGAGACAGCGGTTTTCCTCAGCTCATCCATTCCATTTCCATACAGTGTAGGTTCACAAGAATTCGTCTCCTATCGTCCTCAACGAACCGCCGCGTCCCACGTCCTAGTCGCTTCCGCATTCGGATCGTTCTTTATTTGTTCTCTGCCAGAAGTTTGGGTTTCAGTAAGTGAGAAAATACTCGGCCTCACCCGCCTATGTTCATTTCATATGCACCACCTAATCATCCCTTTTCTATTTTCGTTATTGTTTTATCTTTTCTTTTCTAATAAAAAATATCAATAATAATTTGAATTTCTTTGCGCATATAGACTTAGTTCAAAATTCCCTTAAAAATAAATTTTAATATTTTTATTCATATTTTGTTACAATAATTTTCTTAAGAACTCAAATAAATATATAAATAAAGTTGATTAATTTTTCTTTTATAATAACTTAAACTACATCATTATGACAAAAACTTCACTATTTTTCCTTTTAAAAAACTCTTGTTAATGTTCTCGGAAAATTTTTTTAAAACATTGTTAACTATTTAAAATTTTTTCAACTAAGCCAAAAAAATAAGAATCCCCGTAATAGTCAATTTAATAATAAATGAATTCTAAATATAATTTATTTATACAATTGGCTCCCGGATTTCGTTCCGCAATTAGAAGAAGATCGCTTCGGAGGTCGCTATGGCGTGGCTGAGTGTAGAGCAATCCGCCCGCACAGTCTTTGATCAGTAGATTATTTAGAACTTCCGAAGATGGGAAAGGTCTTCCGAACTAATTTTTTATTTATTCGAAATAAAGGATAAAAATAATATGAAATTAAATTTCAAAAATAATTTTCTCAGCAATTCAAATAAATTCACAAATAAGTTCATCAATATTTATTTTCCTTTTATTGTTTATCATATATAATGTCATTAAATAGGTTGATTGGCCTACAGCTAATCCAGGTGTAGGACTCCCCCCTCCCAAAAAACAAAGCAAGTCTTCTTTTTCTGCAACGACACAGTCGCTATAATAAAGGGTTGCCATCTTTGGTATGAGAAGCACATGAGACTATTTTCCTTAAAAACAAAAAAGACAAAATAGTGTATTACACGCTCCCAAAACCGGCGCGTCAAAGAAAATACAAATAGAAAACCTGAAAGGCGCCCTTTGACACACTGCTCTGTTAAGAGTGCATCACAATAGTACGGTCCTTCAGTTGCCATTTTGAGTGAAGGTGAGCACCCTGCACCATCCACAGCGTATTTTAGCATCATCTTTGCATTTAAACATATACATACGCTTTGCTCTGTTCGATTATCGAGGGGGAAGCGCTGTGGTCGAGATTTTGGTGCTATAGCTTCTTTGCATTTTCTACTTGGTAAGGTAAGTCCCTCTGTTTGGAATCATCTCCATTGTTTGTTTCTCTTTGATTCTTCACTTTGGAACTTGCTTAGGTAAAAACGTGTTTGCTTTCTTCGTGGCGTTTGATTTTCTTCTACATAAACCTATCTCTCTGCTTTCCTTTCTTTTCTTTGCGACATTATGGGTTTATTTCTGTGTTTTAATATATTAGAATTTTCATTTGCATGCAAATGAATGATTTCCATCCATAGCTTTTTGGTTTAATTTCATTCGTAAACATTGAACTTTATTGTTTAATTTCAGTATGGTAACTGTATTTCAATTTGTATCAGCATAATCACTCAATTTTAATTTTGTTTCATTGTTCTTCCAATTTTTGTTGTTAAATTTTGTTGAAGGCTATGGCATTCTTGCTGTCACATTATGAAAATATTTTGTTTATTATTATTGTATTATGTTGCAGTCTTTTTTGGTTTTAGAAGTATGGCTTAGATAGGTTAAGTATGAGATAAGTTACGAAGGGGAAAAAGTATGGGCAAGTATGGGATTGACAGCAGGTTACGTATGAGATACAAGTTACGAAGGGCCGCAAAAAGCTATGGCCAAGTATGGGGATTCGACACGCAACCCAATACCTTGGTAACTCCTCAATCTTCCTTTGGCTATCTTAACCGTGTGAAACTTGAACTCCAATGAATGATGCTCAACATGTGCAACATTCTTTAAGTGTGAAACTTGATCAATGAATTATGCTCACTGTGCAACTTCTATTTCATAATGTTTTTCATAATCCTTCTCCGTTGAAGTCTAAAATCTGCAGATTCTTTACTGCAGAATTTGTTTTGTAAAAGTTCTGCAGATAATGTTATTTTCTCCTTCACTTCTTTGCCCAAAACTCCATCAAAATTTTTGTGGAGGTTGAGCCAGTTTTTTTATGCGATGACTAAGTATGTCAATACTATAGCTTATAAATTTACATTACAAATATTTTACTAGGTTGTTTATCTTTGAAATATGGTTGAAATTGGATGATTTTTTTCAAACTAATTGAAGTTTAGGGACTATGTTAAAATTAGTAACGCAGAAATTAGACAGTTGCTTTCTAACCAAGCTTCAAATTTCTATCCTTATTATAAGTTTTAACTTAAATAAATGAAATTAAACATTATGTCTACATGTCTTGCTTCCTTATATTCAATTCGTGGGCTAAATATTTAAGAAAATGAATTATTGTATTTAGTGAAAATCTGAATCACCTATAGTTATGCCTTTCATATTGTATTATCGTTCTTTGACTTTCTAATCCTCATTTCATTTTTTTTTTTTTACCCTATAATTCAAAATTGACTTTGATGTGCAACTACATTGCATATACAAACATTTTGTGTGTGTATAATTGTAGCTTATTAAGGATACTTATATTTCTTTCCATCATTGGTTTAATAGGTCTACACCTGATAGCTGACTAAATATTCCTATTGGGAGACAAAGGCATTATGTTGCTTCATAAAGACCCAAATGGAGAAAAGGCTCATATTTTTAAGTGGGGTGTCAAAAGGGGAGTTGGTCGAACGAACAAAGATATCCACTTTTACGAGTCATTTACTTACCATGGTGTGGAATACTTTCTTTATGATTGTGTTCATTTTCAAGACATTGGCACTGTTGAGAGTTATATTGGCAAGCTTGTGAAAATATATGAGACTCCAACACATGAAAAGAAAGTAAAGGTGGTATGGTTCTTTCGTCCTGGTGAAATACGTAATTTTTTAGGAGATTATGAGCCAAGGTGGAATGAGATATTTTTAGCATCTGGCGAGGGTAAAGGTCTTTCCAACATTAACCATTTGGTAAATCATTTGCCAATCACATCTAGTTTGTACCTTCTTTTGTGTTCACTACCTGTACTTTTGCATGTGATGTCTAGTTATTCTATTTTGTGCTTTATCTACGTTATGATGTTACTGAGAAGCTATATGCAGTTGGCATTGTAATTAAGAAATTTTCCTATGGTAGACAAGTTTCTGGATTATATAGTTTTTGGCAATCGTGAATTAGTTTTGAGTTTTGAACAATATGCTAGTATTGTTTTGTTTTTTATAGTCAAGGCTTTTATTTGAGAGGGATTGGATGTTATTTTTGTGAATCATGCATGAGGGGGATGATAAGGTACGAAAGTCCCATAACTAATCTCTAATAAATAGAAAAATATGGAGTCCATGCACCCATGGGAAGATGCATGATCTAATATTTAGGTTTTGGGGGTAGCGTTGATACATATACTCACTTCTAATTGTTAGTGCTTGAGACAATCTTTTTATTTTTGAAAATGAGGCGCTAAAGAACATGACTTCTTGCTATTCATTGAGGTATGGTTTAAAATTTTGATGAGAAAAATCTTTCCTATTTGCATGGGAGAGCAACGCCTCATGTGTGTGAATGATTTTTTCTTATATGGTGTAAGACTTCTTTTATTGGGTATTTCCTGTTTGAGTGAGGAGTTATATTGGATTAGAGGAACTGTCTCTAATAATAAGAGCATTATAAATATGAGTTCTTTGGATTTTCTAATCTGAGTGAGAGGTTGAGGTCCAATAGGAAGGGCCTCTTGGCCATTCTGAAGTGGCTTGGGTTATCAAGAAAGAATCTAAGCTCTCAAAGTTTGATTTTCTACAAAGTAGGTTTGGATTTTTTTTTTTTTTTTTTTTTTTTTTTTTTTTTTTTTTTTTTTTTTTTTTTTTTTCTGGATTTTTTTTTTTTTTTTTTTTTTTTTTTTTTTTTTTTTTTTTTTTTTTTTTCTTTTTTTTTTTTTTTTTCATCTTTGGCTTGGCAGGAAAAAGTTGTATAGTTAGTTGGAATTTCCTTTTTTACCAAAACCTATATAATTCTAAGCTAATTGCAAAATAAAGCATTTGTTAACATTGCTTCAAAATTGCGATGATAATTTTTTTTTTTTTTTTTTTTTTTTTTTTTTTTTTTTTTTTTTTTTTTTTTTTTTTTTTCATCTTTGGCTTGCAGGAAAAAGTTATAGTTAGTTGGATTTCCTTTTTACCAAAAACCTATATAATTCTAAGTAATTTGCAAATAAAGCATTTGTTTAACATTTGCTCAAAATTGATGATAATTATTTTGCTTCTAGAGTATTAATCTCTATGTAATGGCTCTTCTTCTTTATTTTTATATTTAAATGTATACTGTAATAAGTTATTAGTCATATCTATCTTGAAGGGCCTAAAATTGGTTGTGTTTTTGGATGTTGCTCATTTCAGGAAGCCATTGTCGATAAATGCAATGTTATTTGTGCATCATCTGACAAGAGAAATCCTCAACCAACTGAGCAAGAGTTAAAATTGGCTGAGTACATTTTCTATTGTTCTTTTGATGTCAGAGAATGCAAAATACTGAAGAACTTTGCAGATCATATAGATGGAATCAAAGGTTAGTTATTAAAATTTTTAACAAATTATTATCAGGTAGTTGGAAAAAAATAAAGGATTTTATTTCCATCAATTTTTTGTTTCAAATTTTTCTGATTTGCAATTATGATCTTTTATCAAAATTTTATTACTTTTTGCATGGGTATGATTTAGGTTATTTTGGTGATGTTATAGCACTTTTTTAACTATCAACAATGAGACGTTCAAATAAACATATACTAGCTGGACCCTTTGTTGCAATGCAAGGTACTGTTATCACGAACATTTTATCAAATCAAACTTGCTTATCAGCTGCTTCTAAAATTTTTGAAGTCAAACATGTTTATTTAACTCAATAAACAAGCTTAGGTTAACTTTTACCAAGCTTGTTTTTAGGAGTTTTTTTGTTAAGTCTACTGATTTGCTTACACCCCAAGGTATAATTAATAAAATTTCAACAAATCTTGAATGAAATATGACCTATATGAATGCTATTAAAAATAGTAAGAGACTAAATTAGAACGGGGATTTTGGTAAGTTACTTGACTATGCATGCAACGTTTGAAAAATAATGAACTACTAGCCTTTATCAAATAAATGATGTGTATGTTTTGAGAATGACCCTTGGTACAATAACAAAGTTTGTCTTTTGTGAATGGAAGGTCACAAGTTTGGGTCGTGGAAACAACATTTAGTAAGAAAGTTGAGGGAAGTTTGAAAATGCTTGGTCTACCGCTCCGGAATGCTCGCAAGGCAAGAAGCATCATGCATTGGGAAACTCGTTTCTTCGTGACCTTTTTTCTTTTTACTTAATTTCTTATACTAACAAGAGGGTGAATTTGGTGTAAGGGTAAAGTTACTCCACTTTTGACCTAGAGGTCATGGGTTTGAGCCACGGAAATAGCCTTTTTACAAAAAAGCAGGGGAAGTCCTCCCCAGAGCCCACACACGTGGGATGCTTCGTGAGCTAGGTTGCCCTTCTTATACTAACAAGTTGATTTACACTCCAAGTGCTTACTCATCTCTATCTATTGATTAACTTGTAGTTACACACGCATGGCTATTCTGTATTCTCAAAACTGTGGCACTAGTATTTTAGTAAAGTTTGTGCTTTTCTTTTACCATAAACCAAATAAGAGTTTTTGGGGTTTGAAAGCTTAAGGCATTGCTCATATGTAACATGGTATTTTGTTTTTGCTCATTGTATGAGCTTTTTATTTTTAATTTTTTCTTTCATTACATTTTTTCGGTTTTGGTTAGGTTGTTGAGAAACAGAAAGTATCACCTGAGCCAAGAACCTTACAATTAGATTTGATATATAAGTTTTCATTTTTCAAGTAATGAATAATTAGAATTTCTTCATGTCGTCTTCCTGAAGCCCCTGTTTTTCATCATGGGAGGAGTGTAATTATGGATTGAGGAAAGAGGAAAACAATCTGAAAGAGAAAAAGATAAGTAAGAAAGTAGCAGAAACATTGTAATGTTGTGGTTAGGTAGCCAACTCTATGCTTTTTATGTAGGTAATAGATCTTTTTCATAATATTATTCATGATCAGAGGTAATCATTTCAATTTTTTTACAGCAGACGAGAAAATAAAATCCTTTTCTTATGCTCGATACTCTAGCTTTTCACCACAATCTCAGTGCAAGGCCTGGTTGCTTGTGACCCAGTACTGCAATGTCCTCCAGCTTTATTTGCGTGTGAGGAGGTGTGCTGGAAGTATTTATATGGGGAATGTCCCTTTATTTCTTAAATCACCACACCTTTATATTCAAGTTTTTGACTGAAAACTTTGTACAACTTCAAAGGGGCCCAAACCATTGCACTTAGACTATCTAATTCACTGAACTAATACCTTGAAGAATGATGTAATGTCTGGCATATCTATATATCACTTTCAAACAGTGAAATGGCAGGTTACACATTCTTGAACTTTTATATATACATTTTGTCAGGAGTTACACTGTCTTGCAAGATACAAAAGAAGCATATATTAATGATTTGATGATTTATTATTGGTTATTGATTGTGAGAAAAATTTAAAGATATTTATGTTCTACAGTGGAACATTTTTTCAACAAAACAAAAGATAAGGTCATCTCCCAGCCAACTCTCAAGCTAGTTGTGAAAGGGAATGGTCATGAAGTAAGAAAGGGTAAGAGCAGCAGCAGTTTCTCAGTGGTTAAAGTTCTTTTTGATAATCCTTTCATATGTAGCAGTTGCACTTTTAAACTCAAGTTATTAGGCAAAATTACCTTTATTCAATATCTGTACAGAATCCAAGGAGGTCACAGCTGTTTTAGGTGAGCAAGAAGACATTTCCTATGAGCATGCCATTTTGAGCCGCAAAAGTCCTAATGACAGTGGTGGAACTGGTCCTAGCAAAATCCCATGCAGCCAAGTTGATGATAAAGCTAAAAAAGTTAGATCTTACAGGGATTCCTTTACTTTTGATACATCAAATATCCAGCCTCATAAGAAGAGAAAGTTATCTCAGGGTGAAAGGGAAGGAACTGTTTCTAACAAAGTAGGCCCTCGAGTTGCACTAGATAGGGGTGCCAAAACTGTCGGCAAGGTTACTACAAGACCAGACTCTGTAAGTTTTAACCAGGGTCTCCGCTTTTATGGCAGTCATATTTTTCGGAAAATATTTTTGGGGGTGTTGTAGAGTAATTAATATTGCTTTTCTTAAAAGGATATGTTATATAATTTAAGTATTTCTGAACCTGTTATACTATGGATAGATGAAGATTATCCATAATGATATTTGAATGGAAAAAAAGACAAAAGAAGTTATTTGAACTATATTTCCACTTGAAGATATGTTAATTAACTGCTGAGAATCTTTTTGCCCCTGGATAGTTATAATGGTTCATCTTGACCTTGATAGTAAGTTCTATTCTCTGGTCTTCTTCAAAAGCAAAATAATATGTTAAGACATTTTCCTACTTAAAACTTGCAAATTTTTTACTTAACTCATTTACGATTTTTGTGATTAATCAATTTCGTTTTCTAACCTACATTTGCAGGATAAAAGACATTGGTTCAAGGAAACAGTAAGTATCTTTTATGTCCCCGTTGACTTCCTCTTGACATTTGACCATTCTCTTAAATGGAAAAAAAATGCTTTTTCCCGTTTGAAAAGCCATTCTGTGCTGGTTCTTTAAAGCTTCCAATGATCATAGACTAAAATAAATATAGCAAATGGAAGAAAAAAGGAGAAAGGGAAACTTCAGTATAGAGTATATGCAGTAATAAGACTAACAGAACAGTTGTCGGCAGATGGAAGTTTTTGAACCCACAAAATCAATTTTTTCTAAATTTTATTTTATTATATTATTTTATGAAGGAGATCTTTACGTAGTTCTTAATTAATTTGCATTGTACACAGTAAGAGTTATATTCAGGTCTTCTAAGAAATTACCTCTGTCAATTACTATCCTCTCATCTAATGCATGATTTTTGGTGGTCTGAACTTGCACATACTTTTGTAAGACTTTCATTTTTAGTATTACTTAAAGGACATTTATTTATTTGATTGGAGAAGTCAATACCTGTTGATAAACATTTGTACTATCTCTGAGACCTCATTTATGTGCAAAACCACGTCAGTCTCTTGCTCTGTAGGATTTATGAAAATTTTGCAAGTAAGACACCAATGCCTTGAGATTTTTGATTTATTCAAAAGTAGAACGTGATGTGTTTATTATGCCTGGGAATATTAATAGGATAAATTATAAGGGGAGGTGATAATCCAATGCCAAAACTTTTACTTTATTTGATTGATTGTATGAGAACTGGTGAAGTGGGTATCATTGGTACCTCTGATGTACGATAGTGCTTTATGATCTATCTAGCACCTCCTGACCTCAGTCGACAGACAACAATAGTGAGCCTGTAAAAGTTGACCAACTGGTCATATGGATTTGGTTTTTGCATCAAAATTTCCGGGATGTCATGTTACTGGTGTAACCGAGTAGGAGATTCTATTTCACAGCGAGGACAGCCCAGCTGCTCCTATAGCAATATTAACATTTTATTGAATATGGATTTGTGTGCAGAAGTTTTTAGGACTTGTGACTGGCGGGTTCTCTTTATGCAGAACTAGTCTGCCTAGCATTGTCAATTTGTCAAGTCTATATCATAAAAATGATAAGTTACAGCTCTCGTTCAAGCTTAAAATTTAATATGTGCAAATCTTGCCATATTTTATATATGTTATTATTATTATTACTACTATTGCTATTACTGTTACTACTACTATTGCTATTACTGTTACTTTCCTTATTTAGACCTGGGGAGACAAATTGCGGATGGCTGAAGAAGCAGGTACCTTGGTTTTGCTTGAAAATTTGGATAGATCCATCACATCATCAGAAATAGAGGTATGAATGATGGTTCGCAATGCCAACGACTCTTTCTTCATGGAAAGTTATCTGCAGAATTTGTTGTCTTCATCTTCAGTGTTGCCATTGTTTTTGGTTTAGTACTCTTGGTTTCAACTCATGCAACTACTTGAACATTTGATTTACAATTATCACCCCATGTTGTGAATAGTAATTTTGATGTGCATGTCATTGCACTCGAAATCATATTTACCTTTATGGCTAACGTTTTTTGGACATACTCGACATACCTGAATTTGGTGACAATGTAGATGCTGGGGAATGATATTTTCCCTCCTGTGATGTGGTCCTCATTCATATTTCTCTTCTGCTTCAGGATCTGCTTTTGCATGCACTTAACCAAAGGGTTCAGGCAAAGGTGATCCATCACAGTACTTTCTCTAGCCCACAGAATGGTAAATGCATTCATCTAATCAATTATTTGGTAGTTCATCTTAAATTTATAAGTTGTAAGCTAAATATGCAAAGGTAACAGATTCAGGACTGGTATTGTCATATGCCATAACAGGTAAATGTTTAGTTATATTTGAGTCAAAAGATGCAGCTGACTCCTCAGTATCCAAGCTGCAGAGGAGCTGCCTAATGATGGCTGGAGGGAGGTACTCTTTGTGTTGGTCTCTTTACATTCTATCTCATTTCCCCTCTTTGTTTATGATTCTTGAAGTTCTTCTTGGAAGCAACTTAATAACTCTGGATGATTCACACATTTAGTCAACAGGCCATTGATCCATAAAGTAGAACTTGAATATTCTGTAATAGATTAAAAACATATCTGACTGACAACAATTTTTTATTGGCCTGTCTTTGTTGATGAAGTTCAAGATCCTGTAGCATTTCAATTAGTTGGTCTAGAAATTATCCTCAAGGTTTCATTGTATTCTGTTAAATGCATGAAGCCTGAGTTCTTGAGAATTAATGAAGCAAACTTAAATTGATCCTCATCAATGACAACGAGGATATATGAAGAAAATAACAATCAACACTAGTACATTGAGCATGCATATTTGATTTCTATCCAGCAATACAATTTTTAGATTGGTAGTGTATCAAATTCAATATCATTATGATGTACTTGCGGCTTTCGCTTTATTTGTAGACCTCTTGTTTGTAGCACGTTTTCTCTGAGGGATCCTGCTAAACCTGCCACATTCATGGGCCATATCTGTCTTTCCAGAATCAAGCGAAGGCAATCCGAAGAGATGGTAATGAATATCACCAAGCAGTTTATATTTTCTTTCCTTGTACTGCAGGTAACATTTCATTATTAATAGACTACCTCCTCTTCTTTCTCTCTTTCATAAGAGAAAAGCAGTGTCAACATCACACTTTTCCCAGCCCAATACCGTGGAACATGTTATGGCAATGGACTGGCGCGTGCTACAGGAGAAGTCTGATAATTGGTGGAAGCAATTACACATGGTGCTTTACACTATCCTAACTTTCGATTTCCATTGTGCTTGCACTTGTCATATGTACACATATTGATGTGTGTCTCTGTGCACGTGCATGTGTGAATGAGAGTGAAAGAGAACCTTCTCTTGAATTCCTCAAGAGCATTTTGTTGGATGTGTACGTCATCGAGCTTACTATTTGGATATGCATCTTCCATTCCTATATCATATGCCAAATATCATGCAATGTGTTGAATGATTGTTACCATTTCTTCATTTGATATATGGCTGGTTGAAGTGGTGTCATAGAGCCTTAAATCATGATACATAAAAAAAAATACATGATTGATGAATGCGAGAGTCAACTTTATGTTGGTCTATATTTCATTTAGACATTTTTAAATTCTCCAATTTATACTCTCATTGACTAGTAGAATTTTTAATGTACAGATGGGATATTTATGAATTTCTCTTCAACCTGCAATTTGCATTCATGAAATGATTGGTTGGGAATCAAATTAAGTTGTTGGTCTGAATGTTCTACATTTTACAAAAATTGAGATAGTTGTACGAGAACTACAACTGCCCACCTTGTGCAACTTGATCTTGATGTATCACAAGTGAGCCTCTGTATATATTATCTGTGCAGACGATATGTACCCAGTGAAATTTTCAGCTTGACCTGCATTTGTGCAGAATGTTCGACCAAACTTGCCTTTGATTAACCTCAAAAACTAATTGTTCACTCTCTACTGCTAATTTCTACATGTGTTTATTGCTAATAATGTTGAACTTTACTTTTCTCTTCATTTGCTCTTCTGCAGAGGCAAGCGAAGGAAATAGAAGATGCGCGGAACCAGCTAAGAATGAATTATGATAACTAGCCAAGTTAAATTAGGGAGCATTGGTAAGCACATATATCAGGGGGTTGATAAATGAAAATCTGTGCTTTTGATGATTAGGACTTTGCTATGTTACTCATGCATCTGCTTCAACTTTGATGATGTTCCATTTCATCATAATAAACAACATTCTATTTTGCAGGGAAATTTTTGATGTTTTTGGAATTATGGAGGGCATACAAGGGTTTTTTTTTTTTTGGCTTCACTGATAGGACAAGCGGAAATTCCTAAATGGTAGGGTGTAGTTTAGAAAGGCACATTGATTCTGGTGATTGCTTCTTTCACCTCGATTTCCTGTCAGGTACTTCAACAATCTTGAAAACCTCTCTATGTATAGCATGTTAGAACGGACAAGGTGTTAATTCAACAATGCAATTTTATCCTGGTACTTGAAGACTTGCCAATTTTAGTTGTGGAATGGGGGTTGCGTTCATAAAACCACGATGAGACTGCCCCGAGGGGTTGCGTTCATAAAACCACGATGAGATGAGACTGCCCCGAGGGGTTGCGTTCATAAAACCACGATGAGACTGCCCCGAGACAAAATCTCGGCACCGTATTGTCCCTGAAACCTTGTTAACTTAACGAGCAAAAAGAGAGAGCTTTACCCCCGTTTCAAATTCCCTATTAGTGGATCCTCAACATCCACAAAAATTGGAAAAGAAAAGAAGGGCAATTAAACTCATAAACTAAAATGCTTTTCACACATTAATGTCCCACTTCGCTACTGAGTTGCTTATCACCACTTCACTTCTCATACATTTTTTCCAATACAGAGATAACAACAATGAAAGAAGCATGTATCAGACTACTCTTTGGAGGATTTATTGATGAGTGATTTGTGAATGTGCGGAATAACCCCACCACCAGCTATAGTTCCTTTGATGAGGGTATCAAGTTCTTCATCCCCACGTATAGCAAGCTGCAAATGCCTTGGTGTTATACGTTTCACCTTTAGGTCCTTGCTTGCATTCCCTGCCAACTCCAATACCTCAGCAGTCAGGTACTCCAATATAGCTGCTGTATAAACAGCAGCTGTTGCCCCGACCCTTCCATTTGCTGAAACCCTAGTCTTCAGTAGACGGTGAACCCTTCCCACAGGAAACTGCACCCAAAAAAAGGAAGAAAATCTTATTAGAAGCAGAAATAACATCAAATTAAAAGGAGTTTCAGCAAAGTTGTTTTAAGAGATATCATCAGAGAGAAAGCAATAATATTGATATTTAGTTAGTTCATGAGCAATTAATTTCCATAAAGCAACTCTTCGTGTGAACAGAAGATGTCAAATAATCTTCCTTGAACTTCAACCATGATATTATCCATGATTTTTTTTTTTTTTTTTTTTTTTTTTTAGTTAGTTCAGAGCAATTAATTTGCCATCAAGCCAAACTCTTCGTGTGAACAGAAGATGTTCAAATAATCTTCCCTTGAACTTCAACCATGATATTATCCATGAGTTTTTTTTTTTTTATTTTTTTTTTTTTTTTTTTTTTTTTACTATTGTCCTTTGGGCCCTCCAGCAGCATTCTTTGTTCTTGCATTACAAGAATTTAGTGGAAAAACCAAGAATATTATTTCATTGTAGTATTTTACTGAACTTGTGAAGTCTCAATTGACGTCAGGTCACAACGTTCTGGATCAAAAATTCTTTTCATGCTTTGCCCTATTCACGATAATAGCTGCATTTTGCTCATTCACTCTTTTGCCAAAGACCAGCATAGTTCGCAACTGATTTACATTTTTTTCATAGACCATAAAAGTGCGGTTCATCAAGTTGTACGAAAGACCGGTCCATTTTGCAATAATCACATAAAAAATTTCATGATTTGAAGTTATAAAGTTTAATATAATTTGAAGGTAATACATGACAATGAGGAAGCTATTTTCCAGGAAAGCATATTCAAGGCACACTTGGTTTATCGCACTATACCTATATGCTAGGGCATAGTTCTTTTAATCACTCAAAACATTTCTTGCAATGTCGATGTTCCAAGCTTCCTCCCACTGGTGCAAATACAGTGCTACATACATTGCCAATTCCAAGCTCTATGAAAGCTTACAACCTTAAACTGAGTTCATAAATGAAATTCAAATCATATCACTATGGGCTTCTTGTTTAGTGCCTAGGAACTTTCTTAATCATCAATAGGATCACAAGAATGGGGCTGGGCTTTGTACACGAAAAAAAATTTAAATATTCTTCTAAGTCCCAGTGAATTATATCCATTGATATCATTCTCTTAATTTTAGGTATCCTGGATAAAAAACTCTCACTTACTCTGCAAATGGATGGTTAAGGAAGGACAACAGTTAAACACTTAAGAAAGTCCCTCTCGAACATATTCACATATGAAGGGTGAAAAGAAAAGGTGGTCAAAATCTTTTTAAAAAATTACCTTGATGAACCAGTCACTCTAATTTGTCTTAAATCAACAATCAAATATCAATCTTAAGTAAACAAGTTCTTGGTCCCAGTCAGTCCGTCAATCTAATAAGTCAATCAACACATAGAACAACATCACTATCTAATTCCTTAACTTTCTAAGGACCAAATGAAAATAAGAAAAGCAAACCTTTAGGCTAAGCATCTTAACATAAGCATAAACCAGGCCAAGGTAGACATTTAGCAGAAAACTACTTGTCAAATACAACTTATGCCAAAGATAATCAAGTACAAGGGAAATTATGAAAAGTTCTTCTCAGTATTGTTCAGATCAGACATGTAATATAAATATCTATAGATATATAAGATTCATCCTGGAAAATTCATTGCTGCTAGTTTTCACTTGGTAGAAAAGACGCAAACAAACAAAAAAATAAACACATGTCAAACACAATAAAAAAAAAAAAAAAAAAAAAAAATAAAAGTTGCCTTTACTCTCCGCCCATTAAAAATTGCCCTAATTCATTACATTTAGCAGGCATACAAACATAAAAAAAAAAAAAAAAAAAAAAAAACTAAAAGTTGCGTTTCTTCCCCATTAAAATTGCCTAATTCATACATTTAGCAGGCATACAAACATAAATCTTCACAAATAAACAAAAGAGAGACATATATAAACAGAGAGAGAGAGAGAGAGAGAGAGATGAGGAAGGAGACCTGGAGACCAGCGCGAGAGGAGCGAGAGACGGGCTTCTTCTTGTCCTTATCTTTGTTGTTAAGTGTAGATTTGCCTGTAATCAAGCCTTTGGCTCCTTTGCCCGACATTCTCCCGCCAAAAAGTTAGGGTTTGTTATGGAAAGGAAGCGAAATAGAAGAGAAATATCAGAAACAGCGCAGAGAAGAGAGAGGCAGAGGCAAAACGAAGAACAGCAAGGACCCGCAAGAGACTTTTGAGAAGGTAAACGCGATCTAGAGGGGAGGGAGTGTTTTTATATTATTTTTTTGACGAAATTACCCTCGTAGTTTGTTCGAAATTACGGTTCTTTCTAAATCTAAACCACGTGGACTTTAAATACTCATGGATAATGTATTGAAGTACATGTACGGCGAGGGCCTAACGCGGCCCACTTTCACACATATATATATTTAATAATTTATCAACTATTATACATATTTTTGAAATTAAGGTAAAAATAAAAAAAAAAAAAAGTCAACTCTAGAATATGTAAACTAAAACACACGTGCGAGACATTTTTTTTTTTAAAAAAAAAATCTGAGATGGTTGTGCAACAATAGATGGATGCTAAATTGAGAAGAGGTAAAACTAAACTTGCACGAAGAAAAGTTCTCCCACAAGAACGGCTACTTCTTAATATTAATATGGATTTAGTTATAAACAAAAAGGAACTGATTCAATTAGTTTGATTTACCTTATTTTGAATGCTAGGGTTTGAGGCTAATGCAGAGAAACGAGGGGAATTGAAATTTTCTTTACTACAACTGCGCATATGAAAACATGAAACGGTAAGTTTTGAGTATTGCCTTGAATTTTTCATCATCTCATAATATTGTCCAGCAAAATTGTTGAGTTGACACATATCAATTGTTGCAGTAACTGGATTTGAAGATTGCTGTTGAAATTTAGCTAAAAGGTTCTGGTTATATTGATAATTTTACTTCAAATCAAAATAGTTAATCAACTATTATCTCAATATTTAACTGCTGGTTATCAATGAATAACAGTTAACTACTATCACCAACCCACGAATCAGAGCTCATCAATGGCATTTGGGCTGGCAAAAACCATATCAGTTTGTAGCCAAAACTATTAGAAAACATCATTCTCAATAAGTTCTGCAGTATTCCCTATTAAAAGCGAAGATTTCAGAAACACGGACTCAAGAAGATATCGAGCAGAAAAGTAACTTCTAAATGATTTAAGTCAATTTTATTTCCACAGATGAACAACCCTCGAAAAGTCACACACGTGTGCCTACAAACTGAAACTCGAGCAAAGACCAAAACAAACAAGATGAAATCCCACTAAATAATCTAAATCCCTAGTCAAGCATCTGTTGCCTTGTCCTTCTCAGCAGTTTTCCCTTCTTTGCTTATATGAAAACCTTCGATCTTATGTGCAACATCATCAGTTGATACCTTTACTTTTCCAGTTAGGCCATTTTTCGAGAGTGAATCATCCTCGTCAAGATTAGCGGGACCTGTTTGCCATATTCTAATAGTTCCATCTTCAGATCCTGAAGCATAGGATTCCCCCCCAGGCGAGAATCGCACACAGTGAACAGGACCATGGTGACCCTTATTGCATCCTACAGAAAGAAAAATGAACGCGATATGATGATTAAAACCAACATCCCCCAAAGATCAGCAAAATCTAACTGCAAAAATATCTCTGAACTTCCGTAGAAGATACATCCATGTGCAGCTCATCTGCCTCAGTTTTACCTTGTATATCCCTTGTAAAAAGGGCTAGAAAAAAGAAACGGAAAGAAGGATGGCCTTTAAGATAATAAATAGGGTTGGTTAAAGGCCAGCGCTTAAATAAAGCTCATTTACCATTCAGCCTAAAATGATCAACTTTTTTTTTATTTAACATATTGCCATAGCCTAGAGAATAATGCCTGTTTGAAGACAAGAACACCAAGAAGTTATTTATTTAGTGAATAACAGGTGTTTTGATGACAAAATTCAAGTCTTGGACCATAAAATGCCTGTATGCACTAGAAGCAGCAGCAACTAAAATGTCTTGCCCTACAGGGTTACAAAGATGCAAACATCTTGCTCAGGAGAAAGTAAGATTGCTGGTTGGCAAGCTTAGAATTTGGAACTTCATTATGTTATCTGAAAGACTAACCAGTTCAAAAATACATACCAATCTGCTCTCCTGTATTGAAATCAAATATATGGATCCACATATCTTCTCCACCAGCCACAAATTTATTTCCAAATTTCGGTTCCAATGAAGCTGATTCAGTGTTGCACGGCATATTGTAGCTCTTCACAAGCCCAAAGCTGACAAAGAACAAATGAGCAGTCAATGGCTAAAACATTAACAGGATAAAAAAAATGAAGAATCAAATAACAACTTACTGATTTGCATCCCAAAATTTGACTGTAGACCCGTCAGCTGTAGTAATGTAGCGACCGTCCTGACTCACTTCAGCACTAGTTACAGGTGACTTTGTCTCTAGTGTTTGAACAATTTTGCCACTTCTTATGTCCCATAACCTACAGAGTCAGCACTGATAAATTACAGGGACAAGATTTGCAACTGATTAACCCAAGTACAGATCAAAAAACCAATTCTCATTCATGTATGATCACAGCAAAAATGAAAGCCATAATGAAAACACCAAGAACATTAGAAACAACTCAAACAGAAATATGTAATCTTGCATACAGCTCCAACCATACCAAACAAATAACAAGCTGCTTCAGATAAGTGGAAGTAGTTTTACATATGACAAGTACTTATTAAGAAAATATGGCTTGCTGACAGCTGATTTGAAGTCTTTCGTATGGATAGTTAAAAATATAACTACTAGAACTCCATTTAAGAAACATGTATTTGTAAGCTCAAATAAGCCCTATTTTGTCTTCTAGGACCAGATGAAAAGCAATACAATCTTTTTTGTTCAAGTAATTTTACAAAAGATGGAAATGCGAAATTGGAATTTAATTGCTTTTAGCATAAAATTTTCACCTTTCAACTGAACTGGAAAAGCATATCTGAACTTTATGACAACATTTATGCTTGGTGATTGTTTAATATCCTAGAATTGACTAGTGACAGAACCTGGTTCGAACAAATCAAGAACATGGAACTACAACCCCATATGGAAAAGTGAAGAAGAATTTATGTGACAGTGGATCAAACAGTTATTTTATCATTGTTCATACCTCACACCACCAATATCAGTACAAGAACTTAATATGGTCTGGTCACTGTGAAGCCATGCAACAGTTCTAATTGAACCAGGCGAACTGCCAACTTCTCTTGGGGGTGCATCAAGATGATTCAAGTCAAATATACGAAGAAGTTTCTCCATTCCACCGGTGAGTAGAAGATGCGTATCCTGAACAAGAAAAGCTTAGAAATTATATGGATGCACTAAACAAAGGGAAAAAGCTCCGAAACATAATCATAATTTCACCTAGATATGAAAGGATATGAGGAGTTTCACAATCACAAATAGATGATCTAATTTTCAGTGAATCATCCACATGATTATATACATAACATAAATAGTGTAAAAGAATCAGGTCACATCAAATTGGAACCAACTAATTGTGTTTCACAAACCAAAAGTAAACATAGTGACCGAAAACACTTTGGAGGAGAAGAGAAACCCCAACGATCTAATAAAGGGAAAAAGTAAAAAAAAAAAAAAAAAAAAAAAAAAAAAAAAAAAAAAACAAAAGCCAAAAGTAAACCATAGTGGACGAAAACATCTTTGGAGGAGAAGAGACAACCCCGAACGATCTAAATAAGGGAAAAAGTAAAAAAAAAAAAAAAAAAAAAAAAAAAAAAAAAAAAAAAAAAAAAAAAAGAAAAAAATAATCCAACTTCCTGAAAATTCAAGATGAAGAGGGTACAATGGACACCTTTAAAGACTACAGACCAAATGACACCCATGTATAAGAATACCCACATCAAATTTGGACAGTTTACGAGCCACAAAGAAGGTAAAGGGTAAAATGAAGGCCAAATCCAGAGCCAAAGCTCTAGAGTATTGAAGGCATTCAAATAAGTATGTGAAGGAGATAATTTTTGCAGTAGGAAATGATTCAATCCTACCTCTGAAAATGCACATGCCCGAACAATGTGCTTATGGTCAAAGGAGTGTAATTCATCCCCAGTCAATGCATCCCACAATTTCCTGAGAGTAATAAAGCAGCATAATTTATTAAACAACATCTATAAAATGACTGCTTTTCATGATTGACTGTGATATTTATTGTTGCACTAGTGATCACAAACATGACACAGAGAGAGAGAGAGAGAGAGAGAGAGAGAGAGAGGAAGTCTCAAAATATACGTGATATCAATACACATCATCTTTTTAAAGGCAATTCAGTAGCCATTATTAGTTATGAATTTTACAATATTACAGGCACAAGCTTTATTTCATACGCTGTAAAGTCTGCAGAGGCAGATGCTGCACGTAATGCATTAGTATCCAGGCAACAACTCCACACTGCACCTTTGTGTCCTTCAAAGGTCCCAATCCAATCTCCAGTCTCCCCATTTCTCAGCATTGGACTAGAATCTGAATTTCAAAGAACAATATTGTTTCATTAGCGTGGGACTTAGCAGTCCTCATATGACACATGGCCAGTATGTACCCAAAGATGCTACAAAAAAGCCTTCGTGCTGAGTAAAGCTGCCGAGCCTCAATTTTTGGTTAATGAAGTGACTAATCAACCATTGATAGGAAATCCAAACTAAATCCGTATTCACATCAAGTGATAACAAAATGATTAAAAAATCCTTTTGGTTTATCCTGCACTTAGAAGAGAACCGTAGTAAACAGGAGAGGTATAATAATTTCTTTTTTCCAATTATCTTTTCAAGAAAACCACAACTATATATATCATGTGTCTATAAACCCAATTTCAAGACAATGCCAATGAAGCCAAATTTATGCTTCGGACCTCAAAATAACTACTGAATACTCAAAAGAGAGGAAAACCTACACTTCAATTCACAGTGATGGGGTAACAAGAAATAGATAACAGAAGATCACTGAATGTCAAATTGTCAATCTACAATCCATTTCAAAGTTAAAATACAGACGTACAAACTAAGCCATCACTACACGAAATTAAAATGAAGATCATAATTAAAAAAACGAAGGCTACACTGGAACTATACCCTGATCACATGGATAAATGATTATTCCAATTAAAGACAATTCAAAATTCAAAATTATGTAATTGAATAAAACTATCCGGTTAACAACAGGTAAAAGCAAGAGAATATAGTCTTAGATAGTAGCACAATTACTTTTTAAAGAAAATCCTCTCCCACAAAAATGTGACCAAGTCCAAATTCAAATTGAACAATACAAAACCAATTAAAAAAAAATCACACCTTTGCTGGCACTGATGAGAAAAAACCCATCAGGAGTAATAGGACTGTAGAACAAATCCACAACAGGTCGCGAATGTCCGTGGCACACTAAAGGTACCGCCACCTTCTTCTTGTCCATGTCGCTCTCAATAAACAAAACTAATTCAAAGCCAGAAAAACCCTAATAGATCAAAACCTCAAAGACATCTCTCTCTATTCGCCTATTTTGAAAAACACTGATACAGAATTCAATTTACAATTCAACTTCACAGCAAAGTCTAATATCAAAATTAAACCAAAAAATGTTTTTTTTTTTTTTTTAATTTATGTATTTCGTGTAGAGAATGTTACTTGCTGAAACTATGATTCAACAGCTGAAGCTATGAAAATGTTATCTATGAAAACAAATAATCATTAGTAAATTAAAAGGAGAAAAAAAAAATAAAAAAGATACAGAGCCTGTTAAAGGGGCTAAACGCAGAGATGAAAAAACAGAGGAGACAGATTTTATAGTGTTGAATTTGGGATTATATTTTATTTTTACTTTTCCATGGTAGTGCTTCAACTTTTTAAATATAAAATTCAGCCCATGCGTTTTTTAAGAATTTCAATTTTGGTAGTCTAAAATATATTTGTTGTCCTGAAATAGCCTTGATAATTGATTACGAAAAATAAAAATAATAAATGATAAAGAAAAGAAATTATTGCAAGGACTTGATTATGAAAATATATGCCGAATCTTGTTTGAGAAACACTCGACAGAAATTATATTCAAAATGACATATTGTCGGTCCAAAAAATAATAGTATAAGTTAATTACTTGATGAGGTCATTTAATCTTAGGTTAACAAAAAAATTTAAATAAATAAATAAGCATGCTGAATTTCAGTGGTAATTGATTTACTGATTATAGATGAAATTAAATTAGGTTAAGATTAAAATATTAAAATTTATTTAATAAAATTAAATATTATGAGTGTTAGCAACAGTCAGTTATTTAATAAATATATAATCATATATTAAAGAAAGTAACGTTTTATATATTAATAATAATAATAAGTATTGAAATTATGGGAAAGAAAAAGGTGTAGTCCCATTGAATATTTATTATTATAAAGACAGCTAATACGTGATACATGAGCTGCTTTCCTCAGCAGGCATGGAAGGTTCAAAGAATCCAGGCCTATTTTCTCTGAGATAGCTAATTCAGAAGGCTGAGCTAGAATGATCAGAATTATGGAAATAAGTGTAGATAATACTCACTAATATTATTAAAATATTTAATTAATTTGTACTCACCATTACCTTGTAAAATACAAATTAAACTTGAAAGTTTAATTAGACACTGCCGATGCTTCCATTTGACCTTTGGCCTGAAAATTCTTTGTCGTTTACCTGTTAAGAGTGTCGTATGCTTTAGATGTTTGTCAAAGCCATGCCGTTCTTCAATCGGCAGCCAAGATTTTTATAAATCGGGTTATTAGGGGAGAAGCAGTTTTGGGCTGGAGTTGGGCCTGTTATTAAGATGGGCTACGCTGGCCTCCACCGGCTAAAATTAAAAGCAGAATATAAGTAAATGATTTCTTTTCTTCAGTCTCCTTCCCTCTCGCTCGCTCTCTGTTGCGTGCTGCAACTGCAAACCATTAAAATGCAAAGTATTACAAATTTGTCTTCAGCTGTAGGAATGGAGGCAAAGCAGGCAACCATTATGGCTCGTTAGATGTCAAATTTTCATCAATTTTCGGATTGCTAATGGTTTCTGTGTAAAATTGCGTTTTCAATCTTATAGCTCGCTGATTTAGAAGGGTGATAAAGCAAAACGTCCAATGCCAGTCCAATCCCAGCACTTTTCCTTCTAAACTCAGTGAGTTGGCCTTTCACATGATTTTCCGTTTCTTCAGTAGACGATTGGCGTTAAATGATAGGAGTCATGCTCTGTTAGACTCAAACATTACCCTGTTGGTTATTATTCATTTAGAGCATTGCTCACAATCAGGTATTTCTCATCTAAATCTAATCGACACTCTTTTACAGTGTCATACCTCATCAACTCATTTGGATTACCCTTACAATCTGCTAAACTTGTTTCAGAGCAAGTAAAATTTGAAAATCCTGAAAGACCAGACTCTGTCCTTGATCTTCTCAAAGACTGTGGACTTACCAAATATCAGATCTCCCAAGTTGTTAGGGGACAGCCCAAGTTGATTTTATTGAATCCCGAGAAGACAATATTGCCAAAGATTCAATTTTTACTTTCTATTGGGGTTTGTCTCTCAGACCTTCCGGTGATGATATCTAAGAAACCATTTTTGTTGACTTGCAGCTTGAACAATGTTTTGATCCCATGTTATCATCTTCTCAAAAGTATGTTTCTTTCTGATGAGAAAGTGGTTAATATATTTAAACGCATATCTGCAATTAAATGTGCTATATGAAGGTAAACTTGCCTGTTAATGTATCAGTCTTAAGAGAGCTGGGAATGCCTCAATAGACCATCTCTATGTTGGCAACTAGTTACCCCGACGTCCTATGCCAAAATGTCGACAAGTTCAGCGAAGATGTTAAAAAAGTTACATGTATGGGATTTCATCCTCTGAATCTTACATTTGCCAGTGCTCTTCGAGTTTTTCTTTATCTAAATCGGAAAACATGGAAATGCAAAACTGATGCTTATAATAGGCTGGGTTTGTCGAAAGAAGAAATATTTTCTGCTTTTAGAAAGTTCCTTTGTTTATGACTTTGTCAGAGAAGACAATTATGAAGAAAATGGATTTTATTGTGAACAAAATGGGTTGGCAGCCTGCAATTGTTGCAAAAGATCCAATTATTGTGTGTTTTAGTTTGGAGAAGAGAATTGTTCCAAGGTGTTCAGTTGTAAGAGTTTTGATTCTAAAGGGTTTGATCAAAGGAGAAGTTGGTTCAGTTTCTATTCTTCTAATCTCTGAAAAAAGATTCTTGGACAAGTTTGTAATCAAGTACAAGAACAAGCACCTGAATTGTCAGATGTTTTTCACAGGAAAATTGATCTTTCTGAACTAGGTTTTGGATTTGATGAAGAATTTGGAGATTCAGCAATAAAGCATACAACAGGTCATTGCAAATCGGATGCAACATTAATACATTAAGGCTATGTTTGGTTGGCTGTAATGGACCATATAATGGAATGAGAAGTACATGATGGGTAAGATTACAATGTTTGATGGGCTTTTTCTTATATTCCAATGTAATTAATGTAATGTCCGTTACATCCAAACACTTATGTACAATTCATTTCATTCTTAGATCCTGTTGTCCTCTTCAAAGCTGACCCATTATCATTTCCCTGTTTTGTGCACTCTCTCTATTCCACCTCGCCTTTGCTCACCCATTGTGCTGTTGCTCACCACTGCAACTGCTGTCACCAACGCCTTCTCTGACAGCAGCCACTGATCTGTGCCCTGTGCCCTGTGCCCTGTGCCCTGTGCCCTGTGCCTCTTCATCTTCAGGTTTAACTTTTTTCCCCTCAAGTTCTTCTCAGTTAGGAGTTGTGGATATTGCTTAGATTTTGTTTCTTTTACTTTCGTAATGTTTGTGCTGTATGTTTGAGGCTATATATTAAAATCTGAATGAAAAAGGCAGGGACTTGTATCTGTTGTATCTATAGGAAAAAATTTGTAATAACTTATTATGATTGGCTTGTTGGGTCTTGTGATGGATTACTATATCTGAAATTCATCTACAAGGATTTTTAATAGAATGCCTGATTTAGGTTTTGGAAAGAAGTCAGGGAGCCATATTGTTTTGGATTTGGTTATGATAGTAAAATTGATTATTGCAAGGTGGCAGCTGTTTTCTGGTTTCAAAATAGTGGTGCTAATGTAGCTACTGGTTATGATACAAGAGTTAAAAGTCTGTAGTCGATGATGGAACAAATGTTGGAGGAGTATTATTGAGGATTTTTGATATGGTATTGCTTGTGATGTCTCAGGAACTACGTAAATAGGAGTCTTATTGCACCTTGTTTCTAAACTTTATTGTTTAATCTTTTTTTTCATATATTTTTTTAAAATATCTCTCTGTTGCAGTTATGGCATAAGGAATAGCGGAGTTGAATTCACAATTGTTGTTTGCTAATTGCTAGCAGAGTTGTTTGCTGTCGATACTGTTTACTTTTGTTTCTTCCTCTGCTTAGAATATTCTCACTTTGAAGGAAAATTGACGATCTGTGTTGGATAATACCAAATTACCAATGGAGTGAGTGAAGTTTCATGTGAGTTTTATGAAAGTCATTAGTGTACAACTTTACAACCCCCCACCCCTCTCCCCCAGCATTATTGTATTGGACATAGATCTAAACTTCTGATACACTGGATTTTGATGTCATCTTGTTTGAATGTTGAAATTTAAAGCTTGGGTGTGCTATTTTCAATCTTGCAAGCAAATACTTTCTGAAATGTAAAGAATTTGTTGATAAATCACTGTATTAACTGTTTGCTTTAGTCTAATTCCGAGTTCTCTACCTCAGTTTGCATAAGCATTAAGCAGCCTATTCTTTCAGTTCATTTGGAGAAGGATGTCTTTTGAAATTTCAGTTTTTAAGCATTAAGCTGATTCTGTCCCACACGGAAGCTGAGTTTGCTGTAAGACCTTTATAACTTTCATTAGAGATACTCTCGTTTTGAAAAAAAAAAAAAAAAACTACTTTCCATTGATTTGGTCCACAAAAAGGACCATAGAATAGGTTTAGGCAAGTCGTTGTCATGTCTGTAGAGTACGGGTGGTGGAGCCTTTGCAGATAGATTAGGCAATGAAACCGGCAAAACGGTGACGGCACAAAAAAACTTATTCCATAGTTTTAAGAACTCAAGCACTTCAAGAATGTTTGATTGCAATCCATCCATAACTTTCAAATACATCATCTAGTTGAGACAGATTAAAATGAAAAAAAAAAAAAAAGAAGTTGCATATTACTCCAACAATCCCAACTAACAGAAAGAGCCATGAACATGCAACAAAAAAACTGCAGGGAGTTCTTATTTCATAAAATAAACTGGGATACATTCCTTCGCCACAAACTTCCGTTCAAAAAAAAAAAAAAATGCCATAGCAAGATGGAAAGTCCATTGATACCATAAAGTTCACAGTTTTAGAGGCGAAAACAATTTGGGTGGGCTTGTTAGTCGATCAGAACAAATTTCAAAAAAAAAAAAAAAGCCATTAGCAAGATGAAAGTCCATTGATACCAATAAGGTTCACAGTTTAGAGGCGAACAATGGTGGGCTTGTAGTCGATCAGAACAAATTTCTCCAAAGCAGGCAAGAAGATATTGGCAAATGCAACATGAGCAGGATGAGCTATATACTCTGCAACACCTTCTGTACTCTCGAAGGTTGATTCAAATAAATGAGTGAAACCCTGGTCCATGTTCGCAAGGCCCAATTCTGTTCCCCTATTATATCATACATTAAAATGGCAGGATGTGTTAAATATTAAGCAAATCCAGAGATCCATTAATAGAAACAAAGGGAATAATCTCATACGTACCAGTGCAACTCTTTCATAGGTGGGATTAGATTGACGAGATTTGCATACCCTTTAATCAGTTTCTCAGTTTCTTCTTGCGAAATTTCTTGTTTGAACTTGGCTACCAATACGTGCTTCACCACTCCCTTTGCTTCCTCCATTGTCCCTCTCTTTTTCTCTTGGTTTGACTACTGAGTTCTCTAATCTGCTGAACTCTTTGATGTTTGTCCCGCCTCAGCTATTGCTTATATAGACGTCGGGTATGTGAATTATTGACGGGAAAGATTTAGCACACCTGGTTTGTGGCTCCATCTATTTTTTTGAATGAAAATTAATTTTCTTTATTGCCACAAGAGTGTTATGACTATCTTTTCATTTAAAAAAAAAAAAAGGGTTTTATGAAAATTTCTTTACATATTAATTTGGTGTATACGTGGAGCCACACGTAGGGTGTAATAAATTTTATCTTAAAATTATCTAATATGTAAGACAAACATGTGGTTAATACTAATTAAAAAGAACAAAATTATCACATTCACAACACAAGTATAAAATTAATTATAGATAAAATTAATTTTTACTTTCATATGTTTAAATGGAATTAATCAAAATGAAAATAGAAGGAATGCAAAAAGGATAAAGTTAAAATGGGATCTCCAAAATCAAAAACCAATTAGCATAGAAGATCAATGACAGAAAATCAATAGTTTTTTATTGAACTAATGATGGGATGATCGATAAGATCATCAATAATTTCCTTATTGATCATCAATAAATTGGTATTCAATATTACAAAGAGTGCCTTTTATCTCTATTTATTTTTAGATAGAAAAAAAAAATTTTCTTGCAGAATAATTATGGGTTAGAAAGAGGTCACGCCAATATACAATATAGAAAGACCGTATCTTGAAATAAAGGGCTGGGCATTGAAGGTGAAGGGAAGGAATGGACTTCAAACCTTGACAAAATTAACACTCTAACCAATGGAAGCTTTTGATTAATTTCAGAAGTTTTTTTTTTATATCTATGGAAAGATTTTCTGTGACGGAAAATGAAGATACTTTTCCAATCGGACGGAAAATCTTCCGTTTCAGCATCTCTATCCCTGTTGTTTTGTTTGAAGCGCGTGGCTAAAATTGTAATTCAAAAACAACCTCCAAAATTGGGCCACCTTTAAACTGAAATAATAGGCCCAAATATCTCATCAAAAGGCTAATTCGATCCAGCTTCAAGTGGGTAATAATAGAATTTGAGCCAGTCTATACGTGACGATATGTTGTGTTCAACCTATTTTAAAATAGTGGGTTTCAACATGGTATTCTAAGTTCTATGATTGACTTGGATTGGAAGGCAAGCAAACAAGACAACCTATATGTTAATACCGATAACTCATTTTCATAACAACTTCAAATCTGGAATAAACTTCAAGTTCATGTTAAAATTATTTGTGTCAAATAACTTGTTTTCATATTTAACAAATGTATCATTCATCATAGACGCATAAATACGACTTTTTGAAATATAAAATTTCAAAAAATATAATCATATACCTCCTAGTAATCAATAGTTAAAAATAACTGTATAGATTTTTCATAACTCTATTTTCTTGACAAAAAAAACGCATTCCACCGAAACTACATAAAGTCATTTTTGCTTTTCATTACCATCATCCACATAAATTCGGATAAAACCTTTTGGTACTCTAGTTCTTTCCCTACTCTTTAACTTGAGTAATTTTGATGCTAGTGACTCAAGTTTCCTTTGAATCTTGTTCATCCTTTGAACAAGATTACTGTTCTTGAAATGCATATATGAAGCTAAGAAGAACGATCGATATTGAGTAATTATAGAGTAAAGGACTTTGTTTAGTGTGTGTGTATATAAACTGTTTGGATATAGCTAGCTGTTTAATCCATTCTCAGATTGGAAAGAGTTTTCAATTACCGTAGGGATTAGAGATATGAATTGGTTAATCTCAGTTTTTATTTACTTTTTTAATATTCAGCATTTTATTTTTTATTTAATCATATATTAACCTACCACACCTCATATAATAGGGTAAAAAACAAAATCATAATCACATGGTAAAATAATAATTTTTTTTTTTTTTTTGAGAAATGGTAAAATAATAATTATACGTCATGGCATGGTAAAAAATGAAATTTTGTTTTCCATCAAGAGCTTTGTTGGGCCTAACACAACACCTATGGGCTCGCTCCATGTTAACAGTTAACACTTAAGTTCTAATTTACTGGACTTTGAAATAGGTCCACTAGTCCATTTTGTCCACAGGGAACCGAGAATATACATCCTCTAATTTCTTTTTTCTTTTTATATTTTAACAAAATATTCTTAAATTGGAGCTCGGTCAAAACAGACTGTAGACATTAAGATTAAGAGATTTGCAAGCGAAGAAAAATCTTTCTTTGTAATTTGACTTAAGGAGTTGTATTTCCTAATTAATCAAGCTAACTCTTAAGCTTATGAAAACGTTGAAATGACAAAAATTCATTTCCATTGCAATTTTCAACTGTAAAGCGTCAAAAACGAGTTTGCAATGGACAAGACTAACTCTGCAAGCTCAGATTTTTGGAAAGAGGAAAGGGAGATTGTATCACTCTTTCCAATCCATCTATCAAGTTTTGTCCATTTAGGAAATTAGAATACTAGTGGACCAACCATTTTTCCAATCAAAAACTTTTTAAATGCAATAATAGACAAAATGTTCATAATTTACCCTATCTCCAGAAAAACTAGTGGCCCTAATTAATTTTGACATTTCAATTTCATTGATGGTGAAACCCTAATTTTTTTTTTTTTTTTTTTTGGGAAAGAGGTAATTATTATTTAGTTATGGGTCTCCCTTCAAACTGAAAAATTGGAATAATTAAGTTTAGCTAGTAAGCAAATCTTTGTCCAGACAAGCAATTATAGAGGTTAAAATGCCTAACCTCTAATGAAAAAATTGCCAATTATGCTATTGCCATTCATGAATCAGACCTTTCTGTTGGTGACGGTTACCTAATTATGGGGACACCCAATTCTTGCTCTTGGATTTCCTTTTTTCTTTTTGAACTTTCATATGTAATTGCACTTTTCCACCGCAACATAAAACCCTAATTTAGTAATCCTTCTAACAAGTGGGAAAGAAGGCTTAGACACACACGTGGTTTTGAAAATTTTGCACCAAAGAAAATGGTTGGAAAAGTGAAAGCCAATTATTTTGCTATGAATTTTCTTAATATTAGACTTTTCTTTCTATCTTCAATCTTCCAACTTTCAAGTGGAAATCTAAATTTGTATAACCAATGATAGATTAGACGCTGCCTTTTCCTAGGTATGATTGCGTCTGGGATTCCCTTTTTATAGACTCAAAATTCAGAGTAATCATACAAGTCCAATGAATATAAATAACTCCTCATCATACTATTTCTTTTTTTGTGAACATTAATGAGAAAATTTATATTTGAATTTTCTCAATTTTAGAATAAAACAATCACTAATCTGATTTTTAAAATAGAAGGTTGTACTATATGCACGTCAAATGAAATCAAATCACTAATTTAATTTTTAAAATGGAAGGTTGTACTGTATGCACGTTAAATGAAATCAAATTTGAGTTTTGTTGTATACAAGAATATATCTCCTCCTAGTCTTTTTTTTCCTTTTTTTTTAAAAAAAAATTGATTGAAAACACAAATTTTTACAAGCTATTTTCCATCACAAAGAAATTATCACTATATGGTCCAACTTTCCCACTAGAGAGTTGCTATGGATGCATTAGTATAATTTATATTTTCTTTTCAAAATCCGAGGTAATTTAATTGCTATTTTGGTATTTTCTTCAAATTTTCATTCCAAGTCGTGTAAACCACGTATACATATATATTGCCATCAATTTTGAAAATACAATGCGTGGATAGAAAAGTTGGAAGCTGAGAGGGACAAAACTATAATTGATTGGCTGCAATTGGTATGTACTTGTAAACCAGAAAATCTTATGAAAATGGGCAGTTTGGCTGTGTTTGTATTATCAACTTCATCCACCGAAAATGAAAGGATTGATGAATGGTGACCAAAATATATTTTGTCTTGTATCATCAACCATCCTTTTCCTTGTGTTCGTCGATTATGTTGACTCATTGATATTGGTATATCGTTTGAATGGTACTATGCAAAGTTTTTTCTATGTCATATATTAAACTCAATTCTATAATTATGCATGCTAAAATTAGTGAGCGAGAGTAATATTCATTCTGTCCATAAATATAATTCATTAAAAGAAAAGGGATTCGGTACTATTTTTTTTTAAGATTGAGCTACGTAATTGCTTATAACATCAGAATCAATTTCTAAATATAAAGATTTGTCTTCTCCCCGATTAAATTGATTGATTTTTTAATTACGTAATTAGTTGTATTTTCTTATTAATAATTATATGCTTGCGTACAAAACAGACAAGAAATACCATTGCCATTATCCTTGGATTCTTGTCTTTTATTCTCTAATGACAGTTAAGTCTGTAATACAAAAATAATATGATTTCTTTAATATATGTTTATGGTTAGAAATAGCTTACGTTTCTTTGGTTTGGAAGGCATATTGTATTGTACTGATTTGATGGATATTTTTATTGAAATATTTTCTAACAATGTCGAATTATGTATTAGCAGATTATAGATTTTGACAATTTTAATGTTTTTGCTTTGTCATGTTATATGAGTTGGAGTAGAGATTTTGACTGTGGGATAGATAATTGGTGTAATAGATAAATGGATTTGGTAGCTTAAATAGAGTCATCAGACAGTTCTAGCCTATAGTTTCTCAAATTTAATTATTATACATTCAGCAATATTATACTTTCTTCTAAATAAGCTCAATCGATACATCGCATTGACTTATGTATAATAATATCATTCTGCGTCAGAAACTAATCCTAAAAATTAAAATCTAAAAAATAATGAGAGTTGGGAATAAGCATAATCGTCGTTTGGATATATAAATTGATACTTAAAATAAACTTTATAAAAAAAATATAATAAGTCTTACGAGCGGATCTTTTATTTAAGGATTAAAGTTCTTTCTACTTAAACCAACTCTCTATAATTAAATATTTTTAATATTACTTATATATGTTATTCAAAATATAAAACACCTTATATATACTTATTTTGCAACGTCAGGGACCTGAAGTGTCACTTGAGCATTTGCTGGAGGCTAAAAACCCTTGTGATTTAGGATCCAAATAACACCAAAAAGGTGGAAGATACCTCCTAATTTTACTCCCAAAAAAAAAAAAAAAAAAAAAAAAAACCCTTCTGTTGATTTAGGATTCCAAAATAACACCAAAAAAGGTGGAAGATACCTCCTAATTTTACTCCCAAAAAAAAAAAAAAAAAAAAAAAAAAAAAAAAAAAAAAAAAAAAAAAAAATCTTACCACTCGGGGGTCACTGCTAATTTTGTTTTATACTATGGAATGACTTAGCGACAATGGAATTGACTCACGGAAAGAAAGACCACCCAGAAGCTCCGGCTTCCCAGCTGATACTTTATTTAAGAAGTAGACCAGAAGAGTGCAAGGAACACGCTCGTAAACTGATCAGGTTCTTGAAGTCTACTGTTCAATTGAGCGAGCATTGAACACTTACGGGAAGAACCTATCAAAGGTTAGTTTCTTATTCTATGCCTATTCTGTTTGTATGAGCTATTTCTGATTCTTCTCATCTAATTTGACATTCCTGCTGCAACTTCTTTTTAGACAGAAGTCAGGAAGCATGGGAATTTCAGATATCTAATGAATTTTGGGAACTGCTATAATACAATGTTGTTAACTGAAGATTCATAGTGCTTGCAGAGAATCGACATAAATTTAAGTCTTTTATTTTATTTATTTATTTTTATTGGAGAATTTAACAATCTATACAGTTGCAACATTCATTGGTTGAACTTGGCGCCATATAACTAGAAGATGCTGCTATTCATGGGATAACAGCATTTAGAATTTAATCGTTCAACATAATTTGTATGCTTCCCCTGTGGGCTGTAATGTCTTTTAACGGGCTTTATAACGGATGTACTGCTCTTAATGGGCTTGAAACTGCAGCCAATCGTGCAGAGCGGAGGTCTTATAAAGACGTGTTTGGACTTTCTTTTATGTTTTCTCCGTCTCTATATAATGAAACAGAGCCTCCTTTTCTGCACCAGCAAGGAGAAAGATTTCACATCGCATTCCACATTTCTCTAACCGAAATAGGTTGTATTTTCCTTAGTAAATACTGGAAAATTGCCGATAGGATAGAAAAAAAAAAAAAAAAAGAAAAAAAAAAAAAAAGCCAAGCGCCCTCCGGTAATACTTCTCAGTTACATGCATGATTTTATTTCTTGTTTCAACAGTCTTGAGTCAAGACTTGGTTGTTTTATGTTAATGTAACATTATTATTATTTTTTGTTTCATGAACAAAGTGAATCTTTTTGTTTCATTATTACTGTATAATTTGCTTTCTTGATTTAATTAGAGTACCATTTTCTATATGGCAGAGATGGAGCATATTAGAACTCCATTTAGAGGAATTATAAGCGATGTTAGAGCAAGAACACCTTATTATAAACAAGATTGGATTGGTGGCATTCGTTCAGGACTCGGGTACCTTTGTTTGAATCTTTCAAATAAGCAAACTACAATAACCAAATTCTTGAAAAAAATATATTAATTTTCCTTTCATTTTATTGCAGGATATTAGCACCAACAACTTATATCTTCTTTGCTTCTGCCCTTCCTGTTATTGCTTTTGGCGAGCAACTCAGTAGAGACACAGGCAATTTTTTTTCATTTCTCTCATTCTTTTTCTTCTTCTTTTCCTTTTTCGTTTTCTTTTTGTCTATTTGATAAGTTCTAATGTAACTTATTTGTATTTTTTTTCTCTCCTGTAGATGGAAGCTTAAGCACAGTAGAAACATTGGCCTCTACTGCTCTTTGTGGTATAATACACGCGATACTTGGTGGGCAACCTCTTTTAATTTTAGGAGTTGCAGAACCAACTGTAATTATGTACACCTACTTGTACAATTTTGCCAAAGGAAGAGAGGACTTGGGACAGAAACTTTTCTTGGCTTGGGCTGGATGGTACAGTGGACTGACCTCTCAAACCTTTTAAAAAATTAGTTGCCTTGGTTTTTATTTGATTGTTCAAATTTAATGTAACTTTTGCAGGGTATGCGTTTGGACATCCATTTTGCTGCTTCTTCTTGCAACATTCAATGCTTGCACTGTAATAAATAGATTTACAAGAATTGCAGGTGAACTCTTTGGCATGTTGATTGCTGTTCTATTCATGCAAGAGGCTATTAAAGTAAGTTAACAAAAAAAAAAAAAAAAAAAAAAAAAAAAAAAAAAAAAAAAAAAAAAAAAAGGGATTCTAGTTCATCAAATTATTGTTTGGTTAGTTAATGTAAATGGTAAAATTTGATAATAGGGAATGGTCAGTGAGTTCAAAATTCCCAAAGATCAAGATCCAACATTAGAGAAGTATCAATTTCAATGGCTTTATGCTAATGGATTGTTGGGTATAATTTTCACTTTTGGCCTTGTTTATACTGCCTTAAAATCCAGAAAGGCAAGATCATGGTGGTATGGAACAGGTAATTATGAAGCAAAATTTTTTTTCTCTGAAACTAATTAATAGCTTTTTTACATATGAAATCTGAAAAAGTTATCAAAAAATTTCTGTGTAGGGTGGTTGAGAAGTTTCATTGCAGACTATGGAGTTCCTTTAATGGTTGTGGTATGGACATCACTTTCATTTAGCACACCAAGCAAAGTTCCCTCTGGAGTCCCTAGAAGGCTCTTTAGTCCTCTTCCATGGGAGTCTGCATCCTTAAGGCACTGGACTGTAATTGAGGTATTGAAAAATTCAAAATTAACTGCTGCTTTTCTGGTTTTAGATACCTGAGGCTAACTAGAAATTTAATTGCATAATGAATCTTCAGGATATGGGAAATGTTCCTCCAGCATACATCTTTGCAGCCTTTATTCCTGCTCTGATGATAGCAGGACTTTACTTTTTCGACCACAGTGTAGCTTCGCAGCTTGCACAACAAAAGGAGTTCAATCTTAAAAATCCTTCTGCATACCATTATGACATTTTATTGCTAGGATTTCTGGTACATGCCTATATAGTACCTTAAACCGTCTATTTTCCTATGCTTTCTTCCAAAAACCTATATTCAATTATTATCTAAATGGTTTTCCAGACTTTGCTTTGTGGATTGCTTGGACTACCTCCTTCTAATGGAGTTCTACCCCAGTCACCGATGCACACAAAGAGCCTTGCTGTCCTAAAGAGACAGGTTTGCTTTGTGGATTGCTTGGACTACCTCCTTCTAATGGAGTTCTACCCCAGTCACCGATGCACACAAAGAGCCTTGCTGTCCTAAAGAGACAGGTAACACCACAACAAATAAAAGATTTAACATAGTTTGATACATGTTAGAAGTAATAATTAATAACATATGAAATGTTATTGAAAGGTTTAGGGTTATGGTGTGTTTTTGCTAATGCTTATTAGGATCCAGTTTTTGTCTTTTAACTACTCAATGGAGTAGTTTCTTATAGTGTAAGGTCCATAAATTATACTTCTTTAATCGGTCTAATAATATGCAGTTGATTCGGAGGAAAATGGTTGAAAGTGCTAAAGAAAGCATCAAACAAAAAGCTAGCAACTCGGAAATATATGGCAAGATGCAAGCTGTATTCATAGAAATGGACAGTAGTCCAGCTGTAAGTCCAAATGTAGAATTGCACAAGTATGTCCCCAGTGTATCAAACAATTTCTAATACTCAAAGTCTGCATTTAACTGCAGATTTCAGTAGCTAAAGAGCTGGAAGACTTGAAGGAGGCAGTGATGAAAGGGGAAGACAAGGAAGAAAATCCTAAAGATGCATTTGATCCTGAGAAGCATATTGATGCTTACTTGCCTGTTAGAGTTAATGAACAAAGAGTGAGCAATCTTTTGCAGTCGCTTCTTGTTAGAGTTAATGGAACCCAAAAGAATTTTGAGCGATCTTTTTGCTCAAAGTCGACTTTTCTTCCAGTTAGCCAGGATACCCGTCCATGCTGCTATGCCGATGCAAAATAAAGCTTAAAATACCATAACAATCAGTTCTTTTGGGATACTTAAATTGCAAAATATACTATGGCTAAGACAGGTATTAACCTTGGTGAAAAATCAGTTCTTGGGAAAGAATACTACTTCTTTTTCGGTCATTGCCTGGAAGGCGCTTAACAAGTAAAGTTTTTTTAGATTAAAAGGTATAATTTTATTCATTATTGGTTTCTTTTCACATGTTTATGTATAATAATTGTTTGCCTTGTGATAATTTTCTTTTGACAGGGTGTTGGAAAGAGTTCATGCTTCATTTGTTGAATCAGTTCCATTCAAGTACACTGCTATTTTTACACTCATACAGTTGGTGTATTTCCTGGTCTGTTTTGGTGTAACATGGGTTCCAATAGCTGGAGTTCTGTTTCCATTGCCATTCTTTATTCTGATTTGGATAAGGCAGCACATATTTCCTAAACTGTTTAGTCCTCATCATTTACGAGAACTAGATGCAGCTGAATATGAGGAAATTACCAGAGCTCCACGATTATCTTTCAGCCTTTCTTTGAGAGTATGTCCATCTGTTTATTCAATCTTTAGTCTATATACACATTCTTCTGGATTAGTACTAATTTTGTGCATTTTCTTTTTAATTATCAGGAAAATGAAGCAACTGGTTTAGGAAATGAGGAAGGGAAAGTCCAAGTGTGTGATGCGGAAATGTTAGATGAGCTAACTATACCACGACGATAAGAAAATTACGATGAGTTCATCGGTGCTATACGCTCGGAAAGAAGTTGTAGATCGACTTAGTGGTGAATAGTAAAACAATCGACTTAGTGGTGAATAGTAAAACAATCGCTTAGTAGTGAATAGTAAAACAGTAACTCAAAGTTGGTTGTAAACAGTACTATTGGCGTCGGCGTATACTGATACTATTCAAATATATTAGTACTATTTACGTATACTGATACTATTTATGTATACTGATACTATTCACGGATACTATTCACGTATACTAACAATCAAGGTGAAGACAGACTCGAGTGGGAGCAATAGCTGCAGATGAAGGAGAAAGTAAAACAAAACAAAAGAAAAGATGATTATTGTAATTTGTACAGAATCATTTTGAACTTATCTTTTCTTTTCTTTTTTCAGTTTTTAGAATTATTGCTGATATGTGATGGTTTGGAATTCGTCATTAGTAGTTGTAGATGTAATGACAAATGCAATGACAAAGGCAATCAACTGCGAAATGATAAAAAATGTAAAATTACATTGAAAATTGATTTCTCCTCTTCACTCTCGCTCTCTTTTGCAACTGCATATCCCTATATATCATTTTGTAACTGTTTTCCATTACAAATAATTTTATTACAAATGAAAAGCAACAACAACGGTGAAATCAGTTCAGGGAAAGAAATGCAGTTTCGGTTCGAGTTGGGCCTGGTATTATGCTGACCCATGCTGGACTCAGCCTCTAAAAGCACCAGCTAACTGAAAACGGCAGCGTGTTTGAGTAAATATAATTGATTTCTCCTCTTCGCTCTTGCAACTGCAAAACCCTAAAACGCTTAAGTACCGTGACCTATCTTGAACTGCCGGAATGGAGGCAGAGCAGGCAATATTATGGCTCTTTTGATGTTAAATTCTCAGAAAGTTTCGTATTGCTGAATGGTTTTCTGGGTAAAAATCGTATTTTCGATTTTATAGCTCACTGATTTACAAGGCAGATAAAGCAAAACGTCCAATTCCAGCTGTTTCCCCTCCTAAACTCGGTGAGTTGGCCTTTCATATGATGTTCCGTTTCTCCAATAGAAGATTGGCGTTAAATGATTGGGGTCATGCGCTGTTAGACTCGAACAGTGCCCAATTGGGTATTATTCATTTTGCGCTGTTAGACTCGAACAGTGCCCAATTGGGTATTATTCATTTTAAAGCACTGGTTACAATCAGGTATTTCTCATCTAAATCTAATACACACTCTTTTACAGTGTCATACCTCATCAACTCATGTGGCTTATCCTCACAATCTGCTAAACGTGTTTCAAAGAACGTAAATTTTGAAAACTCTGAAAGACCAGATTCTGTCATTAGTCTTCTCAAAGACTATGGACTCACCAAATACCAGATATCTCAAGTTATTAGGGGACAGCCCAAATTGATTTTATTCGATCCCGTGAAGACAATATTACCAAAGATTCAATTTTTACGTTCTATTGGGGTTTCTGGCTTAGACCTTCCGGTGATGATATCTAAGAACCCAGTTTTCTTGTCTGGCAGCTTGAACAATCTTTTGATCCCAGTTTATGCTGTTATTAAAAGTTTGTTATTTTCTGATGAGAAAGTGCTTATTATATTGAAACGCATATCAGCATTCAATATGTGCTATGTCAAGGAACACTTGCCTGTCAATTTATCAGTCTTAAGGGAGCTCGGAATGCGTCAATCTACCATCTCTATTTTGATTACCAGTTGCCCCAACACTGTATGCACAAATTCTGAAAAGTTTAGTGTTGCGACCCTATACACTGTTCATGCCACCTAAATTCTGAAAAGTTTTATGTGAAGCGTGTCAAACCACTTGTCCTATATAGGTTTATGGATTTGGAATTCTCCCTCGGAATCTTCACTCCTCCCCGCCATGCCCTCATTCGCTCGAGTGATCAATCAAATCGCGAAATCACCATAAATACATGGAAGCGAAAAATTTGATGGGCCCCTTCACCACCGTCTGGTCTCTTCGGCCGATACGAAGATAACTATTGGTCCTCGTTATCAAATAAAGCGTTCCATCTTGTGTACTGGAGTTACTCAAGCTGAAGCACATATGTATAAAGAAGATAGATTCTTCATTCGGTCGAACACAAACAACTGGACGCTGTTTGCCAGCGCCTGCTACATCACTTGTCTGCAAAAAGTAGTCTCCTCAGTTGTTATGTTATAGTTTCGATATAAGGAGGGTGTTCCAACGGTGTTCAGTTTTAAGAGTTTTAAGAGTTTTGATTCTGAAGGGTTTGATCAGAGCAGAAATCAGTTTAGCTTCTATTCTTGGATATTCTGAAGAAAAATTCTTGGACATGTTTGTGATCAAGTATCAAGAACAAGTACCTGAATTCTCGGATGTTCTTCTGGGGAAAATTGATATTGTCGAACTTGGTTTGAGTTTGATGAAGAATTTGGGGGATTCAGCTGTAAAGCATACAGAAGTTTAATGTAAACCGGACACAATATTGCATTAGCTTGACTGAAATGAGGTTACTTTTTCTAATTAACTTGTAATAGGCGAGTCTATCAATTTATTTGTTAATAAGAAGATTCGTGTGTCTTGTACTAGTAGTATCCTCTCCTTGTTCAAGTTCTCCCTAAGCTTTTGCTGTTATTTATGTCTTAAGTTTCTCGTTCTGTAAATGCTTTTTAGTCACCAAAAATTTTTATCTAAAAATGAACAGCAAAGGCCATGTTATTTGAAATTAAACATTGTCAATCCACAGACATGTTATGATCATTAGTTTTGGTTCTTCGAGTTGGGCCTGGTATACCCATGCTGGACTCAGCCTCTAAAAACTGTTTAGTCCTCATCATTTACGAGAACTAGATGCAGCTGAATATGAGGAAATTACCAGAGCTCCACGACTATCTTTCAGCCTTTCTTTGAGAGTATGTCCATCTGTTTATTCAATCTTAACTGTTTTAAATCCTCATCAATTTACCTAGAAACTAGATAGGCTTTTTACCAGAAGCTCCAACGACTATCTTTTTCAGGCCTACTGACTTGAGAGTATGTCCATCTGTTGGTAGTTGCATTCTTCAGGATGATCGAAATGTCCTCCCAAATAACATCTCTCGCACGCCTTACTCACTCTCTAGACTCTTTGTATGCATTAGCAAGCGACTTTTACTTTTTCGAACCACAGTGTAGCTTCGCAGCTTTGCACAACAAAAGTGAGTCTCAATCTTTAAAAATCCTTCTGCCATACCATTATGAGATTCTTTATTGGCTATGATTTCTTGGTACGTGCCGTGATATATGACATTTTATTGCTAGGATTTCTGGTACGTGCCTATATAATACCTTAAACCGTCTATTTTCCTATGCTTTCTTCCAAAACCCTATATTCAATTATTATCTAAATGGTTTTCCAGACTTTGCTTTGTGGATTGCTTGGACTACCTCCTTCTAATGGAGTTCTACCCCAGTCACCGATGCACACAAAGAGCCTTGCTGTCCTAAAGAGACAGGTGACACCACAACAAATAAAAGATTTAACATAGTTTGATACATGTTAGAAGTAATAATTAATAACATATGAAATGTTAGTGAAAGGTTTTTGGTTATGGTGTGTTTTTTCTAATGCTTATTAGTATCCAGTTTTTTTCTTTTAACTACTCAAAGGAGTACTTTCTTATAGTGTAAGGTCCATAAACTGTACTTCTTTAATCGGTCTAATAATGTGCAGTTGATTCGGAGGAAAATGGTTGAAAGTGCTAAAGAAAGCATCAAACAGAAAGCTAGCAACTCGGAAATATATGGCAAGATGCAAGCTTTATTCATAGAAATGGACAGTAGTCCAGCTGTAAGTCCAAATGTAGAATTGCACAAGTATGTCCCCAATGTATCAAACAATTGCTAATACTCAAAGTCTGCGTTTAACTGCAGATTGCAGTAGCTAAAGAGCTGGAAGACTTGAAGGAGGCAGTGATGAAAGGGGAAGACAAGGAAGAAAATCCCAAAGATGCATTTGATCCTGAGAAGCATATTGATGCTTACTTGCCTGTTAGAGTTAATGAACAAAGAGTGAGCAATCTTTTGCAGTCGCTTCTGAGTTAATGAACAAAGAGTGTAGCCAATCTTTTGCAGTCGCTTTCTGATCTAGCAGGAATCAGTATGCGCTATCGCCTTGCAATTGTAAGTAGCAGGATCAGTATGCGCTATGCCTGCAATAAAGCTAATACCTACATCAGTTCTCTGGGGATACTTTGCGTACATGGCTATTGACAGTTTACCTGGAAATCAGTTCTGGGAAAGAATACTACTTCTTTTCGTCATGCCTGGAAGGCGCTACAAGTAAAGTTTTTTAGTTAAATATTTCATTGCATATGGTTTCTTGAAGTTAGGATATATGTTTGCTGATAATTTTCTTTTGACAGGGTGTTGGAAAGAGTTCATGCTTCATTTCTTGAATCAGTTCCATTCAAGTACACTGCTATTTTTACACTAGGGTGTTGGAAAGAGTTCATGCTTCATTTCTTGAATCAGTTCCATTCAAGTACACTGCTATTTTTACACTCATACAGTTGGTGTATTTCCTGGTCTGTTTTGGTGTTACATGGGTTCCAATAGCTGGAGTTCTGTTTCCATTGCGCTTCTTTATTCTGATTTGGATAAGCAGCACATATTTCCTAAACTATTTAGTCATCATTTACGAGAACTAGGTGCAGCTGAATATGAGGAAATTACCAGAGCTCCACGATTATCTTTCAGCCTTTCTTTGAGAGTATGTCCATCTGTTTATTCAATCTTTGTTTATTCAATCTTTAGTCTATATATACATTTTTTTGGATTAGTACTAATTTGTGCATTTTCCTTTTAATTATCAGGAAAATGAAGCAACTGGTTTAGGAAATGAGGAAGGGAAAATCCAAGTGTTTGATGCGGAAATGTTAGATGAGCTAACTACTAGCAGAGGGGAGTTCAAAGTTAGAACTGTAAGCTTCCATGAAGAAAATCGCAGTCAGGTGAGACAATTTTTCTTTTTTCGCTCTTTCTTCGTATATATATGTATATGTATATATAATTCTTTACTGATATTTTCATTTTTACATGTTCATTTCTTTACTGCAGATTTATCCTGAGGGAATTACTGAAGAAGAGTAAAACAAAACAGAAAAGATTTTGTAGCTGCTAAGAAAAGATGATATTGTAATTTGTACAGAACCATTTTGAACTTTTCTTTTCTTTTCCAATTTTTAGAATTATTGCTGATATGTGACGGTTTGGTATTCCTCATTAGTAGTTGTAGATGTAATGACAAAGGCAAGCAACTACGAAATGATAAAAAATGTAAAATTACATTGAAAATTGATTTCTCCTCTTTCCTCTCGCTCTCTTTTGCAACTGCATATCCCTATAAATCATTTTGTAACTGTTTTCCATTGCCAATAATTTTATTAAAAATGAACAGCAATAACAACAGTGAAATCAGTTCAGAGAAAGAAACGCGGTTTCGGTTCGAGTTGGGCCTGGTATTATGCCGACCCATGCTGGACTCAGCCTCTAAAAGCACCAGCTAAGTAAAAACGGCAGCGTGTTTGAGTAAATAAAATTGATTTCTCCTCTTCCCTCTTGAAACTGCAAAACCCTAAAACACTAAGTACCGTGACCTATCTTGAACTGCCGGAATGGAGGCAGAGCAGGCAATATTATGGCTCTTTTGATGTCAAATTCTCAGAAAGTTTCGTATTGCTGAATGGTTTTCTGGGTAAAAATCGTATTTTCGATTTTATAGCTCACTGATTTACAAGGCAGATAAAGCAAAACGTCCAAGTCCAGCTGTTTCCCCTCCTAAACTCGGTGAGTTGGCCTTTCATACGATGTTCCGTTTCTTCAGTGGAAGATTGGCGTTAAATGATTGGAGTCATGTTCTGTTAGACTCAAACAGTACCCAATTGGGTATTATTCATTTTAAAGAACTGCTTACGGTCAGGTATTTCTCATCTAAATCTAATCAACACTCTTTTACAGTGTCCTATCTCATCAACTCATGTGGCTTATCCTCACAATCTGCTAAACTTGTTTCAAAGTACGTAAATTTTGAAAACACTGAAAGACCAGATTCTGTCATTAGTCTTCTCAAAGACTATGGACTCACGCTACTCTTTCTACTCACGAGTTGATCCGATTATCATCATCAACTCATCGTGGCTTATCCTCACAATCTGCTTAACACTTGTTTCAAAGTTTACTAAATTTTTTGAAAACACTTGAAAGACCAGATTCTGTCACTTAGTCTTCTCCAAAGACTATGGGAGCTCACCAAAAATAACCCAGAATTAATCCCCTCAAGTTCATCTTAGGGGACAGCCCAAGTTGATTTTATCTTCGATCTCCCGTTGGAAGACCTCACAATCTGCTAAACTTGTTTCAAAGTACGTAAATTTTGAAAACACTGAAAGACCAGATTCTGTCATTAGTCTTCTCAAAGACTATGGACTCACCAAATACCAGATATCTCAAGTTATTAGGGGACAGCCCAAGTTGATTTTATTCGATCCCGTGAAGACAATATTACCAAAGATTCAATTTTTACGTTCGATTGGGGTTTCTGGCTCAGACCTTCCGGTGATGATATCTAAGAACCCAGTTTTCTTGTCTGGCAGCTTGAACAATCTTTTGATCCCATTTTATGATTTTATTAAAAGTTTGGTATTTTCTGATGAGAAAGTGCTTATTATATTGAAACGCATATCAGCATTCAACATGTGCTATGTCAAGGAACACTTGCCTGTTAATTTATCAGTCTTAAGAGAGCTCGGAATGCGCCAATCTACCATCTCTATTTTGATTACCACTTCCCCCAACGCTGTATGCACAAATTCTGAAAGGTTTAGTGAAGCTATTAAAAATGTTGTAGGTATGGGATTTGATCCTCTGAATATTTCATTTGCCGATGCTCTTCGAATGATAATTCAAATGAATTCCAAAACATGGAAACAAAAAATTGATGCTTACAGTAGGTCGGGTTTTTCGGAAGAAGAAATATGGTCTGTTATCAAAAAGCGTCCACTGTGTATGAGTTTATCAGAGAAGACAATTATAAAGAAGATAGATTTTCTTGTGAACAAAATGGGTTGGCAGCCTGCAATTGTTGCAAAACATCCAATTGTTTTAAGTTATAGTTTCGAGAAGAGGGTTGTTCCAAGGTGTTCAGTTATAAGAGTTTTGATTCTAAAGGGTTTGATCAGAGCAGAAATCAGTTTAACTTCTATTCTTGGATATTCTGAAGAAAAATTCTTGGACATGTTTGTGATCAAGCATCGAGAACAGGTACCTGAATTCTCGGATGTTCTCCTGGGGAAAATTGATATTGTTGAACTTGGTTTGAGTTTGATGAAGAATTTGGGGGATTCAGCTGTAAAGCATACAGCAGTTTAATGTAAACCGGACACAACATTGCATTAGCTTGACTGAAATGAGGTTACTTTAAAGCATACAGCAGTTTAATGTAAACCGGACACAACATTGCATTAGCTTGACTGAAATGAGGTTACTTTTTCTAATTAACTTGTAATAGGTGAGTCTATCAATTTATTTGTTAATAAGAAGATTCGTGTGTCTTGTACTAGTAGTATTCTGTAAATGCTTTTTGTTCACCAAAAATTTTTATCTAAAAATGAACAGCAAAGACCATGTAATTTGAAATTAAACATTGTCAATCCATAGACATGTATGGTAATTAGTTTTGCGTTGCTTTTCTTAATCAAAGGGAGGATTTTGTACAGAACCACTGCTTTTCTTTGGGAACTTTTTCCAATTAATTAGGTTGGAATATTGAACTCGCAATAATCTCATAATTTTTGAGAGGAAAATCACAAGTTAGGAGGGAAGCATTGTCGGTTCGAGTTGGGCCCGGTGTATACCCATGCACTCAGCCTCTACAAACTGTTTAGTCCTCATCATTTAAGAGAACTAGATGTAGCTGAATATGAGGAAATTACCAGAGCTCCACGACTATCTTTCAGCCTTTCTTTGAGAGTATGTCCATCTGTTTATTCAATCTTTAGTCTATACATACATTTTTTTGGATTAGTACTAATTTTGTGCATTTTCTTTTTAATTATCAGGAAAATGAAGCAACTGGTTTAGGAAATTAGGAAGGGAAAGTCCAAGTGTGTTACGCAGAAATGTTAGATGAGCTAACTACTAGCAGTAAACTACTACTAGCAGAGGAGGAGTTTCAAAGTTAGAACCCGTAAGTTTCCATGAAGAAAATCGCAGTCAGGTAAGATAATTTTTCTTTTTTTTCGCTCTCCCTTGTATATATATATATTATATATATATCTTTATATATAATTTCGTTTATCTGACCCAATTTCCATCTTTTACATGTTCCGAAATCTTTCTGCAGGATTTATCCTGAGGAATTACTGAAGAATTTATCCTGAGGGAATTACTGAAGAAGAGTGAAATCAATATCAACATGAAGTCGGAGAAAGTGAAACAAAAGAAAAGAAAAGATTTTGGAGCTGATAAGAAAAGATGATTATTGCAATTTGTATAGAATTATTTTCAACTTTTCTTTTCTTTTTCCAATTTATGGAATTATTGCTGATATGTGATGGTTGGTATTCGTCATTAGTAGTTGAAGATATGTAATGACAAATGCAAACAACTACGAAATGATAAAAAATGTAAAGTTACATTGAAATTTCATGAAAAAGAACTGCCACAAGGTGAAGATTTTGACAAAAAATTTAACAGCAAGTTGCGGTGAGAATGGAGAACCTAACTCGTAGAAACTGGATACAAATCATATGTCAATAATCTTTTGCCTTGTATTATTGCTTCCTTCTAGGTGGACCTTGTCAAAGTTGGTTTTGGTGGTCCCACTTAAATGGGACCCACATGTGCAAAAGAAAAAAAGAAAAAAAAAAAAAAAGGAAAACGTGTTATTTGGAAAAGAAGAAAAGTTGTCAATTTTCTTTTGACAAAGTATACAACTGCCTATAAAAAGAGGCAGACGAAGTTCATTTAAATACACAAGACAAATAGAGAGTGATAGCAATTGAGAGAGAGAGCAACTGTAAGAGAGAAAAATAGAGAGATTATGCAAGAAGAAAAATTAAGTTTAATTTTTCGGGTATTCTTGGATAGCGGGTTGTGAGTGTATGTAAATACTTTATTTATTTTTCTCTATAAAAGATATGTGGCAGTCCGGAGAAGTAGGCAAGATTGGCCGAACTCCATTATCGTAGGCAAGATTGGCCGAAACTCCCATTATCAAATTGTGTGTTATTTATTTTTCTTTTTGCTCCCTCTATAAATCTAAGTTAATTGGGGATTTTTGCGTACGGATTTTTTTCAACTTACTGGTTATCGAGAGCACCGAACGGTTTCGCAGGTCCAGCTGCTTTCAGGTAGCACCGGTTACCAAAATCCGTGGATATATGTTTCGGCAGGTCCAGCTGGTCAGATAGCGGTACCAGATCCGTGGATATATTTTGAAAACAAATATACCACGACGATAAGAAAATTACGATGAGTTCATCGGTGCTATACGCTCGGAAAGAAGTTGTAGATCGACTTAGTGGTGAATAGTAAAACAATCGACTTAGTGGTGAATAGTAAAACAATCGCTTAGTAGTGAATAGTAAAACAGTAACTCAAAGTTGGTTGTAAACAGTACTATTGGCGTCGGCGTATACTGATACTATTCAAATATATTAGTACTATTTACGTATACTGATACTATTTATGTATACTGATACTATTCACGGATACTATTCACGTATACTAACAATCAAGGTGAAGACAGACTCGAGTGGGAGCAATAGCTGCAGATGAAGGAGAAAGTAAAACAAAACAAAAGAAAAGATGATTATTGTAATTTGTACAGAATCATTTTGAACTTATCTTTTCTTTTCTTTTTTCAGTTTTTAGAATTATTGCTGATATGTGATGGTTTGGAATTCGTCATTAGTAGTTGTAGATGTAATGACAAATGCAATGACAAAGGCAATCAACTGCGAAATGATAAAAAATGTAAAATTACATTGAAAATTGATTTCTCCTCTTCACTCTCGCTCTCTTTTGCAACTGCATATCCCTATATATCATTTTGTAACTGTTTTCCATTACAAATAATTTTATTACAAATGAAAAGCAACAACAACGGTGAAATCAGTTCAGGGAAAGAAATGCAGTTTCGGTTCGAGTTGGGCCTGGTATTATGCTGACCCATGCTGGACTCAGCCTCTAAAAGCACCAGCTAACTGAAAACGGCAGCGTGTTTGAGTAAATATAATTGATTTCTCCTCTTCGCTCTTGCAACTGCAAAACCCTAAAACGCTTAAGTACCGTGACCTATCTTGAACTGCCGGAATGGAGGCAGAGCAGGCAATATTATGGCTCTTTTGATGTTAAATTCTCAGAAAGTTTCGTATTGCTGAATGGTTTTCTGGGTAAAAATCGTATTTTCGATTTTATAGCTCACTGATTTACAAGGCAGATAAAGCAAAACGTCCAATTCCAGCTGTTTCCCCTCCTAAACTCGGTGAGTTGGCCTTTCATATGATGTTCCGTTTCTCCAATAGAAGATTGGCGTTAAATGATTGGGGTCATGCGCTGTTAGACTCGAACAGTGCCCAATTGGGTATTATTCATTTTAAAGCACTGGTTACAATCAGGTATTTTTCATCTAAATCTAATACACACTCTTTTACAGTGTCATACCTCATCAACTCATGTGGCTTATCCTCACAATCTGCTAAACGTGTTTCAAAGTACGTAAATTTTGAAAACTCGTCATAACCTCATCAAACTTCATGTGGCCATATCCTTTTAAAGCACTGGTTACAATCAGGTATTTTTCATCTAAATCTAATACACACTCTTTTACAGTGTCATACCTCATCAACTCATGTGGCTTATCCTCACAATCTGCTAAACGTGTTTCAAAGTACGTAAATTTTGAAAACTCCGAAAGACCAGATGCTGTCATTAATCTTCTCAAAGACTATGGACTCACCAAATACCAGATATCTCAAGTTATTAGGGGACAGCCCAAGTTGATTTTATTCGATCCCGTGAAGACAATATTACCAAAGATTCAATTTTTACGTTCTATTGGGGTTTCTGACCTTCCGGTGATGATATCTAAGAACCCAGTTTTCTTGTCTGGCAGCTTGAACAATCTTTTGATCCCAGTTTATGGTCTTATTAAAAGTTTGTTATTTTCTGATGAGAAAGTGCTTATTATATTGAAACGCATATCAGCATTCAACATGTGCTATGTCAAGGAACACTTGCCTGTTAATTTATCAGTCTTAAGAGAGCTCGGAATGCGTCAATCTACCATCTCTATTTTGATTACCAATTGCCCCAACGCTGTATGCGCAAATTCTGAAAGGTTTAGTGAAGCTATTAAAAATGTTGTAGGTATGGGATTTGATCCTCGGAATATTTCATTTGCCAATGCTCTTCGAATGATAATGCAAATGAAATCCAAAACATGGAAACAAAAAATTGATGCTTTCAGTAGGTTGGGTTTTTCGGAAGAAGAAATATGGTCTGTCATCAAAAAGCGTCCACTGTGTATGGGTTACTCAGAGAAGACAATTATAAAGAAGATAGATTTTCTTGTGAACAAAATGGGTTGGCAGCCTGCAATTATTGCAAAATATCCAGTTGTTTTATGTTATAGTTTCGAGAAGAGGGTTGTTCCAAGGTGTTCAGTTAAGGTGGTTTCAGTTTTAGAGTTTGATTCGTTTAAAGGGTTGATTCAGAGGCAGAAATTCAGTTTAGCTGTCTTATTCTTGGATATTCTGAAGGAAAGCAGAAATCAGTTTAGCTTCTATTCTTGGATATTCTGAAGAAAAATTCTTGGACATGTTTGTGATCAAGTATCCAGAACAAGTACCTGAATTCTCGGATGTTCTCCTGGGGACAATTGATATTGTTGAACTTGGTTTGCGTTTGATGAAGAATTTGGGGGATTCAGCTGTAAAGCATACAGCAGTTTAATGTAAACCGGGCACAACATTGCATTAGCTTGACTGAAATGAGGTTGCTTTTTCTAATTTAACTTGTAATAGGCGAGTCTATCAATTTATTTGTTAATAAGAAGATTCGTGTGTCTTGTACTAGTAGTATCCTCTCCTTGTTCAAGTTCTCCCTAAGCTTTTGCTGTTGTTTATGTCTTAGGTTTCTCGTTCTGTAAATGCTTTTTGGTCACCAAAAATTTTTATCTAAAAATGAAGAGCAAAGGCCATGTAATTTGAAATTAAACATTGTCAATCCATAGACATGTTATGATCATCAGTTTTGGTTCTTCGAGTTGGTCCTGTTATACCCATGCTGGACTCAGCCTCTAAAAACTGTTTGCATGCTGGACTCAGCCTCTAAAAACTGTTTGGTCCTCATCATTTACGAGAACTAGATGCAGCTGAATATGAGGAAATTACCAGAGCTCCACGACTATCTTTCAGCCTTTCTTTGAGAGTATGTCCATCTGTTTATTCAATCTTTAGTCTATATATACACATGCTGGACTCAGCCTCTAAAAACTGTTTGGTCCTCATCATTTACGAGAACTAGATGCAGCTGAATATGAGGAAATTACCAGAGCTCCACGACTATCTTTCAGCCTTTCTTTGAGAGTATGTCCATCTGTTTATTCAATCTTTAGTCTATATATACATTTTTTTTTATTAGTACTAATTTTGTGCATTTTCTTTTTAATTATCAGGAAAATGAAGCAACTGGTTTAGGAAATGAGGAAGGGAAAGTCCAAGTTTGTGATGCGGAAATGTTAGATGAGCTAACTACTAGCAGAGGGGAGTTCAAAGAACTGTAAGCTTCCATGAAGAAAATCGCAGTCAGGTGAGATAATCTTTCTTTTTTCGCTCTCTCTTTATATATATATATATATATAATTCTTTACTGGCAATTTCATTTTTACATGTTCATATCTTTACTGCAGATTTATCCTGAGGGAATTGCTGAAGAAGAGTGAAACCAATATCAACATGAAGTCGGAGAAAGTGAAGGATAAATTGCCTGAAGAAGAGTGGAAACCAATATCAAACAGGATGAAGTCGGAGAAAGTGAAAACAAAAAGAAAAGAAAAGATTTTGGAGGCTGATAAGAAAGATGATTATTAACAAAAGAAAAGAAAAGATTTTGGAGCTGATAAGAAAAGATGATTATTGCAATTTGTATAGAATTATTTTAAACTTTTCTTTTCTTTTTCCAATTTATGGAATTATTGCTGATATGTGATGGTTTGGTATTCGTCATTAGTAGTTGTAGATATGTAATGACAAATGCAAACAATTACGAAATGATAAAAAATGTAGAGTTGCATTGAAATTTTCTTGAAAAAGGACTGCCACATGGTGAATATTTTGGCAAAAAATTTAACAGCAAGTTGCGGTGAGAATGGAGAACCTAACTCGTATGAACTGGATACAACTCAAAATTCTTTTGCCTTGTGTTATTGCTTCCTTCTAGGTAGGAGCTATTTTGAATTAGCTTTATCGCAATTGGGTTACTTTTTCTGATTAACTTGTCATAGCAGAGTCCATTAATTTATCTGTTAATAAGAAGATTCATCTTTGCCTTGTAGTAGTAGTATCCTCTCCTTTTTCAATTTCCCCATGTTATATATATATTGAGTTTTTTTGCCTTTTGACCGACGGAAATGAGTCAAAATAAAAATTGAAGATAACATTGAATTATTTTTTTCATATTTTATTTTTATGATAATTTTAAATGACAATCTATATATTTGGTCATAAATTAGATTATCATGAGGTACTTGATTTCTTGCGAAGAAAATTAGACTTAAATTATATATAAATTTCTCTGTTGGACTCAAAGAACCAATTTGATAAGAACTATCGATTATTTAAAATCCCTCCAACCAACTGTTTTATTATTCCTCTTTAGGAACCTTTTTCGATTAATTAGGTTGGAATATGAACGCCTAATCTCGTAAGTTTTTGAGGGTAAAACCACAACACCGAGAAGAAATGCTGTTTAGGTTCGAGTTGGACCTGGTATTATGCTGACCCATGGCTCTTTTGATGTCAAATTCTCATAAATTTTCGTATTGATGAATGGTTTTCTGGGTAAAATCGAAACGATTTTATAGCTCACTGACTTACAAGGCAGATAAAGCAAAACATCCAATTCCACCTCTTTCCCTGCTGAAATCGATGAGTTGGCCTTTCATACGATGTCCCGTTTCTTCAGTGGAAGATTGGCGTTAAATGATTGGAGTCATGTTCTGTTAGACTCAAACAGTACCCAATTGGGTATTATTCATTTTAAAGACTCAGTGGAAAGATTGGCGTTAAATGATTGGAGTCGATGTTCTGTTAGACTCAACAGTACCCCAATGGGTATTATTTCATTTTAAAGAACTGGCTTACGGTCAGGTATTTCTCCATTCTAAATCTAATCAACAACTCTTTTACAGTGTTCATAACCTCCATCAAACTCATGTGGCTTATCCTCACAATCTGCTAAACTTGTGTTTCAAAGTACGTAAATTTTGAAAAACTCTGAAAAGACCAGATTCTGTCATTAGTCTTCTCAAAGACTATGGACTCAACCGAAAGAACGCAGAATATCCCAAAGTTGTTAGGGACAGCCGAAGTTGATTTTATTCGATCCCACAGAAGATGATCTGTTTGCCAAAGATTCAATTTTTACGTTTCTATTGGGTTTTGCTAGCTCAGAACCTTTCCGGTGATGATAATCTGATAGAGACCCAAGTTTTCTTGACTGGGGAGCAAATGAACAATCTTTTGAAATCCCATTTATGCTTTTATCTAAAAGTTTGGTTAATTTTCTGATGGAGAAAGTGCTTATTATATTTGATGGAGTAGCGCATATCAGCTATTTTCTGATGAGAAAGTGCTTATTATATTGAAACGCATATCAGCATTTAGCATGTGCTATGTCAAGGAACACTTGCCTGTTAATTTATCAGTCTTAAGGGAGCTCGGAATTCGTCAATCTACCTTCTCTATTTTGATTACCAGTTGCCCCAAAACTGTATGCTCAAATTCTGAAAAGTTTAGTGAAGCTGTCAAAAATGTTATAGGTATGGGATTTGATCCTCTGAATCTTTCATTTGCCGATGCTCTTCGAGTGATAATTCAAATGAAATCCAAAACATGGAAACGAAAAATTGATGCTTACAGTGGGTCGGGTTTGTCGGAAGAAGAGATCTGGTCTGTTATCAAAAAGCGCCCACTGTGTATTGGTTATTCAGAGAAGACAATTATAAAGAAGATAGATTTTCTTGTGAACAAAATGGGTTGGCAGCCTGCAAGTGTTGCAAAACATCCAGCTGTTTTATGTTATAGTTTCGACAAGACGGTTGTTCCAAGGTGCTCAGTTTTAAGAGTTTTGATTCTAAAGGGTTTGATCAGAGCAGAAATCAGTTTAGCTTCTATTCTTGGATATTCTGAAGAAAAATTCTTGGACATGTTTGCGATCAAGTATCAAGAACAAGTACCTGAAATCTTGGATGTTCTTTCGCGGAGGGGGGGGGGGGGGGGGGGGGGTGTGGCGCCCAATTGATATTGTTGAATTTGTTTTGAGTTTGATGAAGAATTTGGGGGATTCGGCTATAAAGCATACAGCAGTTTAATATAGACCGGACACAACAGCCGTACATTAAAATTCTTTTGCCTTGTATTGTTGCTTCCTTTGAGCTGGCAACAACTTTGAATTAGGTTGACTGAAATGGGGTTACTCTTTCTAATTAACTTGTAACAGCCGATTCTATCAATTTATCTATTTATAAGAAGATTCGTCTGTGTCTTGTGCTAGTAATATCCTCCGCTTATTCAAGTTCTCCCTATCTTAAGCTTTTGCTGTTATATATGTGTTAGGTTTCTTGTTCTGTAAATGTTTTTTGGTCACCAAAAATTTTTATTTAAAAATGAACAGCAAAGACCATATAATTGTGAGATTTTTGTTTAGAAATGAAAATTGTAAGGACACGGCTCGCTTGCTCTTTGATATGATTGACAAAGCCTTTTTCCCAAGTTTCAATTTATACGTTCTGGTTCTACAGGGTTTCCAACAAAGACATTCCAGAACTAAATAATCAATAGGAAACCAAATATTCTGCAAAGGGGTTTGGAGAAATATATGATCCCATTTTAATATGTTATGATATCCTTAAACTATGCTATAATAATTATTTTTGGGTTCCTTTTCTTAATGAAAGGGAGGATTTTGTAGAGAATTACTGCTTTTCTTTAGGAACTTTTTTTCAATTAATTAGGTTGGAATAATCTCATAATTTTTGAGGGGAAAATCACAAGCTAGGAGGGAAGCATTTTCGGTTCGAGTTGGCTTGGTATTATGCTGAACCATGCTGGACTCAGCCTCTAAAAGCACCAGTCAAATTAGCTAAGTCGAAACGGTAGCGTTGGAAGTAAATAAAATTGATTTCTCCTCTTCCGTCTTGCTCCCTCTTGCAACTGCAAAACCCTAAAACCCAAAGAGACTGAATTTATCTTCAACTGTCGGAGTGGAGGCAGAGCAGGCAACCATTGGCTCTTTTGCTGTCGACTTCTCATAAATTTTCGTACTGTTGAATGGTTTTCTGGGTAAAATCGTATTCTCGATTTATAGCTCACTGATTTACAAGGGAGATAAAGCAAAACATCCAATTCCACCTCTTTCCTTTCTCAACTCGGTGAGTTGGCCTTTCATACGATGTTCCGTTTCTTCAGTGGAAGATTGGCGTTAAATGATTGGAGTCATGTTCTGTTAGACTCAAACAGCCTTATCATAACGATGTTGCCGTTTCTTCAGTGGAAGATTGGCGTTAAATGATTGGGAAAGGTCTGTTCTGTTTAGACTCAGATAAAGCAAAACATCCAATTCCACCTCTTTCCTTTCTCAACTCGGTGAGTTGGCCTTTCATACGATGTTCCGTTTCTTCAGTGGAAGATTGGCGTTAAATGATTGGAGTCATGTTCTGTTAGACTCAAACAGTACCCAGTTGGGTATTATTCATTTTAAAGAGCTGCTTACAGTCAGGTATTTCTCATCTAATTCTAATCAACGCTCGTTTACAGTGTCCTATCTCATCAACTCATGTGGCTTATCATCACAATATGCTAAACTTATTTCAAAGTACGTTAAGTTTGAAAACCCTGAAAGACCAGATTCTGTCATTAGTCTTCTCAAAGACAATGGACTGACCAAATACCAGATCTCCCAAATTGTTAGGGGACAGCCCAGGTTGATTTTATTCGATCCCGAGAAGACAATATTGCCAAAGATTCAATTTTTACGTTCTGTTGGGATTTCTGACTCAGACCTTCCGGTGATGATATCTAGGAACCCAATTTTCTTGTCAGGCAGCTTGAACAATCTTTTGATCCCATTTTATGATTTTCTTAAAAGTTTATTATTTTCTGATGAGAAAGTTCTTATTATATTGAAACGCATATCACCATTAAACATGTGCTATGTCAAGGAACACTTGCCCATTAATGTATCAGTCTTAAGAGAGCTGGGAATGCGTCTATCTACCATCTCTATTTTGATTACCTGTAACCCCAACATTATATGCCTAAAATCTGATAAGTTTATTGGAGCTGTTAAAAAGGTTATAGGTATGGGATTTGATCCTCTGAATCTTCAATTTGCTAATGCACTTCGAGTGATTATTCAACTGAACTCCAAAACATGGAAACGTAAAATTGATGCTTATAGTAGATCGGGTTTGTCGGAAGAAGAAATATTGTCTGCTTTCAGAAACTTTCCTCTGTTTATGACTTTATCAGAGAAGACATTTATGAAGAAGATGGATTTTCTTGTGAACAAAATGGGTTGGCAGCCTGCAATTGTTATAAAATTTCCAATTGTTTTATGTTATAGTTTGGAAAAGAGGATTGTTCCAAGGTGTTCAGTTGTAAGAGTTTTGATTCTGAAGGGTTTGATCAAACCAGACATCAGTTTAAAATATATTCTTCAATCTTCTGAAAAAAATTTCTTGGACATGTTTGTGATCAAATATCAAGAACAAGTACCTGAATTGTCAGATGTTCTCCTGGGGAAAATTGATATTGTTGAACTTGGTTTGAGTTTGATGAAGAATTTGGGGGATTCATTTGTAAAGCATACTGCAGTTTAATGTAAACTGGACACAACATTGCATTAGCTTGACTGAAATGAGGTTACTTTATCTAATTAACTTGTAATAGGTGAGTCTATCAATTTATTTGTTAATAAGAAGATTCATGTGTCTCGTACTAGTAGTATCCTCTCCTTGTTCATGTTCTCCCTATCTTAAGCTTTTGCTGTTATATATGTTTTAAGTTTCTTGTTCTGTAAATGTTTTTGGTCACCAAAAATTATATTATATATATACTGAAATGAAAACCAAAATCACTGTTCTGGAACAGGGATTTGACAATTTAACCATTTGCTTTTTATGTTATTTCTATTTTGTCCTATCCTCTATTTTCACGATCTTCCGTCGACCGACTTCTACACCCACTCAATTTCTTCAAATACTGCCACTTCACTTCCATTTTCCGGATCTTCCAGGTGATTTTCATTTTTATTTGCCTTTACCCTCCCTGCATCAAATATCTGCACTCTCTATTTTCCCCTCTCTCTCTCTCTCAAAACTTCTCTCTTTGCAAATCACAGTTTCAGTTCTCGGAAGGAGGAAAGGGGAGAATTTTGATTCTAAGCTACTATTCCAGTTTATAGAATCTTTCATTGTTTATATTTAATGTTCTTTTTGCTGTGTGGACTTGAAATGCTTGATATGCATTGATTCTGAGTTTAAGTTGGATATTGGTTAAAATTTTCATTGTTAGGATTTCGATTTGATCTTCTCTTCCTAATTGATTGAAACTCTCAGCAGGTTTCTTACCAATCAGTTATTGGTTATTTTGTAGTGAAGAATAGAGAGAAGGATGAATGACATTTTGAGCAATGTCTGCTAAGGTATGCTATATCTTGCTTATTGTGAATCGAATTGAATTTGTTTCGGCTAGATTCATGTTATTTGATTGAATGTGCGCTATTGTTTGCTGTTATTACGCTTATAGAGATTCCGTATAGGCTTAGTTTGTGAGAAATGAATGAAAAAGAATGTCACAAGAAAACCTCCGGTTCCATTTTTGTATTTTTTTTCTGGGCTGATAAATTGTTAGCCATTACTAATGGTCAAGAAGCTAAATTTATTGGAGAAAATAAATTCTGTAACTAGGCTTTTAGGGAATCTTAAAGGAGAATTTATATGGAAAAGCGATTCTATTTCTGCCAAGTAATTTTTTAGTTTCTCTTTTCCTCTCTTTCATATACCAATTCAAAGTGTAGGGTATGGTTTACTCCATTAGTCCAGGAACTGCTCTTCACGCATTTTTAAGCAATTTAAACAAATTATATTTTGAGAAGCAGAAGGTACAGTAGGAAGAGGCTGAGCAGAAAGGTTGTGTGCAGAAGGAAGGTGTAAAGTGAAGGCAATAGTTATTATCAGTTGCCAGATTTTATTATTAGAAATTTGTGTTGCTAGGAGGAGGATGATTTTGTATTTTAAGAAAAAAGAGATGCTTAAAAGCATAAATCAACTGATTTTTAACCTTTTTTTGTTTGAAATTTGTTTGAAATAGGTGTAGGTCACGAAAGCTTCCATTTGCTGATACATGTAATGTTTTATTGGTTTTATCTTTGAAATTCCATGTTAAAATTTAAACAAAGAGAACATATCTTATCCTCCTCCTCCCCCTCCCCTCCCCCCCCAAAAAAAAAAAAATCTTTGAAATTCCCATGTTAAAATTTAAAACCAAAGAGAACATATCTTATTCCTCCTCCTCCCCCTTCCCCTCCCCCCCGCAAAAAAAAAAAAAACCCCCCCCCCCCCAAAAAAAAAAAAACCCAAAAATATGCATTTTTTTATATTTATTTAATTCTTTCCGATCTTCAATTGCTGCCGAAATGCCTAATAGATCTGTGGACATGGTGCTGGCCCTTTATCTAACTCTCTCGTGTAATTGCATGTATAGTAAGGAAAGGAAAGGAAAATAATTGCTTCTGGTTCAGGAAGGAAAGGGAAAGTCTGAATTTTGGTTGATCAAGTCATCTTTTTCTAGCAGAGTAAGCAAAGTAGTAGCATTATTTCTACAAATGGGAGCTAAAAAAATCTGAAACTGTGTATAGTTTAAGGAAATTACTTTACAGAGATAATATTAAGGTAATAAAGCTTAATAATTAGGAATAATGATTACAAAGGTGGAGATTTCTCCTCTTTCACCATTTTTCAGCTCAATTACTCTCTTTTTATATGAGGTTCTTTTCTTTTTCATTTTTTTGTACTCATTGGTATCATTTATTTGTTTTCATCTCCATTTTCCTTTCTTTCCCTGTAAAAATCTCTTATTTATTTATTGCATAGTCTGTCTTTTTGGTGTGGGCTTCAAATTTTAGATCTCTTAATGTTTTCCTCATTCTACGCTAAGAATGTGTCCATCTGTATGCTGTCAAATATTTAAAAAGCTGTTATCTCATTGTAATTCATATATATTTATATTTTTTAATGTGTTGAAGATCTTTTCAAGAAGCTTGAAATTATTATCTTTTGATTCAGTGTTTTTTCTCAAGGATACTCTGAGACCATGGGATGCGCTTGAATGAAGCATAATGTATATTACTTGATCTTAGAAAATGTATTTTACTTTTTGATTAACTTTTAAAACAGTTGTTTATTGTTTTTCATATTAAGTGGATCAATTTTAGATTTTATGAATTGCTTCTCAATTATTCGACAACTTTTATACTGTTGGTCAGTGGTTTTAGGATTCAGCGTTTCCAACAGATATAGGAATAATTTAAAACTTTTTACTGCTTTAATTTAGAAAATAGTTTAATCTTAAATGATCAATATATACTTCCATGTAATCTATTCTTGGATATGTGTACTGCATGAAACTTATTTGTTATGATAAAAAGAAATTGCAATGTAATGCCGCTGCGAGGCGCGGGCATGTTTGCCTGTTTTTATCTAAAAATGAACAGCAAAGGCCATGTAATTTGAAATTAAACATTGTCAATCCATAGACATGCTATGATCGTTAGTTTTGCGTTGCTTTTCTTAAATCAAAAGGAGGATCTTGTACGGCACCACTGCTTTTCTTTAGAACTTTTTTCAATTAGGTTGAAATATTGAACTCGTAATAATCTCATAATTTTTGAGAGGAAAATCACAAGGTAGGAGGGAAGCATTTTCGGTTCGAGTTGGGCCTGGTATTATGCTGAACCATGCTGGACTCAGCCTCTAAGAACACCAGTCAAATTAGCTAAGTCGAAACGGTAGCGTTGGAAGTAAATAAAATTGATTTCTCCTCTTCCGTCTTGCTCCCTCTTGCAAGCACATGAAAATGTGATGAGAGAGAGGGACCTGGGCGGCAGCAGATTTCTTTGAATCCAAGAACTGGTTATAAATACCATATAGTCTCCGCTTCTCAGATTCAGAAATGGATGGTCTTGCTTTGGAAGCAATGGACTTCAACAAGATGAGAGAGAGGGACCTGGGCGGCAGCAGATTTCTTTGAATCCAAGAACTGGTTATAAATACCATATAGTCTCCGCTTCTCAGATTCAGAAATGGATGGTCTTGCTTTGGAAGCAATGGACTTCAACAAGGCATCAGTTATGACTGGCATTTTCCCATGTTTGCTGCTGTCTGCACTCAGATGTTCATGAACTGCCGCAAGTTGTGCATCTGATAGAAGAGCTTGTAGGTCAGCTCCACTAAATCCTTCTGTCATACATGCGATGGCATCTAAGTCAACATCACTGTCCATCGGTAGCTGCATTAATTGGCAGAAAGCAGACATAAGAAACGCAAAAAGAAACAGCAATACTTTACATGGATTCCACCTAAAATTAAATCTGGGCAGAACCACTCACCTTTCGGGAAAGAACCGTAAGGATGTCTAACCTCTCCTGCTGAGATGGAAAATCGCAGAAAAGAAGACGATCTAACCTACCAGGTCTGAGCAATGCAGCATCAAGTAGATCTGGTCTACTGCTCGACAAATGTGAGAATGCTCGACAAATGTGAAGAATGAGTGGAGCATGCAAATGAGTGGAGAGAGAGAGGAGAGAAGAGAGAGATTTCAGAGAGAGAGAGAGAGATTTACATAAAGGGTAAATCAGAAACTATAGCTGTAAACATTCAACATAATTGAAGAAGAAAATCCCTACAATGTACCTTTTCCACTACATATCATTTAGTACTTACTGCTAATGCCCATATTGCAAGTCATATATTCACAGAAAATAATGGAGAATTGGTTTTTATTGAGATATGGTATGAGACTAGAATCTGTACAATCCATCCTATTTAAATTAAAGCTTATGTGCAGAACATCATTTGATAAGTTACTAAGGATGTACAACAAATATTTAACACAAGAAGCAAAATGAAATTTTATGCATCATGCTGTGGTACTCATGCACTAAAATACTGTTAACTATTTATCGAGTATCTGATTTAAGTAATTGAAAAGGCTACAGAGGCATAATGCAAAAGTATCTTTCTACACATATTAGTATTGACTATCCAGTAATTAGTGCTATGAGAATAACCTAAAATAACATAACTTAACTCCACAAAGAAACTAACCTTGTTGCAGCAAATACGAATACACCAGTTAATACTTCAACACCGTCTAATTCAGTGAGAAACTGAGAGAGGAGAGTAATGTTACGATGAGAACCTTAATTCAGAAAACGAACACAAAAAAGAAAAAAAAAAAAAAAAATGAAAGAAAATATGGAACTGACTTGATTAACAACACGATCAGTAACACCAGTATTGTCATGCCCTCTTTTTGGGGCAATGGAATCAAATTCATCAAAAAAGAGAAGGCATGGTGCTGCAGCAGTGGCTTTCGAGAAAATATCACGAACCTGTAACCAAAGCAAGAGCATCATTAACAGCCATTTTTGCATTAAATTTTATGCCAGAGAATCATTGAACATATTTCCATTTTCTCGAAAACAACCACTAGCTTACAATACTGTGCTCTCAATTGTCACCAATGGAGCTACAAATCAGTTGCAGAACAACAGTGTCAAAGTTGCTCAGAACAACAGGTGTCAAAGGTTTATCATAATTGAATACTAAAAAGTTGTTCAGACTTCCTCTTCCCCCTCTTATTTCTTGTTTACTTTCAACGAAAGATAAAAAATAATATTATTCATTGCATCAAAAGTATAAATTATTTATGCATAGAAGTTCCTAATATTATTCATGCATCAAAAGTAAAATAAAATTATTTATGCATAGAAGTTCCATGGGAATATCTATTGGTCTTCATCTTTTGATGTTGAATCCCAAAGAATTCTATTTCAACCAAAAACAAATGATAGACACATTGAAAACGCAGAAGCAAAATATAAACTGGTAAAAAGGCATCTTGATATTAAAAAATTAAGAACCAGGTTTGCATGAAAGTAAATTGTGTAGAATGAAATTTAGTGGATTGTGTATTTTGTGGATGTGATAATTGAGGAAGGGGAGATACTAATTTAGAATACTCGTTATACAATTGACGGACATACCTTAAAACATTATTAGTAAGAGAAAAATAATCTACATCAATATTAAAAGATCCATAATAAATACGAAAAAATTCTTCTAATGCAACTAACTTAAATCTAGGACAAAGAAAAAATGCAACTAAATTTAAATCCGGAATTTCAGTATAATATTTTAACCATTTAGTTTTCATCATTAATATACATTCTTTTAAATCATCATCATTTTCATTTTCAATTATACTACTTATGGCCAAACAATTGGAAGATGGAAATAAATGGGAAGTAGGATAATATACACACTAAAATTCTTGTACAATTTTCAAAACTTTGCAAAATATCTAATGATTTTTTTTACAAATAGTCCAATTGGATGGATAAAGTTTGAAAATGTGATTGCATGGCAATGCATAAAGGCACAGAAAGAATATCTTTAAATTTTCATGGAAGACTCAGTTACATTTTTATAAGTTGAATTCCACCTTGTAGGAATATCTCTGAAAATTTTTTTATATTTTTTTCGCGCATAGAGTGCACAAAAATTTTTAAATTCTTATCTAACATATCCATGTGGTCGCATAAATTGATTTAATAGCATTTTTTATTGGACGTAAAAAAAAATACATTTAATGTTGTTAATGCATCTTGAACACATAAATTTAAAATATGACATACACATCTAGTGTGAAAAAATTGTCCATCAAATTTAGGTTGATAAAGAGTTTTTAATTTATTTATTGATGCCGTATTTGCACAAGCATTATCAAAACCAATTGTAAAAAATTTTTTTAATTATCAAAACCAATTGTAAAAATTTTTTTAGTCAAACCATATTCTTCTAAAATAATATTTAACATGGTAAAAATATTATGGGCGGTGTGAGGGTCATCAAAAACTCTAAGTGCAATAATTCTTTTTTAAATTTTCCATTCATTATCAATCCAATGGGAAGTAACACACATATAAGAATGAGTTTGCCAAGCATCACACCAAATATCACAACAAATACCAATTTTACCATTAAAATTTGCAAATAGATTTTTTAAAATTTCTTTTTCTTTAAAATAAATAGATAAAATAGTCCTTTTAAGTGTATTTCTAGGTATTTTTTTTGCTAAGGGATTTAATGTTTTTTTTACAATAGTTATTAAATCCAATTTTTTCACCAAATGAAAAAGATAATCGTTCCATACAAACCATTTTAGCCATTTCAATTTTATTAGTTACTATATTTAAATAGAGGAGTGTTAGGATCCACACATACCTTGATGACGATAATTGAGTTGAAGTTACATCCATTCCTACCTCACTTGGATTGATGTGATTTTAAATGCCTAGTTGAGAGTGCCATAGCCTCCTCCAAAAGCTTGAATGCATATTCTTATGCATATTCTTTTTTGCAATAATTACATCGAACCGCATTGATTTCTCTGTTATCTTGAACAATTTTTGCAAAGTGCTTCTTGAAAATATCTGATTTCGGTGGTTTACCTATTGAAATATTAGGAGATGTTGCTTCTTCTTGTGGTGAATGACGACGAGTATAACTCTCCTCAACTAGAGTTTGATATTGAATTTCATCATTAAATTGTGGTGAAAAACTAATCAATGGATCGTTTGAATCAATTTCTTCCACGCTTTGAGCAACTCGCTTTCCCTTGGAGTTGAAGCTTTGTGAATTGTGTGCCATATTTTGCATATTTTTGAATTGGATTATGGAAAAAAATGAATAAAATGGAATATGAAATTAATGGAATGAGTTGGAAATATTATTTCAAATACTAAAGGACAAAAAATTATTAAATTATTAAAAAAAAATCAAATGAAGTAAATTTATGAATGGAAAAATTGAGATTAGAAGGAATTTAGAATTGGATGTATGAAAATAAAAATAAATAATAGATAATTCCAATATTAAGAAAGATAAAGCAATAGAAAAAATAATGAACTATGTAAATTTGAGACTTGAGAGAATTTTGATTGAGAATAAGAGTAGAGTTAGGATGTAATTGGTTGTGAAAAAAAAATCATCAACTCATCATATTTATACATATTTTTCATTTATTAGTTTCTCAAATTGTCCCTTATAACAGAAAAATAAATTATTTTGGATTAATTTTAGTAAATTATAATAAATAAAATAAAATAAATGATTAAAATAAGATAAAATTTTTATTTGAAAAAAAAAATAAGTCACCTCAAAATCTAAAAAACTAGCCGTTGTACCTTCTCTTACTCATAATTTTTTTTTAGTAAAATTATAATAAATAAATAATAAATGATTAAAAATTAAATAAAATTTATTTTTTGAAAAAAAAAAAAAAGTCACCTCAAATTTCTAAACAACTAGCCGTTTGTACCTTCTTTTTTACTCATAGTTTTTTTTTTTTTTTTTTTTTTTTTTTTTTTTTTTTTTTTTTTTTTACAAATCAACTGTTCATGTACCATTTTTTGTACAAATTAAGTCAAATCATGTGTATTTTTTTTCACCACTTTTTATAAATTATGTACCATTGTACTTCTTTTCATCATAAATCAAATCAAGTCAACTACAATCAAATCAAGTGATATAAATTTTTTTATAAAAAATTTAAAAAAATTTTAAGCTATAAAAAATTTTTTAATTGTCATCCGGTTCGAACCGGACCAGAACCGCCGGTTCCGGGCCGGTTCAGGTTCATTTTTTAAACATTCACGTGAACCTTAACCGGCCCTTGAACCGCCGGTTCTGGTTCAAAATTTTGAACCACCGGTTCCGGTCCAGTTTCGGTTCGTCTACAGTACGGTTCGGTTCCGGTTAGAACCGAACCGGTGGCCATGCCTACTTGCAACTGCAATACCCTAAAACCCAAAGAGACTGAATTTATCTTCAACTGTCGGTGCGGAGGCAGAGCAGGCAACCATTGGCTCTTTTGCTGTCGACTTCTCATAAATTTTCGTATTGTTGAATGGTTTTCTGGGTAAAATCGTATTCTGGATTTATAGTTTGAATGGTTTTCTGGGTAAAATCGTATTCTGGATTTATAGTTCACTGATTTACAAGGGAGATAAAGCAAAACATCCAATTCCACCTCTTTCCTTTCTCAACTCGGTGAGTTGGCCTTTCATACGATGTTCCGTTTCTTCAGTGGAAGATTGGCGTTAAATGATTGGAGTCATGTTCTGTTAGACTCAAACATTACCCTATTGGGTATTATTCATTTTAAAGAGCTGCTTACAGTCAGGTACTTCTCATCTAAATCTAATCAACACTCTTTTACAGTGTCCTATCTCGTCAACTCATGTGGCTTATCGTCAGAATCTGCTAAACTTGTTTCAAAGTACGTAAAGTTTGAAAACCCTGAAAGACCAGATTCTGTCCTTAGTCTTCTCAAAGACCATGGACTCACCAAATACCAGATTTCCCAAATTGTTAGGAGAGTGCCCAAGTTGATTTTATACGATCCCGAGAAGACAATATTGCCAAAGATTCAATTTTTACGGTCTGTAGGGGTTTCTGGCCCAGACCTTCCGGTGATGATATCTAGGAATCCAATTTTCTTGTCTAGCAGCTTGAACAATCTTTTGGTCCCATTTTATGATTTTCTTAAAAGTTTGTTATTTTCTGATGAGAAAGTGCTTATTATATTGAAACGCATGTCCGCATTCAATATGTGCTATGTCAAGGAACACTTGCCTGTCAATTTATCAGTCTTAAGGGAGCTCGGAATGCGTCGGATGCGTCAATCTACCATCTCTATTTTGATTACCAGTTGCCCCAACACCTGTATCACAAATTTCTTTTGAAAAGTTTAGTAAAGCTGTTCAAAAATGTTATAGGTAGTGGGATTGATCCTCTGAATCATTCAAATTTGCCGATGCTCTTCGAGTGATAATTCAATGAATCCCAAACATGGAAGCGAAAAAATTTGATTGCTACAGTAGGTTGGGTTTTTTCGGAAGAAGAAAATATGGTCTGTTATCAAAAAAAAGCGTCCACTGTGTATGGGTTACTTCAGAGAAGACAATATGAAGAAGATAGAATTTTTCTTGTTGAACAAAATGGTTCGTTGGCAGCCTGCCAATTGTCTGCAAAAAAATATCCAGCTTGTTTTATGTTATAGTTTTCGGAGAAGAGGGTTTGTTCCAAGGTGTTCAGCTTTAAGAGTTTTGATTTCTGAAGGGGTGATCAGAGCAGAAAAATCAGTTTAGCTATCTATTCTGGATATTCTTGAATGAAAAAATTCTTTGGACATGGTTTGTGATTCAAGTATCCGAGAACAAGTACCTGAATTCTCCGTAAAGCATACAGCAGTTTAATGTAAACCGGACACAACATTGCATTAGCTTGACTGAAATGAGGTTACTTTTTCTAATTAACTTGTAAAGCATACAGCAGTTTAATGTAAACCGGACACAACATTGCATTAGCTTGACTGAAATGAGGTTACTTTTTCTAATTAACTTGTAATAGGTGAGTCTATCAATTTATTTGTTAATAAGAAGATTCGTGTGTCTTGTACTAGTAGTATCCTCTCCTTGTTCAAGTTCTCCCTAAGCTTTTGCTGTTATTTATGTCTTAGGTTTCTCGTTCTGTAAATGCTTTTTGATCACCATAAATTTTTATCTAAAAATGAACAGCAAAGGCCAGGTTATTTGAAATTAAACATTGTCAATCCATAGACATGTTATGATCATTAGTTTTGGTTCTTCGAGTTGGGCCTGGTATACCCATGCTGCACTCAGCCTCTAAAAACTGTTTAGTCCTCATCATTTACGAGAACTAGATGCAGATCATTTACGAGAACTAGATGCAGCTGAATATGAGGAAATTACCAGAGCTCCACGACTATCTTTCAGCCTTTCTTTGAGAGTATGTCCATCTGTTTATTCAATCTTTAGTCTATATATACATTTTTTTTTATTAGTACTAATTTTGTGCATTTTCTTTTTAATTATCAGGAAAATGAAGCAACTGGTTTAGGAAATGAGGAAGGGAAAGTCCAAGTTTGTGATGCGGAAATGTTAGATGAGCTAACTACTAGCAGAGGGGAGTTCAAAGAACTGTAAGCTTCCATGAAGAAAATCGCAGTCAGGTGAGATAATCTTTCTTTTTTCGCTCTCTCTTTATATATATATATATATATAATTCTTTACTGGCAATATATATATAATTCTTTACTGGCAATTTCAATTTTACATGTTCATATCTTTACTGCAGATTTATCCTGAGGGAATTGCTGAAGAAGAGTGAAACCAATATCAACATGAAGTCGGAGAAAGTGAAACAAAAGAAAAGAAAAGATTTTGGAGCTGGTAAGGAAAGATGATTATTGCAATTTGTATAGAATTATTTTCAACTTTTCTTTTCTTTTTCCAATTTATGGAATTATTGCTGATATGTGATGGTTTGGTATTCGTCATTAGTAGTTGTAGATGTAATGACAAATGCAAACAACTACGAAATGATAAAAAATGTAAAGTTGCATTGAAAATTTCTTGAAAAAGGACTGCCTCAAGGTGAAGATTTTGGCAAAAAATTTAACAGCAAGTTGCGGTGAGAATGGAGAACCTAACTCGTATGAACTGGATACAACTCAAAATTCTTTTGCCTTGTATTATTGCTTCCTTCTAGGTAGGAGCTATTTTGTTCTAGGTAGGAGCTATTTTGAATTAGCTTGACCGCAATTGGGTTACTTTCTCTGATTTAACTTGTCATAGCAGAGTCCATTAATTTATCTGTTAACAAGAAGATTCATCTTTGCCTTGTAGTAGTAGTATCCTCTCCTTTTTCAATTTCCCCGCGTTATATATATCTTGAGTTTTTTGCTTTTTTGATCGACTGAAAATAAGTCAAAATAAAAATTGAAGATAATATTAAACTATTTTTTTCATCTTTTATTTTTATGATAATTTTAAATGACAATTTATAAGTTTGGTCATATATTAGATTATCATGTGGTGCTTAGTTTTTTGCGAAAAAAATTAGACTTAAATTATATATAAATTTCTCATTAGACTTAAATTATATATAAATTTCTCTTTTGGACTAAAAGAACCAAATGGGTACGTACGATTCCTTTGATAACTAACTATCGATTATTTAAAATCCTTCCAACCAACTGTTTTATTATTCCTCGTTAGGAACCTTTTTCGATTAATTAGGTTGGAATATGAACTCCTAATCCCTTAAGTTTTTGAGGGTAAAACCACAACACCAACAAGAAATGCAGTTTACGTTCGAGTTGGGCCTGGTAATATGCTGACCCATGGCTCTTTTGATGTCAAATTCTCATAAATTTTCGTATTGATGAATTGTTTTCTGGGTAAAATCGTAGTTTCGAGTTTATAGCTCACTGATTTACGAGGCAGATAAAGCAAAACATCCAATTCCACCTCTTTCCCTTCTGAACTCGATGAGTTGGCCTTTCATACGATGTCCCGTTTCTTCATTGGAGGATTGGCGTTAAATGATTGGAGTCATGTTCTGTTAGACTCAAACAGTACCCAATTGGGTATTATTCATTTTAAAGAACTGCTTACGATCAGGTATTTCTCATCTAAATCTAATCAACCTAAATCAAACACTCTTACAGTGTTCATACTCATCCTCATCAACTCATGTGGCTTATCCTCACAATCTGCTAAACTTGTTTCAAAGTTCGTAAATTTTGAAAACTCTGAAAGACCAGATTCTGTCATTAGTCTTCTCAAAGACTATGGACTCACCGAAAACCAGATATCCCAAGTTGTTAGGGACAGCCCAAGTTGATTTTATTCGATCCCGATAAGATACTGTTGCCAAAAATTCACTGACAGCCCAAGTTGATTTTATTCGATCCCGATAAGATACTGTTGCCAAAAATTCACTTTTCACGTTCTATTGGGGTTTCTGGCTCAGACATTCCGGTGATAATATCTAAAAACCCAGTTTTCTTGTCTGCCAGCTTGAACATTCTTCTGATCCCATTTTATGCTTTTATTAAAAGTTTGTTATTTTCTGATGAGAAAGTGCTTATTATATTGAAACGCGTATCAGCATTTAGCATGTGCTATGTCAAGGAACTCTTGCCTGTCAATTTATCAGTCTTAAGGGAGCTCGGAATGCGTTAATCTACCATCTCTATTTTGATTACCAGTTGCCCCAAGACTGTATGCACAAATTCTGAAAAGTTTAGTGAAGCTGTCAAAAATGTTATAGGTATGGGACTTGATCCTCTGAATCTTTCATTTGCCGATGCTTTTCGAGTGATAATTCAAATGAAATCCAAAACATGGAAGCGAAAAATTGATGCTTACAGTGGGTCGGGTTTGTCGGAAGAAGAGATCTGGTCTGTTATCAAAAAGCGCCCACTGTGTATGGGTTGCTCAGAGAAGATAGATTTTCTTGTGAACAAAATGGGTTGGCAGCCTGCAATTGTTGCAAAACATCCAGCTGTTTTATATTATAGTTTCGAGAAGAGGGTTGTTCCAAGGTGTTCAGTTTTAAGAGTTTTGATTCTAAAGGGTTTGATCAGAGCAGAAATCAGTTTAGCTTCTATTCTTGGACATGTTTGCGATCAAGTATCAAGAACAAGTACCTGAAATCTTGGGCGCGTGGTAGCAGCTTGAACAATATTTTGGTCCCATTTTATGATTTTCTTAAAAAGTTCATTGTTTTCTGATGAGAAAGTGCGTATTATATTGAAACGCATATCACCATTCAACATGTGCTATGTCAAGGAACACTTGCCTGTTAATGTATCAGTCTTAAGAGAGCTGGGAATGCGTCTATCTGCCATCTCTATTTTGATTGTCAGTAACCCCAACATTTATATGCCTAAAATCTGGTAAGTTTAGTGGAGCTGTTAAAAAAGTTATAGGGATGGGATTTGATCCTCTGAATATTTCATTTGCTGGTGCTCTTCGAGTGATTATTCAACTGAAATCCAAAACATTGAAACGTAAAGTTGATGCTTACAGTAGATTGGGTTTGTCGGAAGAAGAAATATTTTCTGCTTTCAGAAACTTTCCTTTGTTTATGACTTTGTCAGAGAAGACATTTACGAACAAGATGGATTTTCTTGTGAACAAAATGGGTTGGCAGCCTGCAGTTGTTATAAAATTTCCAATTGTTTTATGTTATAGTTTGGAGAAGAGGATTGTTCCAAGGTGTTCAATTGTAAGAGTTTTGATTCTGAAGGGTTTGATCAAACTAGACATCAGTTTAAAATATATTCTTCAATCTTCTGAAAAAAATTTCTTGGACATGTTTGTGAGCAAGTATCAAGAACAAGTGGCTGAATTCTCGGATGTTCTCCTGGAGAAAATTGAAATTGCTGAACTTGGTTTGAGTTTGATGAAGAATCTGGGGGATTCAGCTATAAAGCATAATGCAATCTAAGAGCATCTTCAATGCAACCATGGACTGTGGCTGATGTGTCTTAATAAATAGAGTTATGGATAATAATATGGTTGAATGTGTATTTGTAGATGTTAGATTTTAAAAATAGCTCTCCAATACATGAGAAAAATTCAGTTTCAGCGAAAAAAGAAGTTTGATCATAAATAAAAGAGAAGGCATAAAGGATAATAAAAAAATAAGAAATTGATTTGCGTTATCTAACAGATCCTCTAAAAATAGACAATGTCTTTTTTTTTTTTTTTTTTTTTTTGTTATCTAACAGATCTCTAAAATAGACAATGTCTTTTTTTTTTTTTTTTTTTTTTTTTTTTTTTTGAGACATTAGATTTACAGACTAAATAAACATTTACATTGTTGAAAATTTTTGTTTATAACTTTCAATTTTTTTGATGTGGCAAATAAATTAAAGTTATCTAAGGTTGTTTTGGAGATATTCTAATGTTGTTTCCTTTGTCCTAGAACAACATTGCATTAACTTGACTGGAATGATGTTACTTTTTGTATTAACTTGTAATAGGTGAGCCTGTCAATTTATTTGTTAATAAGAAGATTCGTCTGTGTCTTGTCTAAGTTCTCCCTATCTTAAGCTTTTGCTGTTATATATGTCTTAGGTTTCTTGTTCTGTAAATGTTTTTTGGTCCCAAAAAAATTATTATTATTATTATTATATATAAAGGGCTTGGGAAATCACTGTTGCCGCAACATGAACCGCAAGTCCCTAACATAAACCTTCAAAGCCCATTTTCGATTGGGCCTATTTTTACATTTTTCTTTTGAGTTTTGAGCTCTCTTCGGTGAGTTCATATTTCATTATCCATAGTCCGTCGAATTACCATTCCGTTCCTCATTCATTTGAGCTCTGAAACCGGAGAAGTAGGGATAAAATAGGTAATACAACTATATCCAGCTGTTAGTATACCCTACCTTACCTTCTCAATTCCGCCAAGTCCTCATGTCCATTCCCCAACTAACTTACCTTAAAAAAGTGCCCCAAAAAGCGCAAAAAAGTGGAAAATAAATTCAAAAGCCCAAAATTGACCCCTTCAACTCTGCCCCGCACCATTCCACGTGCACAACCTTATCCACTTCTCTCCTGTTTTTTATTCTCTGGATTCCCTTCTACGTCTATCATCCAAAATTCGCTTTCTAATTCGTCCTTTGATGCCAGTAATGCCCTTGGACCGGAAGAAAGGATTCGTTTATACTTGCGAGTACAATAACGTGATGCTACAGTTCAGAGCGAATGCATGTATAATCTTTTTAGACGATATTGGCCCTTAACTCATCTTAACTTTTATCCAAAAAGAATACACACGAGATGCGCAAAGTCTCCTGCAAACCTCTGGTTACGATTTTCTCTCTCTAGAAGACTCTCATTCTGTGCTGTTTCCCTCTCTAGCTCTATGGCCTCTATTGTTGCACTCAACTGTTCCCTCGCCGCTCCTATCCGTGCATCGTGCGGTTCCGGAAGAAAACCGGAGTCGAATCGCCGGAAAACTGCTTCTTCAACCTGGTGGGCTCCACTCTTCGGTTGGTCCTCCGATCCTGATTACGTTGACACCAAAAGTAGCGATGCTGCCAGCATTGATAGATCCGATACGTCGGAATCCGATTCGGATTCGGGTCGACCAAGATCCAAGTTCACTTTGGGTTGTTTCACAGAAGACAAAGCGAGACAGCTTAGAAAGAAGACTATGGAGGGTAGTTCGTTTCATGATATAATGTACCATTCAGCAATCGCATCTCGCCTTGCTTCCGATGCATCGGCTCATTCTTCTGATAAGTAAACCGGAGCTGCGTTGTCCTGTAAGTCACCGTCTTTTAGGTGTTGGAAATTTGTCGAAAATCCGAATGTTATCTTTGTTTTCAAGAAACTTTTGTTTTTTTTTTTTTTTTCCGGTTTAGTTTTAGCTTTTGTTGTGTGGGGTTGAGAACACGTACTTATGATGTGTACTCCTAACGTTGGACCGTCAATGAACGTTTTCCTTTCTCGGCATCATGGAGTGTGTGTTGGATGCCGTTTGTTGAAAGGGACACACGCATTTGATTAGGTTGGGATGGCAATCTCAGTTGCTTTTGATAATGATAATGGCCATGCCTAAATGGGTCCCATTTTTCAATCCTTCGTTTATCTTCAAATTTAAATTGCAAAATTTATAGCTATAGTTTCTTATTTTTACATGCGTTCTTAAAAGGAGTGGGAGTTACTGGATTTCAATTATTGATTAGTTCTCTTCTGCAAAATGCACAACTCAATTATGGGAAAACTTAAATCAATCAAAACAATAAAAATAGGAAAATATTATATCCCATGCCCATTTATGTAAAATCAGTCTTATGAACATATAAAAAACAGCAGACTTTTTTTTTTTATTTAAATTTTATCGAAGTCCAAACTTGGAAGCCCACTGAAATACTTAACCAGGACCTGCTTCTACTTGAAGCCGTTTATAATTTTTGTTGGGCCCAATGGATCAAAAATTCATTTTAATTTTGGGCTCTAGCCCATCCTTGTTTGAGATTAATTTTTCTATATGCATTTCGAGGCGAGCTATTCCATCCTGAATTGGTCACTCCTTCCTTTATGTTACAAAAGAGAGAAGCAAACAACTATTACACCAGCTAAAAATACCTAAAAATGAAAAATAATAATAATAATAATAATAATTGTCGGTCATGCCTAAAATAATTGATATTTGTTTTCTTCTTCACCGGTAGAAGTAAAGCAAGAAAATCATTTATAGTAGTTCATGATTTTGTTTTAGATACAATGGAACTAATAATTAATTCAACTGCATAAATAAATAAATAAACAAATAAGTAGTTCTGAATATTGCATTATTTGTTTGGTGTTTTGGGTGACATGTGCATACCAATACACAATAGTACAAATATTTGTGGTATGGAGCACCGAGGGCTTGATCCATTATTGGATATAATTAGATCGTGTTTGACTTGAGTTCGAGATTTTTTACCCTCTACATTTTATAGAAGAGGCAGGAAGAACCACCATATCATATTTGATTAACTTTGATTATATAGTTTCGCAAAACTGAGAAGAGTGACTAGTTCGGAATTCCACATGCTATTGTCTTGTATTTACCATTACAATATTACGTCCATAAGAGCATTTTAGAACTGTCGTCCGAAGATAAAACTCTGAATTCTCCATTTCAGATCCATGTTCCGGTGAGGTTATAGCTCATGGGAATCAAATTATTTAATCTTTAAATATATGTATACAAATATTGTCAGCTTTCTTATTCGATGCCTCTTCATGCATTCCCAAACTGCACATGCAATCAAACATTAATATATTTGCATAATTGCCGACCATAACCTAAACTAAAAATGTTATATTACTAATTTGTCTACTAAGTATAGATCAAGGAACTAAAACCACACTCAATCAACAATATGCTCTGCTCTCTCTTGCACATGGGTTTGCATACAAGATAAGATCTGAACTGAACGATCTCTTTTTCCAATCCAGTTGATATTTTGTCCTGATCACGTTTAATTCTGATATGTTTCTGTTGATTCCCAAGAAACACAGGCAATACATCAATTAAATATTGAGACTAGCTATCAAGTTTGTCATTCAAGGATATTCTTGTCAATTTGTGTTCGTAGATTTTAGAGACATCTATCACCTTCTCAGAAGTATGAAAACTAAAAATATTATTCAACCCATGTGCATGAAAGTGATTTTATATGTTTAAGACATAGTGACATTATTTTTCTTTTATTAATTAAGCAACTTAATTTGAATTTAAACACTCTTTTTATATTTAAAATATGGTTTGCATTATATATTAATCAAAAACAAGTATTTATAAATATAGTTTTTACAAATGAAAAATAAATTCATCCGATAAAAAAATTTGTATTATCATAAATTAATGTATAAGTTGAATTAAAAATATAATTAATTAGTAGAAAAAAATGGTGTGTTATTTTTTAGAATAAAAAAAATATTACAATACAATTTTTTTATACTTATCATCTTTGAGTATGATTAATTAAAAGCAAATAAATTCAAGCTACTAATATAAAATTTACAAAGGAAAATAAGTACTTATTTTATGGTAACTTGTAAAATTTTCAAAATTTAATTCCATTTGCCAAGTAAGCTAATGATCTTGTGAAATTTGAGATAGAGAAGAGAAATTTAGAAACCCTAATGAAGGGACAGATATATCTTGGAAAGGTTAGGCAATGAAACAGGTTACCCAATAATTGCATGTGGCTTTCAATTCCTTGTCTTGAAGTTTCACCTCCACCAGATGCTAACCAAATCTTGAAATGCATACATAAATAATTCAAATCCATGCAAATTTGTGAGCTGCATTTTTATATTAAGAAGCCTATTTTTCAAGAAAGCCTAGGTTACTGCTAAACTTTCCTCAATACAAGAAATCCGGTCCTTAACTTGTGGAAATGCTAGGTTCTAAAATATTTTTATTCATTATATATATATACAAATACATGAAGATCCTGCCACCTGGACTAGGCCTGAATTAATAAGGAATAACTCATATTTATTTATTTATTTATTTTATTTATTGTTATGTTTTAACTTTGTCTTTGGAAATGAACATGACACTTGCATATAACTTTTTATAAGCAAGAAACTAGGATGACTAACTAGGATAGTTCCAGTGGCATTCCCGTAAATGAAATTAAAAACCAGTGTCTTTCTCGTGGGGCGAAGCACATAAAATCCGATGCTCTCACCTCGATTGGTCTCATCCCATGCACAATAACACTTCTCCCTCTCCATCTTTCTCTCGCAACCCATAGCCATAGCCACAGCCACAAAATGTACAGAAACAAGGTGCTGTTGCTGTTAGTGCTACTTTGCGCCACTTGTCATGTCGCCTTGTCGGTCACCGACGGTAAGCCTCTCTCTTCAATTCAAGTGCAAGCCTTTCTTTTCCTCTTTACATTTCTTTATATTATTGGTCATGTTAAGCATCACTATTATTAATCTATATTTATGCTTAATTAATTAAAATTTTTATCACAATTTTGCAAATGCAACAATTTCTATTAGCAAGCGATTGAAATGCTACATTAGTTTGTATATTTTATATACTTCTTTTTTTTATCAGCAAAGAAATTAATTTTATTAATTAACTTATGATCTCCAGGAAAAATATATTTTATTTAAGTAATTATATAATAAAATCTTTATATCTCTCTCATAACCTTTGTCTCGTCTTCAATTATAGATCATAAACAAGTATTTGTAACAAGAGTTTTTACAATTACATATTTACAGAGACATCAACAATATCTAAACCCTTAAAAAATTTTTTTAGTCTTGAATTTGGCACGAATGCAGCACAAGTTGTGCACAATATGAAAAGTTGGTATTGAAGAATCTGGAATTGAATGGTTCTCATTAAATGCAAATTTCTATTTCAATCTTTGGAATACTGAATCACTGACCTAACCATTAAAATCCTATAAACTATAGAGTGGCTTTGTTACCTCAACCTGAACATATTAAATGCAGCATTTATTTTCATTGGGTTTGATCAGAACTCTCAAGTGGCCCACTAGGCATAAACTTGAAGTGAACTCAGAGGGAGCAGCAATAAGAATTATTACTTACAGATACTTATTTATTTATTTTTTCTAATTCACAATGGTCCAAAGTTATAGACATCTCAGTTTTATCATTTCAATAAAATTAATTTTGGGCAGGATTGTGTCCTCTCAACCACTTGCTTTGTGGGGTGAGGGAAGTGTAGGAGGACAATATATGTGTATATCGTCTCTCTCTCACTTTTAATCACATGGGTCAAGAACAGGCCATGTGATGACACCAAAGCATTTATGACTGATGACTTTGCTTTGAAGACGATGGCAGCCCCGATTTGCTGCCCATAGATCTCTTTTTAGGTTTTTATTTTTTAATTTTAATGTACAAATATTGTACTAAATTTATGAGTTACTGATAGATTTAAGCATTAATTTATGTGAATTTCAGGATTATTGCCAAATGGGGATTTTGAGCATGGACCAAAGCCATGGCAAATGAAAGGAACAGTAGTAACAGCCAAGAATGCGATCCCTAACTGGGAAATTTCAGGCTACGTTGAGTACATAAAATCAGGACAAAAACAAGGTGACATGTTGCTAGTTGTGCCTGGTGGAGCTTTTGCAGTTAGATTAGGTAATGAAGCTTCCATTAAGCAGAAGATTAGTGTCACAAAAGATAGCTATTACTCAATAACTTTCAATGTGGCTCGCACTTGTGCCCAAGAGGAGAAACTAAACGTCTCCGTTTCACCAAATCTGGAACCAAAAGATTGGGGAATTTTACCAATGCAAACAGTGTATAGTAGCAATGGATGGGATTCTTATTCCTGGGCTTTCCAAGCTGATGCTTCTGAAGTTGAGATCTCTATCCATAACCCCGGTGTTGAGGAGGACCCTGCCTGTGGCCCTCTTATTGATTCAGTAGCAGTCAAGTTCCTGTCTAACCCTAAACGTACTAGAGGTAACCTCTCTCTCTTTCTCACCAATCAACCCTAATTTGATTCTTCTTTTCCCCTTCTAGCTTGTTTAGTATAAATATTTCCACAAATTTTGCATATATCTAACGTATTTTGCAATTATTTACAGATAACTTACTAAAGAACGGAGATTTTGAAGAGGGACCTTATGTGTTCCCCAACACAGACTGGGGGGTCCTAATTCCACCCCACATTGAAGATGATCACAGTCCCTTGCCTGGTTGGATAATTGAATCTCTTAAGGCAGTGAAGTACATAAACAGTGAACACTTCAAAGTCCCACAAGGCAAAAGAGCTATTGAACTTGTTGCAGGAAAAGAAAGTGCCCTATCTCAAATTGTTAAGACCATTCCCAAAAAGAGCTATGTCCTGACTTTTAATGTAGGTGATGCTAACAATTCATGTGAAGGGTCACTTGTAGTGGAGGTATATGCCGGTAACGATAAAATTGAAATTCCTTACGTATCCAAAGGCAAAGGAGGGTTCAAGCCAGCTAGATTCCAGTTTCAAGCTGTTTCGACACATACTAGGCTTATGTTCTTGAGCTCATTTTATACCATGAAAAGTGATAACTCTGGTTCCCTGTGTGGTCCTGTAATAGATGATGTGAAATTGCTTAGTGTTCGTAGGCCTAGGCATCTTCTGTGATGAAGATTAGTTATTTAATTGCATTGCTTATGCAATTATACCAATGTTCTTGATCTTTTTGAGTTTATGTTTATGCAATTAATGATCAATATGTTATACATACCATAGGATTCTTGTAATGGGAAGGAAGGAGATTGCTTGATAGTTGATACTCGTGTTTAAAAATGATTAATGTCCTTTAATTTTATGTATCCATGCTTTTTCTACAAAAAAATTTAACCTACAGACTCTATTTTCTCAAACTTTTTTTTCACTTTTAAACTAGAAAGATAATCTTTCAAATGTCTGTAGAAGGAAAATTATAACTAGTGACATTTAAACTCTAAGGTACGCTAATTCTTATACTAATCAGCAAGATTTTGTTTATGTAGTATAAGGAAAAATGGGTTTTGGTTTTCATCAGAGCTATAAGATTGTAAGTTTGAATATTAGATGAAGGCTTAATTCTTGGATTAAAATCCACACCTTTCAAATGCATCAAGAACTTGGGACAAAAGGTAAAAGAGAAAAAAAATTGCATATTATTTTCCTACAATCCAATTCACAGAAAGAACCATGAACATGTAAGAGAACTGCAGGGAGTTCTTTGACAAGCAGTTTCATAAGATAGACAGTGATGCAATACTTCACAAACTTCCATCTGAAAATAAAAGTAGCTAAATGAAAGTTGATTGATATTGATTAGGCTCACGGTTCAGAGGCGAACAATGGTGGGCTTGTAGTCAATCACAATAACTTTCTCCGAAGCAGGCAAGAACAAATTGGCAAATTCAACATGAGCAGGATGAGCTACATACTCCGCAACACCTTCTGTACTCTCAAAGGTTGATTCAAATACATGAGTGAAACCTTGGTGCAGGTTCTCAATACTCACATCTGTACCCCTATTACATTGTATATTAAAATGGCAGGATATGTTAGATATTTGAAGTTACAGCTAAAAAGTGTTCCATTCAACAAATTCAGCATCATGTTACAAAGCTCCATGTTGCCAGAAACGTGTCTATGCGCAAATCCATGTAATTATTTGTAGGCCCAGCCACAACCTGTAGGAACATGGCTGGTTCTTCAGCTTGTTCTCCGACTGGTTTTCAAGGCCAAAACTATTTTTTTCACATAGGTCCCAGACTGATTCAGAACCAGAACCAAACCTCAATTCCAACTGATGGTTTAAACCTGCTTCCAATTTCTGCAGAACTGGAACTGGTGACACGGTTACTGGATCGACCATTTTGGTTCAACAAAATTCTGGTTTGGAATGATTCCAATTCTGGCTATGGTTCCGGTTCTGATTGCAGTTCTAAACCAAAACTTGGCCAAAAGTAATTATTTGAAAACAACTTCTAGCATCTTTCACAGAAACAATGCTACTTAAGGGCTAACCAAAAAACTATTTTAGTTCAAATTACATGTCAAAGAATTAAATATCTATAGATTCATCCTTTTACTAGCTTCCAAAGTCACATATCTGAATTCCACCAAGAATTTTATTTTATTTTATTTTTTAACTAATAGTCTACTTACTACAAACTTTTCCTCCCAAATTATTCCCAAAAGAATCATTAACACTTACAAACAAATTTGGAATTCATTTGAAATAGATGATCCAATCTTATTGGAACAAATTTCCCCTTTCAAAAAAATTATCAAGATCAAATTTTGTGCTTATAAATTTGATGGAAATACAAGATTAAAGTCCAGCAATTTTCTCTCTGTCCCTTTCCTTCTAATTTATATAATTTAAAAAGAAAAGCAAGAAATGCAGAAAAACAAGGTTACTAGCCTTAATTTATTGAAGTGTTGTTGAACTGAGAACCAAAAAGATCAGGGAAAACAATACTAAAACAAACTAAACGGGATAAGCCCATAATCAAATCTAATAAAATCAAATTAATCTCATACAATTGCTAATGCAGAAACAACAGCAAATCAAAATTGATTTGATTTAATCAATAGAAACGGAAAAAAGAGAAGGATGTGTGTTACCAGTGGAAAGCTTTCATGGGTTCGATTAGATTGACGAGATTTGCATATCCTTTAATCAGTTTCTCAATTTCATCTTGGGAAATCCCTTCTTTGAACTTAGCTACCAATACATGCTTTACCACTCCTTTCGCTTCCTCCATTTTCGCCTTTTTGTTTTTTCCCCTCAGCTACTCTGGAAAACTTGATCCGCCCCAGTTACTGCTTATAACGACGTCGGTTAGGGTCTTCAATTCTACATTTCTTTGGTCTTCCCGATAATTCAACAACCACCCAAACTATATGTCGTTTAAAGATTATTTTTTATTATGGCCTCCTAATGTCAAAGTCAACGACGAGAGAAATGTCATTCAAAATGGATAAACAACGTACCCTAGTTCTCAACAAGAAAAGGAAATTATTGAAACCGAACGTTGCAATTTACAGCTGCTTTTACTTTTAGTTCATAAGTATTTTTCACTGTTCTTGCTGATCCCCGCTGATCTCTCTATATTAATTCAGCTCGACTGAAATGTGGTTACTTTTCTGATTAACTTGTAATACTTGTGTTCGTCAATTTCTCTGTTCATAAGAGATCTCATCTTTGTCTTGTTCGAGCAGTATCCTTTCCTTGTTGAAGAAGTTCCTTTAAATTAAGCTTCTTCTGTTATACATGTCTTGGTTTTTTGGTTCTGTAACTCTTTTTTTGGTCAGAGAATTTTATTAACAAATAACAGCAAAAGCAATATAATTTAACATTTTAAATTTTAAATTAAATATTGGTAATCCATATAAATTTTTTGATATTCCAATTTCAATGGCCATATGAGCATATAATATCGTAAGCCAGTGCATATACACACTCTCTCTCAGAATTATAGTACTTAAAATTTTAAATTTTGTCGTCTGAAGAAATTAGATAAAATATAACAGCAAAAACTTTTTTCTATAGGCGTTTTCCCTGTTGTTTGCTAATAAGTTTCTCCATCACAAATGACAATTAAAAGTACGATTGGAGTGGAAGTAAGAAGCAGCCATAACAAACTGGATTTCTTTACGGCTAGAGAAGTGGAAGAGCAGCAGCAAGCAACCACCGTAACTTGTTTTATGGCTTTATCGTCAAATCAAACAAATAAGCACTTTTGCAAACAAGTCTTTATATTGTTTTCTCAAATAATTAGCAAACAAGTTATCTGCATAAGCTTTTAGACATATCTGAACAAACACAGTAAAAATGAACTTATTTTTTACCTAAACAAAAGAATACAAATATTCTGGAGATTCTACTCCATTCAGCATATCTGTAAATATCATCTTCTCATAGATGAAAAATAAGTACCTAGATCTAACGTGAAAACTACTGCGGCTTATTTTGCTTCACAACATATGATTAAATAGAAGATGCCAGAATGCACTAATTGACAACATCAAGAACCAACCTTCGAGATTTGAGGACTGACCATTTCAAACGTCGGTAGTAAGCTGCTTGGAGAAGTGCAAGTGACAGCACGAAAATCCACTTGAAACCCATCTGCACATTGTATAAATCCCAAATCAATATGCAAATAGATATTTGAAATTGGCTTATAAAATTCCATCTCAACCCTAATAAATGTTTTTCAAGCCGGGGAACTCATGGATTGTATATTGCTGTTTTGTAAGTCTTGCATCTACACACCACGTTGATTTATGATGATTAAAATTTGAAGTTGAATCAAATGAAACAGTGCTCATTGCCTTGTAAGAAAAGCTTTCTATTAGATGACAGAAAGAAAAACAAAGTTCAATGATCCCGAACCACAATTTCTTGCTTGTATAGTTTGAAATTATACAGATGCCTCTTATATACATTGGCCAGAAATACAATCACAAACCATTTACAATCAGCACAAATTAACAGGCCAAGCGTACAATTTAATCAATGAATGCTTACCAGTTTTCTCTCTTCCATTTCTGGCTCAGCAGCCCAGGACAGAAATGATACAACATCTTTCCCCATCTGCCTCCACATTGAGAGATGAACATTAATGACATGGGAAGTGGAATGAGCAATGATAATACAAAGGTAAGGTTTAAAAGAATACCTGTGCCTCTGTTGCTGGGGTACCATCTTCATATTCAACAGCACCATCGTTCAGCATTTTGGGCATAGCAATTGCTCCCCCAGGGAAGTAAGGATTATAGTGCAGCCCTTCTCGAATCTAACAAAGTAATACCATGACAAGATGGAATAAAGCATTAGATATTTTCCGAGAATATTAAACAAACTATGCAGGTTTGTTGCATCCAAGAGAAAAAAAGGAAAAAAAAAAGGTGCAGCTCCTTCCTTCATAAGAAGATTCTGAATATATGAGAGAAGGTACTCCCAATTTTTGTTCCTTTGCAAGTTTCAACATGACATCTGATGCTACTTCATGAACCTTCTAGACACTGTTTAAAAACATTGGTATGCATGATTGAATTCTATAAAATCTTTACTAATTTTTTTCATAAACATTATTCTTTATCTATAAGTTAAGATATGTTCTATGCATTTCTTTATTAATTGAGTTATGTCTTCTCTCAGCACAACAGAAAATTAACAAAGTGCATGAAACAGAACATCTACATATGGTATTTTATTTTCTTAGGTAATCAAAAAAGACAAATCTTAGAAATTTTATATACAGATATTGTAGGAATTGCACAGAATGCCAACTAACTGAACTGGAAATAGTATTTGAGGGATTTACTCAATTAGAATACAGCCCATTATATGACAAGCTAAACACAGTCTTTGCAAACATGTGCAAACTGAAACAAGCATATACATGCATGCATGCACACATATTCTATTGCTTGGGAATTATAATCACTCCAAAAAGCAGAAATTACCGCAACACCAGCAGGAGGATCACGGTAACCAGTTAGAAGAGCAAATACATAGTTCTGACCATTATGACGAGCCTGAAAAGACAAGGAGTCAGCCACTGAGAAATACGGGATGATATTACTCCGCTCCACAACACACAAAACTGCAGGTACCTTGGTGATTAGACTTAGATCTGGAGGATATGCCCCTCCATTAGCAAACCTGGCTGCCTGTTCATTTGCATATGGCTGAGGAAAACGGTCACTTAATTTTCCAGGGCGTGTGAACATTTCTCCCTCATCATTTGGCCCATCAACCACCTCAATTTCAGCTGCCATGGCCTTTACCTCTTCTTCAGTGTATGCAACACCCACGAGATCACGGTATGATATCAGAGACATTGAATGGCATGATGCACAAACTTGCAGGTAGACCTGGTGACCACGACGGATTCTGTTCAAGTACAAGTGATATAAAATTATAAATTAAATAGGCAGTAATAGCGATTAGCAATACACTTCATCACAGCCAGAAGAAATCAGGCTTTCAATTAAAAAGATGGTTATTTCTTGAAGTTGTTAGGAAGCTACAAATGGAAAGAGCCTCTTCAAACACATGGTCGCAGCCAAATTCAGTATAATAGTATTTAGCCAATCGGATGATTTTAATTCGAACTCATATAACAACCCCAATTATAGAAAAAAAACAAGAAATAGGTGGACACCATCAGTCAACTTACGATGCATGATCATATGAACTGAGAATGCCCTTGTGAGGCCACGGATAGCTAGGACATTCCAGGCCATGTTCTGCCTCATCGGAACAAGCCGCTATAGTTGTGCAGCTTAAAATCCCAGAAATGCCTGCCCCGATGAGTGCAAGCATCCTTGAAGAGTTTATGCCAGTAGATCTCATTGTTTCTTGATCCTGCTCTGCAAGAAGGCAGGGCAATGCTGGAAGCGTCTGCAAAAAACTTCAAAGCTAGTGATAACATGACAACTTATATGCTTATAATTATCAAGCTGTGGGGAAAAAGAAAAGAAAAAGATATGAGAATATGAGCCCAACATCCAATAAACTTCTATAGGATTTTAAAGATATGCACAAAAACAGCTTTAGTTTTATAATATATGTATCAAACTATGATAGTTTTTACATGCAGTCAGAGGCCATGACTCAGAATGGAAGAAGTGAAAGCATAGCTTCTTTGTCCCTGCAATGCTTAACCATGATATTGTCAGTTTGTTACCCAGCCACAGGAGATGTGGTTCCTTTTGACCTTAGTGGAAAAGTGATACACCCACTCTTAAATTGGCAAGTATTAACAATTTAACCACCAATACGCCCCCATTGATGACGAGCCCACACTACTTCAGCCACTTACAATTCCCTAAGAACTTGATATATAATCAATGGAACTCATCAAATCTGTTTTATGTCAAAAAAAAAAAAAAAAAAAAAAAAAAAAACCACAGAAGATGTGGTTTCTTTTGGGACCTTAGGTGAAAAGTGATACACCCACTCTTAAATTGGCAAGTATTAACAAATTTAACCACCAATTACGCCCCCCCATTGAATAGACCGAGCCTCCAACACTATTCTAGCCACTTACAATTCCCTAAGAACTTGATATATTAATCAAATGGAACTCCATCAAATCTGTTTTTAATGTCAAAAAAAAAAAAAAAAAAAAAAAAAAAAAGAAAAGGAAGAAGAAGAAGCATTGCCGCAACTTGCAGGAAGGAAAAAAAAAAAAAAAAAAAAAAAAAAAAAAAAAGAAAAGGAAGAAGAAGAAGCATTGGCCAGCACTTGGCAGGAAAGGAAAAAAAATTAGTGCTTTACACTGCTTGTCCATCTGAACATTTGTTGTCCAAAAAATCAAGATTCACTAGATAACGGGCATACGCCGTAGAGCTCCAACTTATAGAAGTTTTTTGCTGCCCTAATGGCTGCCAAATGTGAAAAATAATCTACCACACCAATCAATCTCCAAGATACGAGAACTCATGGTTCATATATGTATTTCATAATCACATCTCCAATTTCAGCATCTTCCATTAAACACAATATTATGCCAAGTTTTCTTCTTGCTGCAGTTGTCAATATTGTTATTGCCTGCTTCAGGAGATTATTCCCTTAGCAAAAGCTCAGAGTCCTCTTAATGCAGATTTTTCTCCTCCTCAAATTGCTCAATATCCTCATATATTTCTTAACCTTTGTTATGCATCAGAATGAACTTCCATATACAATGGTACTTTAAACCTCTAGATCGCAATCCCACTCATCACAAGCAAACTCTTCCTAAATCTCTCTTCAATTGAGCACAAAGTAACATATTTTAAAATTACTGGGAACTCAAAATGCTTTAGCAAAGCCTACAAAAATGATAAATATTGAAAGCGAGACCGAGAAACTGTTTTAGCAATAACTACAAATTGGTAGTTCATGATCTCCATCAAGACTATAAAAGGAAACTCATCTCGACCCTAAGTACAAGTACGATAACATCAAATTGCCTTTCGATGAAAACTTGAAATTGTAATAGTCTCTGCTTATATGAAACCATCTAATCAAAATAAACTATAACCATAAAAGATAAAATGGAAAACGACATTCAGACACTAATCATTATATATGGCTTAAAGACAAAAGAAAAAACTTCTAACAGCTGTTCTCAATTTAAGGTTCACAGATAATATGCCCAAGGTCACTAATGTCAGGTTTTTTACTTTCCCAAACATTTATATGAGCTTATAGACATTGGCATGCATAGAAGAAAATAAAAAATGAAAGTACTAGAAACTAATTAGGATATTTCCATTTTCCAGCAAATATAGAACATAACTGAAAATCTCTCATTTAATCACTTATCCAATAATAAAAATAACTGAACGAAAAATGATAATTTAAAGAACTAAATTGAAATCACCTTAGCATCTTGCTTTGGACGAGTGAATCTGGAGATGAAGCCATTGAACCTTGCATATCCTGATAGTTAAGTTAACACAAAAGTAGTGCTATATCAATCAGAGAATTATATTTTTTAAAGCTAAATTTCAAAATTAATTAATATGTCGATTACCTTCGATTCCGAGCCTGATCTTCTTGCCTAGGCCTGTAAATATCAAGAAATATCAAGTTTAAAACCAGAATTTGAAATTATATAAAATATATGTACAGAAGGAGATATAGGGAGAAAGTACTCATGGCTTTGTGTGAGTTGATTGGATAAGCTAGCAATTGGCTGCAAGAAATGCATAAGCAAAATGCAGAGACTGAGTGAGGAAGAGAGAGAAAGAGACTGTGTTTGGAGTGTAGAGAGAGAATGAGAGAGAAGGCGGAGAGTGGAGACGCGTGTTTGTGCAGATCGCCATTGAAAATGAACGGTGTAGAATTAGTGGAGATGCTCTAGAGTCTGCTGCTGTCTTCAGGGCACTGTTCAGAATGTAAGCAACGACTTGTCGTGTATGAACTCTAGGTCTTTGAGGAGCTATGCACTGTAATATATAGTTTGTCAAATAACTAACCAAGATAATAAAATAAAATAAAATAAAATAAATAGACAGACATATTATACACATCAATTATAAAGTTAGAGAATCAAAACTCACTAAAATCACAATAACAATACACTAAAAATTAATTATATTAATTACATAAAATATTATAAATATTCTCTACACGCCACCTTCTTAAAACGCTCAAATTTTTAGAGTTTAAATTTTATATTTTAATTTCGAATGGATTACGAGTTTTAAAACATTCATCTAAAAAGCTTATTTACTACATTTATTTTATATGATCTGTGAAACTATTTCGGATCTTATTATAATTCATTAGCCCCTCTAATCTTAAATTTTTAACATTATTTATACATTATAATTCAAGTTAAAAGATTTTGCTCCCTTGTGTTATAGGATTTCTTTTGCATGTAAGAAATTTATTTCATAAATCTTTATATTTCTTATTGAAAATTTTTATTATAGTACCGTAGAAAAGCAAGAACCATCACATATTCTTGGAAATCAACGACAATCAAATTAGAATTGCTTGCGCTTAAAAAAACCAAAAAAAAAGATCAATGATTCACTACAGAAGAAAACTCGATGTAATGGGAATTATTTAAATCGTCATATGATGATTTGCATCATGAAAACTCCATGGCGCGCTTCAACAATTGATCAAACATATCATATCAATAGTGCAAGAAGCAAGAATTATTGCCCGTCAATCTTTGAGTTGATGTCACCGTCCTGTGACTTGATCATCTCTTGCAATGCCGGAAATTTCAGATTCTTCAACGGAACTTTGTATCTTCTGCACTCATTGCAGATGTGCATTGCTATGCGACCTCTTCGAACCTGTGATGCTTTTGGCTTCTTTGACAACGTCGTCGAGAGCACCTTATACGAAGAAGAATAAAGAGAAGAATAATAATTTTGCCAATCAGCGGAAAAACATATGCTGAAAGATGAGTGTAGAGATTTAATTAATTATGATATATGAAAATAAGAATTTTTTAAAAGCTTTTTTTATTATTTTTTTTAAGGATTGAAAATACTCTTATTTTAATAAAATATTATTTTTTATTAATTTACTTAGTCCTAAATTGCATTTAGGCAAATTAATCTTTCATTTACATATCTGTTTACCCGAGGAATTAGTTAGCCTGTTATTTAACACAAAATCGCAGCAAACTGTATTCAATTCACTACCTTTTAATTCAAGCCAAAACGGTATAAAACGACAAGGTGAGCATCTAATTGCAATTCACTGGTTGACTATGGAGGCTGTGAGCTGACCGGGTCGACAACGACATTACGTTTGTTTAAAGTACAACGACATCTGATGATTTTGTCGTTATGGAAAACGAGCATTGGAGGATTCCAAGGATGAGCTTTACTCTATCCGTAGGAACGGCCTGTCGTTCTCCAAGTCAATACAAAACTCAACGATGGTAGAAAAACCTCGGAAGGCGCAAACAGTCTGTTGGGGCTTTATCTTCATCTCCCGTCACTTTGCATAAACCCAGATACATAGGGAATTGCGTCTTCAACTTGCCATACAACTACTCCCATGCTATCGAAATCCTTTGCAAATTTTCTCGTCTCTTTGTTGCCTATCCTATCTTTTTTCTCTCTCTCTGTTTTCTTTCCTTCTGCCCTCCGATGGAGTTTCAAGTTAGGCATGTGGGTGGCATTGAGAATTGCTTTATATCACTCCCTTTGCAACTAATCCAGACCCTAGAATCAACTCGACCCGGTAGTCTCTTCTCTCAAGTTCTCACTCTTGAGCTTCGCTGTCCAAACAATGATCAACAATGGGTTGTGGCTTGGTCCGGTGCTACCTCTTCTTCTTCAGCTATTGAGGTACTTCCTTTCTGGCTTTCCATTTCTTCTACTTGATTTTCTAGCTCTAAGTCATAAAGTTTGCGTCTTTGAAGGTTGCTAGACAATTTGCTGATTGCATTTCCTTGCCGGACCATATCCGTGTTCAAGTTAAAGCTGTTTCTAATGTGGCAAGTGCTACATTAGTAACTATAGAGCCCAGTACTGAGGATGATTGGGAAGTTTTGGAGCTTAACTCGGAGCAAGCGGAGGCAGCCTTATTAAAGCAGGTAGTTAGACTTATTGGTATCTAGCATGTCTTATTATTTTCATTTAACATTATCTTCCTATTACTTGATGTAAATGATTGGAAGAATTACAGAATTAGTCTCTTGAGGAGTAGAGTGTTGTTAAAAGTCATCAAGACAAGATAATTTCGGCTGCAATTATGTAACCTATAGTGGTGCCTTTAGTTTTATGAAATGAAATTTATAAGTAGACGGCAGTAATCATCATGTGTAATTGGAAAAATTTTTATCCTCTGAAACATTGCCTATGTTTTATTTATAGTAGAATCGTCATTAGAGTTCACCTATGATCATTTGATTTTTTTTTTTTTTGATATACTGAAACATTGCCCTATGTTTTAATTTATAGTAGAAATCGTCATTAGAGTTCACCTATGATATTTGATTTTTTTTTTTTTGATATATATTATATCATATATATATATATAATATATAATATATATATATATAATTTTTAATTGAGGGGAAATATGGGATTTGTTTTAATTTGCCTACTGGTCCTTTTGGTTAATTAGAGGAACTGCAACTTAAATTTTTATCTTATTCTTACAATGGATCAAATTCCACCAAGTACATTGCCAATTTAAGGCTTTATGGCAGATATATTTAATTGAGGGGAATATGGGATTTGTTAATTTGCATACTGGTCCTTTTGGTTTAATTAGAGAGAACTGAAACTTAAATTTTTTTATCTTATTCTTACATGATCAATTCCACCAAGTACTATGCTCAAGTTTAAGGCTTTATGGCAAGACAATAGAAACAAAATTTGACTTCATATACTTGCATCTGGAAGTAGAAAACTGGCGGAGTTCTTTGCACCTGTAGTGATTCCCCTTTACCAGTTTGTGTTAGCATCTTCCATTAATAGTTTTGACGGGTTATGATGACATTATTGATTTCCATGACTGAGCCTTAAAAAATTTGAAAAAAAAAAAAAAAAATTTATAATTGGGCATTTGTCTTTTTGAAATATAGGTCAGGATTGTCCATGAAGCAATGAGATTTCCTTTATGGCTACATGGCCATACTGTAATCACATTCCTTGTAGTTTCAACATTTCCCAAGAAATCGGTGGGTAAGATGACTTCTGCAACTGCTACTCTTATGCTATTTCTAGATATGATGCCAAGTTCCATTGGAGTTATACATCATGATGATGTTGGTGTGACAATTAATTACCCTTTTTCTTCATCCATAACCTTCTCAATCAATACTGTTGTTGGTTGTGCATTTCCACTCAATTCATTTTAGCCCCTTGTTATCAATGTCATTGTCGTATTTTGAAAATTAGTTCTGGAGTGGAAGCTGCTATATTTTATCACTTTATGAAGTCAGCTTGCTTGTTAATGCAGTCGTGGATTTACATGTAACCTTATTGACCCTTTTGCAGGAGCCTATAAGTTAATGCGTAAACTGTGGCTTATGGGCTTGAAAGATCAATTTTAGGCATTTTTTTTCCCTATTGCTCTTTATTTTTTCAAACAACAGAACTGATGCATGCTTTAATTTGTATAGCATGTGTTTTTTCTAGATAAAAAAACATCACAGGTTCTGGCCTAGGTAATTTTAGATTTATAGTTTCATGTGTTTTTATTCATATTTAAATGTGAAATTAGTTCTAATATTGGGGTCTAAGGGGAATCATACATATCAATAGGCTAAAATATGCCTTTCTGGCATGATGTCAATGTCATACGCATTTCTGGATAGTAGGTCTGTTCTAAGTTTTTAATTGCTTTTCTCTCTCAAGCTAGTATTCTGCATCATGATTGCATATATGTTTCCTGGGTTAAGATGACAGTTTTAGATCACAGACACTAATTTTGAGGTGCAATTGCAGCACCAAGTCCCGACTTTTGCAAAAATAGATCATGGAAGAGCATTTTCTTTTTTACTTTGTCTTGCGCTTTCTGCATACTGTCTTCATTTCTAGGGCATGTGGCTTAAAAATCAGCACAAAGTTGGGTGGTGTTCACACTATTAGCATTACTCTTAGGTTCATGCTAATTATATTTTTCATCTGTACCCTATAAGGCAGGCTACTGAAATTTTGCTACCCATGTGTTAGTTCTGGGAAGTGGCTGGGTTATTTTTTCTTGGATTGTGCTTGTTATCAGATCACTTTTAGTGGAAACCATGTCTTATATGTATGCTAATGCAAGTTTAACATATTACTTTCATTTTTTTGTTACAAGTGGATTTTTATTTATGTTCTTAGTTTGCGTAGTATAGCTTGTTGCACATGCATGGTTGATTGCATTAATTTGGATTTCTCATTGTTGGAGTTACGGCTAACCCATGCTACTGTTCTCAGTTCAACTTGTTCCAGGAACTGAAGTTGCGGTTGCTCCAAAGAGACGTAAAACGGATTTAAACAAACAAGATGCCTCAATTCAGTCATCTAGTAAAGAGTCCAATGTCCCAAAGGCCCTATTGCGTCTTCAGGATTTAGATGCAAGATTGCTGCACAAAAGTGAGGTCAAAGGGGTTGAGCTTGGTGTTGTGCTCACTTCTGTTGGTTATGTGCATCCTGAAACTGCCAAAAAGTTTTCACTGGACGCTCTTCATATGTTTACTGTTGTACCAAGATTATCATCAAAAGAGTCTATAAGGACACCTGAAAGTGATGTTTCAAGAATGAAAAGCTCTTCTTCTACCCTTAAGGACGCTAACACTGACCTTTCTACCAACAAGAACGAACATCGCCAAGCAATTGTTCGCATTTTATATTCAGATTCAGTGGCTAAAGGACATATAATGATAGCTCGGTCTCTTCGTCTGTATTTGAGAGCAAGCTTGCACTCATGTATGTTAATCCCTTGAAGCATTCAATGTGAAAAACCTCTTAGCTATTTCTTTGCATTGATTTTTTAAAAAATGCTTTGAAGTAAGGAAGCATATTTGCATCTCTTTACTTAATTTTTCATGGTTCAGCAATCTTAATTATATTATTTGATTTTTAATGTTCAGCTTAATTTAGACTGTTCTCTTCCCTACAGGGGTTTATTTAAAGATGTGCAGTTCAGATTTGAAAGATATCACCTCACTATCAGTTTCTCCTTGCTATTTTAAGATGCTTGGACAGGATAAATATATTCAGAAGAATAACCTAGTGCTTAACAGCTATAGAAATCAAAAGTCAAGAAGCTTGCTTTCAGAAACCACCGCAGGCATGTATATTGGTATTGCAGATTGGTCGATCCATGACCAAATTGTGACTGATCTTTCACACGACTTTCCTTGTAAAGAGGATGAAGATATCACTTATCAGTCTGATAATAAAACAGGATTAAAAAGACTTCTTGAAGCTTGGTTTCTTGCTCAACTTGATGCTGTTGCTTCAACTGCTGGGTTGGAAGCTAATTCAATAATATTAGGAAACGAAACTATTCTTCATTTTGAAGTGAAAGGACACAACCCTCAGACTGCTAGGAAAAAAATGGTGCAAGAAATGACTTACTCAAATGGATCACTTGATAAAAAAAAAAACACTGGTGAAGTGCCCCTTGAATTGCTCTTTGTGCTTACTATTTCTGAGGAGTCTTTGCAAGAGAGTAAAGTTAACATGTACAAGATAGTTTTTAATGAAAGCAAAAAAGGCTATTTAGGAAGTGCGGAATTGTTTGGAAAACTGAAATTGGGTGACCCATTATCCTTGTATACTGTGAATGAGAGAAACTCTATCAAAGGCTTTAGTGCAAATCTATCTTCTTTGAGCTGGATGGGGACTATTGCTACTGATGTAATTAACAGTAGGTATTTCTCTTTGAAATTCCTTAAACCTCATTGCTTGTAGTTGTCAATTAAATCTTCAAAATGCGAAACTTCCATAGTCAATAAGCATAATTTATTCTAATCTATATTGCTTTATTTCATCTGCCTGCACTCATTAACAACTGTTGCTGCACATGACAATTGGGACGTTTTAAATCTTGATTTGAGATTTGAAATGCTTTAGTTTACTTCCAATATTCTGGCTGAAATATCTCATGCTAAATCACATAAGTTTTGTTAGGCACTAAATGCATTTGGTAGCACATGGTTGTCAATTATGTATATCACATGCACAACTGGTTAAACAACATTTCCTCATTTCCCAGGCAAAGTCGTCAGTTTCCCTGATATGCAATTTTTATCTGGTTTCAGGAATGATGGTATTGCTGTCTCCTGCTTCAGGGATGCTATTCAGTACTTACAATCTTCCTCTCCCTGGGCATGTTCTGATACATGGACCTCATGTGAGTTCATCTCTTTGGTGGTTATAAATTTTTGTGGCATGATTTTTGACAGAGAAAATATGTTCATTATTAACAGTAATGTACATGTCATGGATATGCAATGGATACTTACCATGGTTTCCCTATCTTCATCCTATTTGAATCTATTGTGCTCTGTTGGTTTTGCTTCAAATATTCTAATTATACTCCCAAAACTAAGAATTCTAGCTTATGCAAAAAAGAAACAACATTGTGGGCTACTTTCTAGTTTATGAATTCACTTGATCAGCTTAAGTGCACAATTAACCGTTTAGTCATTCAAGGTCTAGAAAACAAACTGAAGGGCGATATGGAAAATCTACAAGTCAATTGCGTATGTGGTACAATAGGATGCATCGACCGAGTTATTAACTATACAACAACAACAACAACAACAAAGTCTTAGTCCCAAATTAATTGGGTTTGGCTATATGAATCATTTGTTTCAAGTATCCGCTCTAATCAAGTTAAGATCCATGTAAAGCAAAGTATAAGTCGAAATAATTTGAAATACTTTTTGTTAAAAAAAAAAAATTGAAAAGGGGGGATTTAAAATCATTTGATATATTAATAAATAGGATATTAACTATATAAATCAAACAAATTTGTAAGATATCACTGGACCTGGAACCTGGTTTATTTTTATTTTTTATTTTTGTGGAGGAAGGAATATTAGGGCTTAAGAGTTGTCTCTCTAGACTCTAAGATAGGTGGCTTAATACATTAAAAGTTATGGTTTAGCGATTTGTTGATATGAACCTGTCGTAGTTTTTGATGTTTTGTCTTATAATGATTTTTCTCTTGTATATGGGTTAACATCCCCTTGATTCCCTGTAATGTTATCTTTTTGCTTTCAGAATTAAAAACAAATGTCTTATTAATGTGTTGATTAATAATTTAAGTTGTTGTATGTTTCTGTATTAGGGTTCTGGTAAGACTGTTTTAGCAAGAGCAGTTGCAAAATCTCTTCAAGAATGTGAAGACCTCTTAGCACACATGTAAGCCATTCTTTCAACACATTTATGCAATTTCCTTTTCCTCTTCTTCTTCTTCTTTGGACCTTTTCTTGGTAAATCAAGTGCTAATTTTTGTTGCTTCTTGTTAACACATTAATTTGCTTGCAGAGTGTTTGTAGGCTGCTCTGGACTTGCTTTGGAAAAGGCATCGACAATTCGTCAAGCACTTTCTTCTTACATATCTGAGGCTTTGGACCATGCACCCTCCCTTATAATCTTTGATGATCTTGATAGTATCATTTCATCCTCTTCCGACTCAGAAGGACATCAACCTTTAGCCTCTGTTGTTGCTCTTACAAATTTTCTCACAGACATCATGGATGAATATGGGGTAATAGCTTCATCTCAGTTGTTGGTTCCTTGAGGCTTTGATTGGTAGCACTCAGACTTGCATGTTTTATCAAATTTTATTGAAATTGGTATTGCTGGTTGTTTATTTGGTACTTTTAATAATGCCACCACGACATCGCATTAAGTAGAGAGAAACCCTTTCTTCGTGAAAATTCAATGTAGTGCTATCTTTTTGCTTTTGGCTCATAAGCTATTATTAAATGAATAAGCTAAAAAAGTTGTCATTCAAGCAAAAGTGATAGATTTCTAGTATTGATGATTTGCTATGTGTTTCGATCTGATTACTGAGGCTATGTGATGTCAGTTGCCAGGGTTTTTGCAGTTTCAGTATTGTTTCTACTCTGATACGCATGCATTATAAAAAAAATTAAAGAAATAGGGTCGGAGTTATTTCTTTCTCTTTTTCCATTGGAGAAGTCCTAAATTATGCGAGCATCTTTAAGACCTACTATTTTATGGGATATGGTCTGCGTAATGGCCCATAATTTATGAATTTATAGTGCAAGTACATGTTATAAGGCACAAAATAGTTCTTTGGTTATTTTCCCGGCTTCTTGAGTTGCCTCTGTTGTAATCCTGATGCTAACATGGCATGGTTATGTTGGTTCCAATTTTTGTTTCCATGATTCCCTATTCACCTAATTAGTATCTTATGAACAGCAAAAAAGGAAGAGCTCATGTGGAATTGGTCCAATTGCTTTTATAGCTTCTGTGCAGACTCTGGAGAGTATTCCCCAGTCATTGAGCACTTCAGGTTTGTCTCTCTTATTTCATTTTTTTGGCTTACAGGAGTTCTTATCTAAGAAATCAGTTGCTAATTTTTCCTTTTCTCCTTTGTTGGTAATTTTTTTTCTTTGGCATTCTGTTTACTGCTTTTAGGACGGTTTGACTTTCATGTGCAACTTCCTGCTCCTGCTGCCTCAGAACGTCAGGCTATACTGAGGCATGAAATTCAGAGACGTTCGCTTCAATGTTCCAGCGATGTTTTGCAAGATGTAGCTTCCAAATGTGATGGTTATGATGCATATGATCTGGTACATATCTTCACTTCTGATTACTGCTTTTATATTTGTTTCTCTGCCAGCGGTATATGAGAACTATTCATGTCTTAGGATTAAGGGTACAATTATAGTCTGATTAATTCAGAGACGTTCGCTTCAATGTTCCAGTGATGTTTTGCAAGATGTAGCTTCCAAATGTGATGGTTATGATGCATATGATCTGGTACATATCTTCACTTCTGATTACAGCTTTTATATTTGTTTCTCTGCCAGGGGCATATGAGAACTATTCATGTCTTAGGATTAAGGGTACAATTATAGTCTGATTTTAGATATAGTTATTGCTTGTGTATCATTGATAGATTGCACTATAAATAGTGATGTATAAAGTTGTAAACTGTGATTCTTTGGAATTAATCAATAATAACAGAATTCTACTATATTTTCCCGGTTCCTTTCTTTCTCTCCTCTATTTTGTATTTTCTCAATCTTTCTTTCACTTTCTTATCAAACAAACACAACAGGTTGGGATTAATGGCTAATAATCCTAAAAATATGTCTACTTAACAAAAGAATTGATTCCTCAAATTCTGTCAATGGAAGTGCTGGAAATCAGTAAATTTGTGCATCTGAGGTTTTGAAGAATCATCAATCTTTTATGCTGTCCTAAATTTGGCTGATGGATCTGAATGTGGGATTTCGCTTTGACAAAGTTAATAGATGTGATAACTTTATGTAATAGATTTGGCCTATTGGAGTCTAACAATTTTGGCCTATTGGAGTCTAACAACTTGCAGTCTCATAAATCTCATCTATTTGTTTTATGCTCACTTCTTCCTGTTACTGTTATTAATAAGAATTAAGAATATGCTACTCAATTTATTAGCCTATTTTATTCAATTTGTTTCATTCTCATAAATCATAATTAACATACAAGCTTATTTATTCAAGCTTTCAACATGATCATAACTTGAGACAGTGTTCTCAATCTTTTATTGAAGTCCTTTGAGTTGTATGTTAACTACATGTATCTAGTTTATAATTGATGTTAAGTTTCATGGATGTTTTATGCCTAAAAGTGCATCTTAATCTAGGATAAGTGCAATCTTTTGAGTGCAAGATTTGCAATTCAAACTTGTTTTGCTGACTTACATATTCTAGCTTTGAATATGATTTCTTTTTGGTCAGGAAATATTGGTTGATAGAACTGTTCATGCTGCCATTGGCCGTTTTTTGCCTTCTCAATATACCCTTCTCAATATACTTTTGAAGAACATGAGGTGCCCACTTTGGTCAGGGATGATTTTTCTCAGGCAATGCATGAGTTTCTTCCTGTTGCCATGCGTGACATTACTAAATCTTCTCCTGAAAGTGGTCGCTCTGGATGGGAAGATGTTGGTGGTCTCAAGGACATCAGAAATGCTATTAAAGAGGTATGCTTAATGAGTTTACTTCTTACCTTAACAGCTAATTTGAAAATATTTCACTATTTAGGCCTCTTTTGTTTCATTGAAAATAACTTGCATATAGAGGAAAATATTTTTTGAGAGAATGATTTGTTTTGGTTGCAATATTGGAAATTTTTCAGCATTTAAAATACATCGTAAAGTATAAAGTGTTTTAGAAGATAAAAGACTGACAATGTTTAGACCTAAAAGGATATATAGTTGCTAGTGAAAAGAAAAAAGGTGACTATAAAAATGGTAATTGTGGCCATCATTGATGACTGGCAGTGGTGTGATGGCAATGTTTTCTGAGAAGGCTATATCATCATGTGTTGCATGGATAATAGACTTCAGAACATTACTAAAACCATAGTCTCTCTCTCTCTCTCTCTCTCTTTTTTTCTTTAACTGGTGCTTAGACAGATTTTTTATCATCTAATAAGTTGATATTTTAACCCTTTCTTTTTATTCCCCGTGCTTGTTCTATATTGTATTGGAAGTTTTGATTTTTGTTTGCCATTGTTCTTTGCTTGATTAAAATGGCAGATGATTGAATTGCCTTCAAAGTTCCCAAATATTTTTGCCCAAGCTCCTTTAAGACTGCGGTCAAATGTTCTCTTATATGGTCCTCCTGGTTGTGGAAAGACTCACATTGTTGGTGCTGCTGCTGCTGCTTGTTCCCTGCGATTCATATCAGTGAAAGGGCCTGAGCTGTTGAACAAATATATTGGTGCTTCTGAGCAAGCTGTAAGATAGCAATTAGTTGATTTATATTTTCTTTCTTGATATCTCAATGACACTTGGTAATTGACATACCTATCACAGCCTTGTAAGCCCTTTTTTTTTTTTTTTTTTTTTTTTTTTTTTTTTTTTTTTTATCTTGATTGATCTATGCTCTTTTTTAATGCATAATACCTATGCTTGACTTTCTCACTTGATTCTGAATATTATCAATTTATATCTAGAGACATTTTTGAAAAAGAAGGCACAAGTTAGAATAGTTGTTAAAAGGGATGCAACTTGGCTTGGATCAGGGTGGTTGTGGGATTAGAGAAGCAACTTGATGTTTGTTGGTTTAAAAGTTGGAACAGTGGTAAAAATATCTATCTTTGTATCTGTGTCAATCCAAATAAAAACTGATTATATGGTACTCTTAACATAAGAAAAGTTTTCAATTAAATTAGTTTGTTGAGGTGCTCAGTATGTGCTATGCACAAATCATAAGAAGGATGATGTGCTAGTAAATCTAAATCCCCATAGAGAAACCATCTCTATGTCCTAATTGTGATCCAAGCTCTTCGTGGAGAGTTCCTATTTGCAATCATTATGCTTCTTTTAGGGTATCTAAATTCTAAGAGTTCAATAAACCTGGTGCCTAATTTTTTAATATCAATATGTCTTTTTACCAGTTTATATTTTTCTTCTGCATTTTCAATGTGTCTATCATTTGTTTTTGGTTGAAATAGAATTCTTTGGGATTTTTTTGGTTGAAATAGAATTCTTTGGGATTCAACATCAAAAGATGAAGACCAATAGATATTCCCATAGAACTTCTATGCATAAATAATTTTATTTTACTTTTGATGCATGAATAATATTATTTTATCTTTGTTGAAAGTAAACAAGAAATAAGAGGGGAGAGGGAGTCTGAACAACTTTTTAGTATCAATTATGATATCATTTGTTTTTGGTTGAAATAGAATTCTTTGGGATTGAACATGAAAAGATGAAGACCAATAGATATTCCCATGGAACTTCTATGCATAAATACTTGTATTTTACTTTTGATGCATGAATAATATTAGTTTATCTTTGTTGAAAGTAAACAAGAAATAAGGGGGGAGAGGGAGTCTGAACAACTTTTTCGTATCAGTTATGATAACCTTTGACACTGTTGTTCTGCAACTGATTTATAGCTCCATTGGTGACAATTGAGAGCACAGTATTGTAAGCTAGTGGTTGTTTTCGAGAAAATGGAAATATGTTCAGTGATTCTTTGGCATAAAATTTAATGCAAAAAATGGCTGTTAATGATGCTCTTGCTTTGGTTTATAGGTTCGTGATATTTTCTCGAAAGCCACTGCTGCAGCACCATGCCTTCTCTTTTTTGATGAATTTGATTCCATTGCCCCAAAAAGAGGGCATGACAATACTGGTGTTACTGATCGTGTTGTTAATCAAGTCAGTTTTCTAGTTCAGTTTCAATATTTTTCTTCATTTTCTTTGTTTTCTTTTTCTTTTTCTTTTTTGTGTTTGTTTCTGAATTAAGGTTTTCATTTTTTTTGTTTTTTTTTTTTTTTTTTTTTTTTTTTTTTTTTTTTTTTTTTTTTTTTTTTTGTTTTGGTACATTCCTCTCCTCTGTTCCACATGATCTCAGTTTCCTCACGAATTCACATGAGCTCAGCTCTCAGCTATTAACTTTTGGTGTTTTCGTGATTCGCTGCAAAATGTTAGTTTTGTCTGGAGTATAAAGTTAATGTTTATTTAAGGTTATTTCTCATGCACTCCAACTATGATAGTCAAATTAATAATATTGTGTAAGAAAGACTCCACTTTTTTGCAGATACTTTTGCATTATGCCTCTGTAGCCTTTTCAATTACTTAAATCAGATGCTCGATAAATAGTTAACAGTATTTTAGTGCACTAGTACCACACCATGATGCATAAAATTTCGTTTTGCTTGTTGTGTTAAATATTTGTTGTACATCCTTAGTAACTTATCAAATGATGTTCTTCACATTATCTTTAGTTTAAATAGGATGGATTGCACAGATTCTACTCTTATACCATATCTCAATAAAAACCAATTCTCCATTATTTTCTGTGAATATATGACTTGCAAAATGGGCATTAACAGTAAGTACTAAATGATATGTGGTGGAAAAGGTACATTGTAGGGATTTTCTTCTTCAATTATGTTGAATGTTTACAGCTATAGTTTCTGATTTGCCCTTTATGTAAATCTCTCTCTCTCTCTCTCTCTCTCTCTCTCTCTCTCTCTCCACTCATTTGCATGCTCACTTATTCTCACATTTGTCGAGCAGTAGACCAGAGATCTACTTGATGCTGTGCTCAACCTGTAGGTTGTCGTCTTCTTTCTGCGATTTTCATCTGCAGCAGGAGAGGTTTTTAGACATGGTTCTTTCCCGAAAGGTGAGTGGTTCTGCCCAGATTTAATTTTAGGTGGAATCCATGTAAAGTATTGCTTTTTTTTTGCGTTTCTTATGTCTGCTTTCTGCAAATTAATGCAGCTACCGATGGAAAATGATGTTGACTTAGATGCCATCGCACATATGACAGAAGGATTTAGTGGAGCTGACCTGCAAGCTCCAAGCTCTTCTATCAGATGCACAACTTGCGGCAGTTCATGAACATCTGAGTGCAGACAGCAGCAAACATGGGAAAATGCCAGTCATAACTGATGCCTTGTTGAAGTCCATTGCTTCCAAAGCAAGACCATCCATTTCTGAATCTGAGAAGCGGAGACTATATGGTATTTATAACCAGTTCTTGGATTCAAAGAAATCTGCTGCCGCCCAGGTTCCCCTCTCTCATCACATTTTCATCTGCTCATATTTTTCTCTCTTAAGATCGAGGAGTAGTGCTAACAAAGTATTTGTTTTGCAGTCAAAGGATGCAAAGGGCAAAAGGGCTACTCTAGCATGATGGATAGCCAGATACAGCTAGCTAGTCACGTTCAATGAGGCAGTTGGTGTTGCACTACTTTCCAGTATTGACAAACAGTTGGTATGGGAAAAAAAAAAGCCACGATACTTCCGAATCAATTTTAACAGAAGATCTTACATTACATTCCATTCCATTTTCTCCATTGTAGAAAATTAGATATAGATTTATTCATTTTCCAACTCTTTGTATTTCAATTGATGTATAATTTTCTATTAAGATGGATATAACTACTGCTGTATAGATACTCTGAATCATTTGTATTAATCTGAGATCTGAGATCAACTTTAAACCAACGAAGTTTGATATCAGATAAAAGTCATATGATCAAAAGAAATGTTTGAACATCCCTTTGAAAGAGGTTGAGGTTTATGATCGAAACAAAGAAATTTAGTTCTGTCTTTTTATTAATCAACTGATGAATTTAATTTTATTAATCACTGATGAATTAATTCTTTATTTCATATATATATTATATATAATATATATATATATATATATATAATAAGTCTAATGTATTTGATAACATAATTGAGTGATGTTAAGCTGTGAAATGTGACTAACATGGTACAGGTTGTACAGTAGAATGGAATATTGTAAAGACTTTCCTGAGTGTATTTGATGAAGTGGGCGCTGCAAAATATCAATACTTCTTGAACCCCCGAGGGAGCTCAAGCTGTAAATGCAACAATCTGATGCTATTTGTTATTTTTTCCCCCTTTAACTATCGTTTGTTTACTGAGAAACAGAGGGTAAATAGAAAAAAAAGAGAAGAAAAGTGAGAAGAAAGGAGAAAGATGGACATACTTGGGAGAAAAAAATTTGAGAAATGAAATGACAATTCAATCCGCATTACATCAGCTGCATATTTGTATCACATCTCAATAACTGCCATGTAAGCAGTAAACTCACAAATCAAAATCAAATACAATTACAATAGTGTCCAATCCATTCAAGCTCAATTACAACATTACAATCGAGTCCTGACAATTTATCACGAAAAAAAAAAAGTGAAAAAAGAAAAGGTTTCATTCAAAGCAGAAACAACTCAAAAAAAAAAAAAAAAAAAAAAAAAAAAAAAAAAAAAAAAAACTCAAAAAAAAAAAAAAAAAAAAAAAAAAAAAAAAACTCAAAACGTTCCGATCCTTTATTGCACAAGTTTACTCCTTCCTTTGCCTTGGAACCTTGATCACATCGAAATCATTCCACAATTTTGATGGCCTGCCTCTGTAAATTGCTAAGCAAGAAATTGCATTGGCAGCGTCAGACTCAATGACAATATTCAAAATTTTCCAGTATTAACAACATTAAGGAAATTGTATGACAAATTTGCTTCAGTAAATCAAAATTATAACTCAGTGATTATAAATTTAGGCTAAATTACAAGCATTAAATTTCCATGACTTGTGGTTACCTGTAGAAAGGTAGTTTCCATTAGATTTGTTCTTGTGCGTCAGTCACCACCTTGATTCCTTTGCACTGCTTCTGGTATATTCTCCAGCTTTGGGCATTCACTTACTCGTACTCTTTCTAGAAGTGGAAAAGACAGAGGATTCCTATATATGCATTTCAGTTTTGGTAATTCAAACAATTCAAGAACTTGGAGTTTTGAAAATAGGTTCACATTTTCACTCCCAACTTGAACTTCACTTAATTTTTCAGCACTAACAATTTCTTCTATACGCTCATTCACTGAGACTACCAAAATTTCCAAATTCGGGACCAGAACGAGCCATGTCAGCTCTCGCAATCTGCAGTTATTCCATACAGTCACTTCTCGGAGGCTATTGAAGCATTTTGGGGTTGGGATCATCGAGTTGCTGAGACCTCTAGTTGCATGATGATGTATTCTGCTCTCATCCAGCAGATCATCGACAACAATCTCTTCTAAGACAGGATTATGAAATATGTCTATGGTCTCTAGATGCCTCGCATTTGCAAATGAGGAAATATTAAGAGATTTTGGACCTTTAAACCATACAAGCTGTAGAGACCGAGCACAGTTGAATAATCTGTGGATGCTGAGAAACAACTGAAGCATAGAGACACTTATTATTGTGAGGCTCAGTTCATTCAAATTTTCAAGACACTGGAGCTCCTCTATTAGCGTATTGCCTTCACCCAATAAGTTATTTACCGAGTTTTCATAAATATAACCGGTTTGCAACATTTTTCAAGACACTGGAGCTCCTCTATTAGCGTATTGCCTTCACCCAATAAGTTATTTACCGAGTTTTCATAAATATAACCGGTTTGCAACATTCTCAAAATTTGCAGTGACGATGACAGACTAGATATGACTCCCCTTGGAATAAAATTTAGATGCCCATTACGCTCCAAGTTCAAATATTTCAGCTTTTGCAATAACTTCAACTCAACTGGTAACCGCGTTATATGCGTACAACGCAGATTAAGATATTGCAGTGAGGTTAATTTTGAAATTCCCTTAGGCAATTTCTGTATATGTGTCTCTGATAGATCAAGAACCGTGAGCGAATTCATATACTGGAAGAAATCACCACTGATCTCCTTCAAAAACCTATTATGACCAAGGAATAAAGTCGAAAGATCCCCGCATCTAGGAACTTCTCGAATACTTTGTAAGGAGTTTGCCATCAACGACATTCTTTTTGATCCTTCCCATTGTTTGGCGTCTGGAAATTCTGTTAATTGGGCACCCACTTGCACGAAAAATTTCTCCTTGCCTTTTTCATATTTACATGCTATCCACAAAGCCATGTCACGAATCACATCGTGCATTTTTACATATTTTCCATTTTCTTCCAATAGGCATGCTCGAACAAGGGAACCAATTATTATGGTATATTCCTTCATTTCGAGCATACAATAAAAATCCAGATAATAATGTACCAAATCATCCTTGAGGAATTTTTGAGAGTTCCTCCGGAATTAAGGAACGAGTATGAAGTCCTCCGGGAATAAGGAACAGTATAAGAAGCAAGATTTAACTTTATCACCGTGTAGACTATCATAACTAAACTTCAAAATTGCAAATACTTCAACCTCCATATCTTGAAACACCTCATCTTCCATTCCGTGTAAACTTGAGGCATAACTTCTTAAGACATCGAGAGCATGTTCCCATTCGTGGAGTGCATCTTTGCCAGCCATGGCATGGCCAATTGTGATGAGTGCCAGTGGCAATCCACCACACTCCTTAACAACATTTTTAGCTAGAGGAAGGATATTCGGAGGAATATCCCCAACTTTCTCCTGGAATAAGGTCCAAGATTCTGTTGGATTCAGAGGCTTCACTTTCATCATTTTTTCGGCTTCCATTTGCCTGCATATTTTGTAGGAACGCGTTGTGAATACTATCCTTGACCCGTGTTGTCTTTTTGGCAGAGGAACCCCTATGTCTTTTAGATCAACCTTCTGCCATACGTCATCCAAAAATAATACAAACTTCTTTCTGCTCAATATATAAAATATATCTTCTGCTTTCTCACTGGGGTTTTTTTTTGCCCACGTCTCATCAAAAAAGCCAATCTTTTTCCAAATATCTTCTCGAATCTTTTCAGGTTTCAAATCTTTTGAAACCACCACCCAAATCGCAACATCAAAATTATGGGTTGTACTAGCAATGGGTTGTACTTAGCAAAAACCTGTTGTTGATTTGGTTAAGAGAGTAGTTTTGCCAACACCCCCCATACCATATATGCCTTGGTTTAAGAGAGTAGTTTTGCCAACACCCCCCATACCATATATGCCAACAGTGCCCAGTTGTTCATCTTGTGTGAGCCATCTCCAAATATCATCTAACATCGTTTCCGTGCCAAATGGTTGTTTATCATTCCTTTCAACTACTGGGTCTGGAAGTACCTTCTCAACCACCTCTTTGAATTCTCCTTTGGCTCTTAGAGCAACTGCTTCTTCTAACACTTTGGCCACCTTTCGCACAAATTCGTAGCTAGAAAGGTCTTTACGACGCAATTTCTCAATTTCTGGTGGACCATTTCTTATCATCTCCTCCGCTTCAGTCACTATTGCTTCCAGCATCGAGAGCCACAGTTGAACTTGTGGCATCCGCTTCTTTTGTGGCCCTTCCTCCGAGGTGATCCTCATCATCACTCCCTCCTTTAAAGCTTTTAATTCTTTCATTATACACTTCAAAGTTCGAAGATCAACTTGAAGCTGACTTATGTAATCTGGTTCTGCAGGTACTGACTTATGTAATCTGGTTCTGCAGGTATCCTTCTAACCAATTCTTTGAAAACTCCTTTGGCCTTTACAACAGCTACATCTTCTAATTTTTTGGCGACCCTTCCGACAAACCTGTAGTTGGAAATATCTCCATGAACCTGTAGTTGGAAATATCTCCATGACTCAATTTTTGAATTTCTGGTGGACCATCTGGTATGAGCTCATCTGCCTCAGTTATGGTCGATTCTGCCATTGAAAGCCACAAGCGAACTTGTGGCAGCAACATCTTTTCTGGCCCTTCCTCCAAGGCTACACTCTGCATGACATCCTCCTTTAAAGCGTATAATTCCTCTCTTGCAGTCCTCAATGCTTCAAGATTAGCTTGAAGTTGATTTGCTGGTTCTGCCATAACCACTTCTTTAAAATCTCCTTCATTCATCAAAGCGATCACTGTTTTCAGACATTTTGCAACACTTCTCCCAAATGTGTAGCTGGATTTGCAGTTCTTGGAGCAACAGCCTGCTATACTTAACTTCTGTCTTTCTTGTATAGCTTTGCTTAGCAGCTGATTAATTTTAACAATGGCAGCATCCACCCTCGAGAGCCATCCTCCAACTCGATCCATCTGCGCCATTTCTGGTCTTTCCTGATTGACGATCAACCGCATCACATCAGTCCTCAGGTCTCTTAATTGATCTCTTGTAGTCTCCAATGCCTCAAGATTATCTTCAAGCTTGTATATATACTGCCAATGTCCAGCAATGCAATCCCAGCAGCGGCCAGCCAAAGCATCACCGCATTGAATCTGAAAGACATTGCCCATAGCCTGCTTGTGAAAAGACATTGCCCATAGCCTGCTTGTGAAAAATTGGACAGGAAAGAAATCTATCCAAAGAAAGATGAAGGGATTAATGGAGGAACAAGAACTTAGGCTGAAGGCATAGTTCAAAATGATGTATATACAAATACAATTGTTTACCTGTGGAAGTTTAAAAGGCTGTTGGTGTTTTCTAGCTATGGAGAAGATGAAATGAAGAGAGAATATTTGGGTTTCTTTACTTCTTATAAAACTGCAGTACGTACACAAATATATAGATGAGACCACAGCTGCTTGGGGACCTCAGAAACAAGATTTAAAATCAAACTTTGTCCCAAAGCCAGAGCAAAACATGATTACACATCAGCATGTTCTATAGAAGCTATAATATAAAATATGGTGAACCGGAGTGCATAGCAACTGTAGCAATTCAACATCAGCTAATACTAATTTTTTAATTTAAAATTGACTTCATTTGGCAATGAATGGTCACAACGTTCCTTAGTAAGTGTTTAAAAGGGCAAAAGATTTTTGTCGTCGCATCTCATAATTAATGGTTCCAACAGTAATTTTGTTCAGCTCAATAAATATTCGAATTTGGCTACATCATCCCTTGGCCCTAATATTCGAATTTGGCTACATCATCCCTTGGCCCTTCCTTCAAAATGGTAATACTTAAATTTTCTATCTAGTTGTTTCATAGTCAATTAGCTTGAAATAAAGCTGTCATCAAATGCATAAATTGTTTTAGTCTAGTGCAACCATGAGTTGTCTACTACTAAGGGAGAATCAGATATAAATGAATTATTTCATTTGAAACTAATAATTAAGCTTTTTTTTTAAAAAAAAAAATGAAAATAAAGATACTAATTATTACTATTAATAAATAAAATAATGAAAACTTAATCTATAAGTTGCATTTTAAATCCAGATCAGCATATCAAGTGAAAAAACTTGGATGAAGAACATCATCAAGCAAATCAGAGTATTATTTATTTTACTATTAAAGTTTGATGTTATTTCTTCTAGAATTACTCTTTATTTTTTACTTATTACTTGGTTGGATGGTAAATATTTTCTTTTAGATATATCAAAGTATCAGACCATTATTCATCTTATATTTAATATTATTATTTATAAATAATAAATAATGTAGTATATAAAAATAAAACTAGATTTTTTTTTTTATTTTACTTCTCAAAATGCTTTTCATTTAAGATATACAGAATATTTCTTTCACACATGGGTCATATAATGACTAAGTGGACACTTTGCAATATAGAAAAGAAATGACACTTGCAATTAATTAAAACAATTCTCAATTCTTGGATTCTAACAATTCTCAATTCTTGGATTCTATTTCGAATGGGTAATCTTTTTTTTTTTTTTTTATTCCTATTGTTTTTAGATATATAAGTCTTTTTTTACTATTATTTTTGGAGGTGGTATTACAACAACCTACTTGTGGATTATAAAATTAAGGGGAAGTCGATATCATGTTTATATAATAAATAACCTAGCTTTGGGATTTTTTTTTCCCTTAATATTCAAATTTCACGAATATAATCTAGTACAAAAGAAAGATTATAGTAAAATTGTTTCACAAGAAAAATTTCAAGTCTGCGGTTATTCCATTGTCCTCAAATGAAAAATTATCTAAATATATGATGATGGAAAATATGTTGAAGCATCTCTTTGTAAAGTCTAATTAGTAGCTTGCTTTGTTTGATTGCTATAAGGCCTATTATATGTTAATGTCTTTCAGCGAGTTTACTTTCAAGATTCAGGAATTCTCCTAATGAATTTCATCTGGAAGTGGTCAAGAATGTCTTAATATACATCAAAAGTAAAACTGATCTTAGTGTTTGGTATTTTAAAATCTCAATTATAAAGCTTGAAGAGCACTTTAGGTTACTTGTTCTTTTTTGGCTCATATCCTTTTTGCTAGAATTCAAAGAAACAAGAAATGCTCGCTTAGTCTAAAGTGAAGCCAGAGTATGTTGCAGTGTTGCTGCTATAAATCAAGCTCTATGACCTGAAAAAAATTTACAAGACCTGATGATGGAGCAAATAGAGCCTATTATCCTAAATTGTGATAACAAATCTGTCATAACCATAGCTCACAACCTAATCTACATGGAAGAACAAAGGGCATCAAGGTAAAATATCATTCCGTTAGAGAAGCTGAAAGAAATCAAGCTTGTACATTGCAATTCTAAAATTCAGTTAGTAGATGTTGGGATGTGATGTGATATATGCTGTTTGAATCTCCTCCGTCTGCAGGTCTTTTTCCATGGGTCCTTCATGATTTTGCGGGTGTCGCTTACGCTCGTTTTTGTGTTGGTCATTTTTTAGTTTCCTATTGTTATAAAAAAAAAAAAAAAAATTGAGAGTGAAAGGTATGAGGTCCAATTTTTTAGTGATTTTTGTCGTTTTTGTGTTATTTTTTTCCTTTGTAAACAACTCAAATCTAATGTTTTTAGTTTGTTTGTAAAAAGGAAAAAAAAAAAAAAAAAAAAAAAGCCATTGTCTTTTTAATGTAAAATCTGTTGTTTCCTTTGTAAAGTTATGCTGTCTTTTGTTAAGAGTTTATGTTTTTATATTCTCCTCTTCTTCTCCATTTCCGAACAGTAGATACCTCGACGAAAGTTTTGTTTATTCAAGATTTGAAGACATGAGATGGAAGCTTAAAGTATCTGAGCAAAATCTCAAGACAGTGTTGGTTTAGCTACAATTTCTCTTATTAAGTTACTATCAATCCATACGCTCAACATAAGACCTAAACAAAAAAAACGTGGATGACGAACAAGATCAACTAAAATAGAATATTATTTATTAGACATTTTACTATTTAAGTTTGACCCTTCAAATTACTCTTTGTATTAGTTTTAAAGTTGCCATTCTGGTAAGAGTAAAGAGACTGAAATGTTCCAATAGCGAATTTCTGTGCAGATTAACTTTTCTAGTTTGTCGTTTCAGTTCCTGAAGGATTGCAAATTTTTGAATCTCCTCCATCTGCAGGTCTTTTTCCATGGCTCCTTCATTGACTTTGCGGGTGGTGCTTATGCTCGTTTTTGTGTTAGTCATTTTTTATTTTCCTATTGTTATAAAAAAAAAAAAAAAAATTGAGAGTGAAAGGTATGAGGTCCAATTTTTTAGTCATTTTTGTCGTTTTTGTGTTATTTTTTATCTTTGTAAACAACTCAAATCTAACGTTTTTAGTTTGTTTGTACGAAAATATATAAAAAGGATCAAAACGCCACTTGCTATTAAAAACAATTTTAGAAGTAAAGTTCTCTTTCTCTTTTGCGTTGGGTGTTAGGTGGAGTGGAAGTTAACGACAAAATAGAATTATTTCCTTTTACAAAAAAATAAAATCACTTTTGTCCTAATTTCCAAAAAATAAGAGAAGAAAAAAAAATTACACACAATCATTAGGAGGGAGAGAGAGTTAAAGTGGAGCCTGAGTCGAATTAAGTTGGAATATAAATTTTTTAAATTTTGAGAGAGAAATTTTTTAAATTTTGAGAGAGCCAAGCCAAATGAATAATTTTTGAATTTTTAATATTAATATCTAATAAACTTTTCTTTAGTTAAGGAAAATTTTGATTTTTGAATTTTATTTGTATTCCAAAAGTTAATAGTGATAAGTGCACATATCTCCTGAGCAATAGATCTAGGTTTAAATCCCTTCCCTCAATATTAAAAAAAAAAAAAATCATCAGTTATTTGAATGATATTGAAATTATGTCAAAATTATGATCTTACAAGTTGAATTTTTATAGAAATTAAATTTATAAACATAGTATTTGAAGAAAAAAGTGTTCAGTGAAGTGAAAAATATGAAGGCAATGGAGTTACCGAGAGGAAAATGTGGACCAAAGACACTTCTGAATCAATTCGAATGGAAGATCTTACATTACATTAACAGAAGTGTGCATTGAGATTGGGAGTTATGGAGATTAGGGTTGAGAAAAGGAGAAAGAAGAGAAAGAAAAAGGAATATTGAAAGAAGGAGAGAGAATAAGGAAATAGTGTATTCATTCAGTAACCCTAAAATGTCTCATTACAAGAGTATATATATAATATATGCCTGCTGATGGGGCGCCCAATCAGATAAAATAAGCCACATCAACTTACATCTCAGCAATTTACTAATAACAATTCAGTACCTCTATAACAAAATAACTTTCAATTGTATTTGCAAATTATTACAATGAAACTCCCAAAATTAATACTTATTATAATAATATCCTAACATATATTTCATTCCATTTTCTCCATTATAGTAAATTTCTTCGTATTTAAATTAATGTATAATACTCCATTAAGATGCATATAACTTCTGCTGTGTATATACTCTGATCATTTGTATTATGGAGATCTGAGAATCAACTTCGCACCAGTTGACTTGATATCAAATAAAAGCCATATGAAAATCAAAACAAATGAATTGAGCAGGCCATTGCACAGAAGTTGATGTTTTATGATCAAAAGAAGAACCAATTTACTCTGTCTTTTTTCCCTTTATTAATGAACTATGAATTAATTCATTATTCATACATATATATCTAATTATTAATAACAAGTGACGCACAACCTTGCAGTGCTTCTGGTTATTCTCCAGCTCTGGCATTCATGTCCTGTATTCCTGTTCAAAAGTGGAATAAGACACAGCATTTCCTATATTATGCATTCAGTTCTGGTAAACAATTCAAGAACTTGGAGTTTTGAAAATAGGTTCATGTTTTCACTCCCAACTTGAAGCTCACTTAACTTTTCAGCACTTACAATTTCTTTCATATGCTCATTGAATTTCACTATCAAAATTTCCAAATTTGGGATTAGAACAACCCATGTCAGCTCTCGCAGATGAACGTTACCCGATACATTCACTTCCCGGAGGCTATTGAAGCATACTGGAGCTGAGACCATTGAGTTGCTGATAGTATGATGATGTGTAGAACTCTCACCAACCATAACATCCACGATCAACTCTTCTAAATCACAAGTAAAAAATATGTACAGGGTCTCTAGGTTCCTAAAATTTGCTAATGAAGAAACACCAAGAGATCTTTGAGAAAAGAACCTTGAAAGCTGTAGAGATCGAGTACAGTTGAGTAATGTCTGGGTGCTGGAAAACAACTGAAGCATAGAGACACTTTCTATTGTGAGGCTCAGTTCATTCAAATTTTCAAGACACTGGAGCTCCTCTATTAGCGTATTGCCTTCACCCAATAAGTTACTTACCGAGTTTTCATACATAAAAGCACCGGTTGGGCACATTATCAAAATTTGCAGCGACGATGACAGACAAGATATGACTCCCCTTGGAATAAATTTTAGAAACTCATTATGCCCCAAGTTCAAATATTTCAGCTTTTGCAAAAACTTCAACCCAACTGGTAACCGCCTTATCCTTGTACTACGCAGATTAAGATATTGCAATGAGGTTAATTTTGAAATTCCCTCAGTCAATATCATTATACATGTACCTGATAGATCAAGAACCATGAGCGAATTCATATACTGGAAGAAATCACTACTGATCTCCTTCAAAAACGAATTATGACCAAGGAATAAAGTCGAAAGATCCCCGCATCTAGGAACTTCTCGGATACTTTTAAAGGAGTTTGCCATCAACGACACTCTTTTTGATCCTTCCCATTCTTCGACCGCTGGAAATTTTGTTAATTGGGCACCCACTTGCACGAAAAATTTCCACTTGCACGAAAAATTTCTCCTTGTCTTTTTCATATTTACATGCTATCCACAAAGCCATGTCACGAATCACATCATGCATTTTTACATATTTTCCATTTTCTTCCAATAGGCATACTCGAACGAGTGAACCAATTATAGCGTATCCTTCATTTCGAGCACAAAAATTTTCAGAAATCCAATAATGTACCAAATCATCCTTGAGAATTTCGAAGTCCTCCGGGAATAAGGAACAGTATAAGAAGCAAGATTTAACTTTATCACCGTGTAGACTATCATAACTAAACTTCAAAATTGCAAATACTTCAACCTCCATATCTTGAAACACCTCATCTCATCTTCCATTCCGTGTAAACTTGAGGCATAACTTCTTAAGACCTCGAGAGCATGTTCCCATTCTTGGAGTGCATCTTTGCCAGCCATGGCATGGCCAATTGTGATGAGTGCCAGTGGCAATCCACCACACTCCTTAACAACATCTTTAGCTAGAGGAAGGATATTCGGAGGAATATCCCCAACTTTCTCCTGGAATAAGGTCCAAGATTCTCTTGGATTCAGAGGCTCCACTTTCATAATTTTTTGGGCTTCCATTTGCCTGCATATTTTGTAGAAACGCGTCGTGAATACTATCATTGACCCATGTTTTTTTTGTAGAGGAACCCCTATGTCTCTGAGATCAACCTTCTGCCATAAGTCATCCAAAAATAATACAAACTTCGTTCTGCTTAACCTATAAAATATATCTTCTGCTTTCTCACTGGGGATTTTTTTTGCCCACGTCTCATCAAAAATGCCAACCTTTTTCCAAATATCTTCTTGAATCTTGTCAGGTTTCAAATCTTCTTCTTGAATCTTGTCAGGTTTCAAATCTTTTGACACCACCACCCAAATCACAACATCAAAATTATGGGTTGTACTAGCAAACCTGTTGTTGATTGTACTAGCAAACCTGTTGTTGATTTGGTTTAAGAGAGTAGTTTTGCCAACACCCCCCATACCATATATGCCAACAGTGCCCAGTTGTTCATCTTGTGTGAGCCATCTCCAAATATCATCTAACATCGTTTCCGTGCCAAATGTTGGTTTATCATTCCTTTCAGCTACTGGGTCTGGAAGTACCCTCTCAACCACCTCTTTGAATTCTCCTTTGTCTCTTAGAGCAACTGCTTCTTCTAACACTTTGGCCACCTTTCGCACAAATTCGTAGCTGGAAGGGTCTTTACGACGCAATTTCTCAATTTCTTGCGGACCATTTCTTATCATCTCCTCCGCTCCAGTCACTATTGCTTCCAGCATCGAGAGCCACAGTTGAACTTGTGGCTTCCGCTTCTTCTGTGGCCCTTCCTCCGAGGTGATCCTCATCATCGCTCCCTCCTTTAAAGCCTTCAATTCTTTCATTATAGACTCCAAAGCTCGAAGATCAACTTGAAGCTGACTTATGTAATCTGGTTCTGCAGGTATCCTTCTAACCAATTCTTTGAAAACTCCTTTGGCCTTTACAACAGCTACATCATCTAATTTTTTGGCGACCCTTCCGACAAACCTGTAGTTGGAAATATCTCCATGACTCTGGACTTCAATTTTTTGAAATTTTTCTGCGTGACCTGTAGTTGGAAATATCTCCATGACTCAATTTTTGAATTTCTGGTGGACCATCTGGTATGAGCTCATCTGCCTCAGTTATGGTCGATTCTGCCATTGAAAGCCACAAGCGAACTTGTGGCAGCAACATCTTTTCTGGCCCTTCCTCCAAGGCTACACTCTGCATGACATCCTCCTTTAAAGCGTATAATTCCTCTCTTGCAGTCCTCAATGCTTCAAGATTAGCTTGAAGTTGATTTGCTGGTTCTGCCATAACCACTTCTTTAAAATCTCCTTCATTCATCAAAGCGATCACTGTTTTCAGACATTTTGCAACACTTCTCCCAAATGTGTAGCTGGATTTGCAGTTCTTGGAGCAACAGCCTGCTATACTTAACTTCTGTCTTTCTTGTATAGCTTTGCTTAGCAGCTGATTAATTTTAACAATGGCAGCATCCACCCTCGAGAGCCATCCTCCAACTCGATCCATCTGCGCCATTTCTGGTCTTTCCTGATTGACGATCAACCGCATCACATCAGTCCTCAGGTCTCTTAATTGATCTCTTGTAGTCTCCAATGCCTCAAGATTATCTTCAAGCTTGTATATATACTGCCAATGTCCAGCAATGCAATCCCAGCAGCGGCCAGCCAAAGCATCACCGCATTGAATCTGAAAGACATTGCCCATAGCCTGCTTGTGAAAAATTGGACAGGAAAGAAATCTATCCAAAGAAAGATGAAGGGATTAATGGAGGAACAAGAACTTAGGCTGAAGGCATAGTAGCTATGGAGAAGATGAAATGAAGAGAGAATACTTGGGTTTCTTTACTTCTTATAAAACTGCAGTACGTACACAAATATATAGACGAGACCACGGCTACTTGGGGACCTTAGAAACAAGATTTAAAATCAAGCAAAACATGATCGTATCTCGCTCTTCGGAGATTTTAATGGTTCCAACGGAGGCCATAGATAAAGCACGCACGAAGAAAAATTTTGATAAGAAAGTATGCGATTAGCATACATATTTATAGGCAAAGCGAACCAACGAGATGAACCCATTTGGCGATCTTATCCTACAACGTAATAATCCTAGACATAATACTGTGGGATGCCACATTTTTCAAAGGAAACAACGTAAAGCTAGAAAAGACATAAAGCATAAAGTTGATAATTATTACAACATGTAGAAAAAGCCAAAAGATGCCAAGGACAATGATGGACACTTTTGTTGAATTTTTTTGCCAACTTTTGTTGAATTTCTTCTCAAGTGTGTGTGTGTGTTAAAGTGCTCTTTCTCTTTTGCGTTGGGTGTTAAGGTGGAGTACAAGTTAACGACAAAATAGAATTATTTCCTTTTACAATAAAATAAAAGCACTTTCATCCTAATTTTCAAAAAAATAAGAGAGGAAAAAAAAAAAATATTAGACACGATCATTGAGAGAGAGAGAGAGAGAGAGAGAGAGAGAGAGAGAGAGTTAAAATGGAGCCAGAGTCGAATTAAATTGGAATATAAATTTTTTAAATTTTGAGAGAGCCAAATTAAATTGGAATATAAATTTTTTAAATTTTGAGAGAGCCAAGCCAAATGAATAATTTTTAAATTTTTAATATTAATATATAATAAACTTTTCTTTAGTTAAGGAAAATTTTGATTTTTGAATTTTATTTTTATTCCAACAAAGTTAACAGTGATAAGTGTCCATACTTCGTGAACAATAGATACAGATTTAAATCTTCTATTTTGATAAAAAAAAAAAGTAAATGTTTAAATATTAACTATCATCAATTATTTTAATGATATTGAAATTATGTCAAAAATATGATCTTACAAGTTGAATTTTTATAGAAATTAAATATATAAACATAGTACTTGAAGAAAAAAGTGTTTAGGGAAATAGTGTATTCATTCAGTAACCCTAAAATGTCTCATTACAAGAGTATATATATAATATATGCCTGCTGATGGGGGGCCCAATCAGATAAAATAAGCCATATCAACTTACATCTCAGCAATTTACTAATAACAATTCGGTACCTCTGTAACAAAATAACTTTCAATTGTATTCGCAAATTATTACAATGAAACTCCCAAAATTAATACTTATTATAATAATATCCTAACATATATTTCATTCCATTTTCTCCATTATAGTAAATTTCTTCGTATTTAAATTAATGTATAATACTCCATTAAGATGCATATAACTTCTGCTGTGTATATACTCTGAATTGAGCAGGCATGAACAAAGTAGGTTACATGATCAAAGAAACAAAATTACCGCTGATTTCTTTATAACTGAACACATGATATTTAATTCATATCAACATATATGAGTCTATTTATTAAACAGTGACGCACAACTTAGCAGTCTTCTGGTATAGTTCCCAGCTCGGGCATGTCTACCGTAATTCGTAACGTGACAAAGACACACATTCCCATAAGCATCAGTCTGCTGGTAAAATACACAATTCCAAAACTTGAGTTTTGAAAATAGTTCTATTTCACTCCCAACTGAAGCTCAACTACTTTTTCAGCACTTACAATCTCATATGCTCATGAATTTCACTACAAAATTCAAATTTGGGATAGAACAACCCATGTCACTTCGCAGATGGATCGTTACCCGAACATCACTTCCGAGGCTATTGAAGCATACGTGGAGGCTGAGACCATTGAGTTCTTGATATAATGAGCTGAGTAACTCGTCACCATCCCAACCATAAACATCACGACCAACTCTTCTAAAGCACTAAAAAATTTCAGGATCATCTAGGTCCTAAAATTCTAATCGAAGAAACACAAGAGATCGTACAGTTGTAGTAATGCCCTGGGTGGGAACAACTGAAGCTGAGGACACTTCTGATTGTGAGGTCTCATTTCAATTCACAATTTTCACAGACACGAGCTCCTGCTATTGCAATGGCCTCACCCAATACAGTTATCTTAACCTTTAGAACAACATCAACCGGTGGCACTTATAAAATTGCCAGATGACGATGGACAACTAGAATGAGTCCCTGGAAATTTTTAGAACTATACGCCCAAGTTCAAATATTTCGCTTTTGCAATAACTTCACCCCACTGTAAGCATAATTGTACTACGGCAGATTAAGAATATTGCAATGAGGTAAATTTTGAAATTCCTCGGCAATTTCTTTATACGTGTCCTGATCAAGATAGAACGGTAGCGAATACATAGGACGAATCCCACTGATCTCGCAAAAACATATTGCCAAGCAAATAAAGCGAAAGATACCCGCATCTAGGAACTTCTAGAACTTAAAGGATTGCATAACGACATTCCTTTTTGATCCTCCCATTCTTTAGACAGCTGGAAATTTGTTAATTGGGCACCCACTTGCACAAAAATTCTACTTACTTTCAATTTACGATCTAATCCACGAAAGTCATGTCACGGCACACATCCATTGATTTAACATATTTTTCCATTTTCTCCACAGGCATATCCGAACAAGTGAACAATAAGTCTATCCCCATTTCGAGCACAAAATAATGTACCAAATCATCCTTGAGAATTTCGAAGTCCTCCGGGAATAAGGAACAGTATAAGAAGCAAGATTTGACTTTTTCACTGTGTAGGCTATCATAACTAAACTTCAAAATTGCAAATACTTCAACCTCCATATCTTGAAATACCTCATCTTCCATTCCTTGTAAACTCGAGGCATAACTTCTTAAGACCTCGAGAGCATGTTCCCATTCTTGGACTGCATCTTTGCCAGCCATGGCATGGCCAATTGTGATGAGTGCCAGTGGCAATCCACCACACTTCTTAACAACATCTGTAGCTAGAGGAAGGATATTCGGAGGAATATCCCCTACTTTCTCCTGGAATAAGGTCCAAGATTCTCTTTGATTCAGAGGCTCCACTTTCATAATTTTTTCGGGTTCCATTTGCCTGCATATTTTGTAGGAACGCGTCGTGAATACTATCAAGAGGAACCCCTATGTCTCTGAGATCAACCTTCTGCCATAAGTCATCCAAAAATAATACAAACTTCTTTCTGCTCAACCTATAAAATATATCTTCTGCTTTCTCACTGGGGATTTTTTTTGCCCACGTCTCATCAAAAAAGCCAACCTTTTTCCAAATATCTTCTTGAATCTTGTCAGGTTTCAAATCCTTGGACACCACCACCCAAATCACAACATCAAAATTATGGGTTGTACTAGCAAACTTGTTGTTGATTTGGTTTAAGAGAGTAGTTTTGCCAACACCCCCCATACCATATATGCCAACAGTGCCCAGTTGTTCATCTTGTGTGCACCATCTCCAAATATCATCTAGCATCGCTTCCATGCCAAATGTTGTCATTCCTTTCAGCTACTGGGTCTGGAAGTACCCTCTCAACCATCTCTTTGAATTCTCCTTTGGCTCTTAGAGCAACTTCTTCTTCTAACACTTTGGCCACCTTTCGCACAAATTCGTAGCTGGAAAAGTCTTTACGACGCAATTTCTCAATTTCTTGTGGACCATTTCTTACCATCTCCTCCGCTACAGTCACTGTTGGTTCCAGCATCGAGAGCCAAAGTTGAACGTGTGGCTTCTGCTTCTTTTGTGGCCCTTCCTCCAAGGTGATCCTCATCATCACTCCCTCCTTTAAAGCCTTTAATTCTTTCATTATAGACTCCAAAGCTCGAAGATCAACTTGAAGCTGACTTATGTAATCTGGTTCTGCAGGTATTCTTCTAACCAATTCTTTGAAAACTCCTTTGGCCTTTACAAAGGCTACATCTTCTAATTTTTTGGCGACCCTTCCGACAAACCTGTAGTTGGAAATATCTCCATGACTCAATTTTTGAATTTCTGGTGGACCATCTACTGCTCAGTTAATGCGATTCTGCCATTGAAAGCCCCAAGCCAACTGTTGCAAGCAGCAATTGTCCGCCCTTCCTTCCAGACGTACACTGCCAGTGACTATCTCCTTTGATTGCGTATAATTCTTGTCTGAAGGTCGTCAATATTTCAAGATAGTCTGAAGTTGATTTGCTGGTTCGGCGCAAACCACTCTTTGAAATTTCCTTCCATGATGAACAGTAGTCGTCTAGATTCTTGCACCCTGTTCCAAATGTGCTGGATTTGCAGTTCTTGAGCAACAGCCTTCTATACTAACTTCTGCCTTTCTTGTAACTTTCTAGCAAGCGATTTAAATAAACTATGGCAGCATCCACCTCGAGAGCCATCCCCAACTCAGATCCCCTGCGCCATTCTCCTCTTCCTGATGACGTTCAAACCCATCACATCGAGTCCTGTAGGTCTCTTAATTGATCTTGTATTCTCCAAGCTCAAATTATTCAAGCTTGTATATATATCCGCTCATGTCCCAGCATGCAATCCCCTGCAGGCGTCAGCCAAAGCATCACGCATTGAACTCTTAAAGACATAGCCCCATAGGCCCTGCGTTGTGAAAAATTGGCACGGAAAGAATCTCTAACCTCAAAGAAAGATAATGATAAATGAAGGAACAATGCATTAGGCGAAGTAGTACAAAAATGATCCAATATAATTGTCTTTCTTGTGGAATTTAGGCTCTGAAGCTAATATAATTGTTAACCATTGCATCAACTGCAGTTCTCAAAGTTGACTTCTTGTGGGTACGACCATCGTCATGAGGGGGACGTTTGCTGCTTGTTTCGTTCATATGATTTAATTGTAATGAGATAAGCAATAGTTGTTTTTAATTAAGATTATGAATAGTTGTTCAGTTAATGAAGTATCATGGAAGTTGGTGGCTACTTAATCCATAATGGAGGCTTTGCAATTAAAAAACTTTTAAGAGCTAGATGCTCTCTCTGTTATTTTCATGTTGAATTACGCAATCGAGTAGCTTTAGATATACAAGTCTTTTTTTCGTTATTATTTTTAGATATGTAAATCCTTCTACTAGTGTTTACATAATATCATTAGAACCTAATTGTAGATTTTAAATTTAAGGATTAAAAGATTGAAGTTGTGTGAAGACGTCGTGTTTATATAATTAGTAATATAGTATTTGGGATTTTAGAACTTGAGCGAGCGAAATGATTTTTTTTTTTTTTTTTGAATTAATATATATGTGATAAAATTTTCTTTATTTAAGGAAAAATGTATATAATATGAAGGGAGAGAGACCGATTGAAGTTGTAATTTCCTAATAAAATAAAATAAGAAGACTTTTGTTCTAATTAAAAAAAACAGAAAAATAAATATTATCGATTAGAATACAAGTTGTCTGGAGACTGGACATAAAGTACAAAACACAATACGACATCAACATGAAGTAAGACAATTGAAAAAAAAAAAAAAAAGGACGGCATCTTTGTAATAAAAATGCTAAATTTATATCAGTTCATTTGCTCCTCATTGTTTGTGAAACAAGGCCAGTATATATGTTGCTATCCAGTTAGTAAATGGTAAGAATTTGGACAACCAAAAGGGACGCGTTGCTCCATGCGCCCCACAAATATGACTCGCATCAGCTACTGGCATTCCACAACCTCCATGGGCTTCATGCATCAAGAGTTCTGAATATCCAGCCGGACAGTTAAATGTGAGGATTTGGAACTAAGTTTTTAGCCATTTCACGAAAAATGATAAAAACCTCTTCATGCTTCGACAGTAAATTAACCAGTATTCCTTTAGAAATCAATTTTCCGACGTCTTCTACATCTGCAATCAGAGAATTAACCAAGCATACGAAAGATATTACCTCAAGTTCATGTTTTAAACCTGGACACATTTCATAGGCTAGTAAGTTTGATAATTTAACCACTGTTGACTCGTCAATGATTAAGGGTCGAAGCTTCAACAACTTAAATATTCCTCTTCCTCTAAAAGATATGTCTGTTAATGAAGTTGACTGATCACTAGGCTTCAAACGGATACCACTTTGAATAAGCTTATTGACAGTCTAAGATGGGGATGATGAGGCAAGTACACTGACGTCCCGAGAGTGATTGCTCATCTTTTTATAATTTTTTTTGGGACGCTGTAACATTTCTTTCGACCAATTCCATTTCGGAAATCTTACCTTCATCCATAGAAGCTCAAGAAGATGATCAGGCTTCCATTCTCCTTCTACTACTTCAGTTTCTATTGGCTTTCCTGGTACCATATTCTGACTTCTTATGAACTCGTCCATCAGAAGGGACAGACCTGGGTGGGTGTATTCAAAAAAATGTTAACAGGATACTAGAAAATATCGCTGAAATGGTATATATATTATATCATCAGGGCAGATAACATATATAACATACCTTTGCGTTGAGCCCTTCCCTTAGTATTTCAGTAGCAAGGAGTTGGTTCTCCAGAAGGAAAATGTTCTCCAGAAGGAAAAGATCATTGTGAGACAAGATTGCAGTGATGTTCAGAGTCCTTAATCTATACAAGTCATCACTTGTGCAGCAAATTACATAGAATAGCAATGCACATCCATCCACAAAAAATATCCGGCTAAGCTGCTGATCATCGTATTTCTCCATCACATCCTTATCATAACAATCCCTGAAATTTCGTATCTGCTTCAAGATTTTGTCATATTTGGAACTTGCATCGAGTTCATAATCACTAATAAACTGAGCCGCTAGCTTGTGCTTCATCTCCTCTCCCCGTCGAAGATTATATCGACCATGGTGGATAGGACCAAAGGAGTACACTTTTGGTTCAAGGTGTTGGTGGAAATACTGGATGTCATGCAACACAGATGGAGCCTTTTGAATCCGTGGTGTAGAGCTTGATGATTGATCTGACTTAATTCCCTTAACGAGGTAAATTGCTTCAAGACTTGGAAATTATTATCTGGTAAATTGCAGCCACCGTATTATCCATAGATAATATATCTAGTTTCTGCAGCCAATCTGTTTCTATTCACAGGTATAGCAACCAATATATGGTAAGTCTCCGAATTGGCATTGGAAGTTCACATCATTCTATAAAAGGACTGCTCTTCTGAGTCTTCTTCATGGTCTAGATTTTCGTTTAATTAATTCCTCACCCACTTAGTAAGCAAAGAAGCAGGTTCAAAATGCTTTGATCTCTTTAAAAGCCAAAGCAATCCTTAGGCCCCGGTGTATGCAAAGTTACACTGGATCTGAAAATGGGCTTGGATTCACCAGGCCCATAAATATGAGCCCAGACCATAAAATGTCCATGCCTAACTAAAAGCACTGAGCCACTGATAATCATACTTGTACTTGGAACGATTCTTTTCATGACCCCTTAAACTACAAGGTTCAATCCTGCACTGCCACAAATATTATCAAATTTATGCATTAGACCTTTTAATTTGGGATCTCTTAACATTTTAGTACGTTTTTATCATCCTGCAAATAATGATGTGCGTTAAAATGCATACCTTCAGGCATTGATCGAATGTGCCCACAATTAAACACGGGAAACATTTATATCTAATTGATTTAAGTTAAGTCTCTCAAGTCACAAAACAAACTAGATATTCAATTGATTAATTTGATACCTGGGAAAACACAGAATAATGTAACAGATAGCAGCACCCAGCAACTGTCCACCAATTACAAATGAACTGGTAATATACTTAAAAAAGTAAAGAACTAACTTGGTTGCAAAAACAAAGATCGAGTACTGTGAATAATTACACACACTATTACCAATGTTTTTCCGTTGTACAAATAATGATCACTGAATTCATGTTCAGTTGAAACTCTAGCTTAAGCAACAAACACAGTACAATATTTAATCAAAACCTGCATAAACCAGTAACTTTTAGTATTACATGATACTTCCATTTTTACAGAAATTGAACTATGTAATTGGCCATTTCTCGAAACTTATAGATCCATTTAGCATAGACAGAATGAAAATGAGAAGCTTATCTCCTGGTGATAGCTCTGATGCGCAGAAGATACCCAACATCAGAAGCTGCAAATCTTGCATTTTGATATCAATATTGTTGATTCCATAAAACACTGTAATAATAACGATAAAGCATAAACATAATCTAAACTTCCAGGGAAAAGCTTTACTAATCAACTTCAACAAAATTCTTTTAACTTTACTTCTCCAGAGTTCAAATGGTGGTGTGCCGGGCATGTTTCTTGCACCAATATACTTAATTTATCACAGCGGGAAGCAGGCATCCTTCTTTCTCCCATCATTGTCCACCGAAGAATATACTAGTACACCATGGCAGATTGCAAATGATGTTGCAACCACACAAGTACCATCAGAGGATACACAAAATCAGCATCAACCAATGCTACATATATACTATATTATGAAATGTTGATTTTTTATTAATCATTAATAATTATAGAAGTCTTGAGACTTGAGAATTTTATATAGGAAATCCAATTTATAGATAGTTGTCTTACTAAGTTGTATAAAAAGTCACGTGTAAATTCACGGCGTCATCACTGGATGGACATTCTAGAAACAATTATAAGAAGCTCTTTGAAAGTGGCTCTATATCCTGGTTGTGAAGGATCACATATAACTCAAGCTAAACTCTGTCCATCTTGCCAAAGTGTTAAGCGTCTAAGAAACTGAGAGTGCACTACAAATGGAATGTTCATCATATAACAAGCAAAAAGCATAAAACGACAGATTATCCAAACAATTGAAGAGTTCAGATAGCAAACCAGAAAAAGAGCATCCCTTACGTTGGAATTAAATGCAGCAGCATGCTTCTATATCATGATTTTGATTACCATTGTTTTAACCCGCCAGGATTAAGGCCATTTTATTTTCATTAACATGGTACGATAATGTTGTGTTAACACCATTAAATTTTGACAGATAACGGTATTAAAATAAAACAGATAATTAAAAGATAATACCAAAGGCCAGGGCAGCCAGCCACAAGTTTCTGTAGGAAATCAAGTGTGGATGTTGCCCAACAATCTATGCCCAGTATAAGCTTTACTCTATGAATCATCATCTTGAGGCCTCTGCAAACAAGTAAGCAAGCCTCCCACATTGGCCATGATATGCACTGGTGAAGCATCAGCATATTCATCACCATAATATCATCACCAATGCTTGCGAGAGCCCATACGTACTAGAATAGAAAACGCGTTTGATGGAAAAATGCCCGATAGAAATGATCAGGCGAAAAAGAAAAAAATTGTGGCAAAATCTTGAATAAAGCCCCCTTTGAATATCCAAAAGCACCTCATCAAGAGCATGATCATTGTTCACCTCATAAGTACGAAATCAATTTTGCTGAATCTCAAAAGGACATAGCCAGTCAATCACTTGGATCTCAATAAACAAGTTCAGTAAACTGAAAAATCGAGAAAGCAAGATAAATTCCATTAGAACATAACTTCAAAACTTACGATACAGGTAAACGGATAAAGGTAAATTCTAATGCCTACAGCTCCAGCGCAAGATACCAAATAAATAAAATAAAAGAAAGCATTAATGAAAATAATGAATTAAGTATGGCAACTTCTTAAATCAAAATATACACAAATGAGATCTACATTGTACAATTTCTTCCAGGCTATTTGAATCCTGTACATCATCTTGATATCAATGGGGAAGAGATATTGAAGAGTGATAGAAAAAGAAGAAGAAAAAGAAAGAGAAAAAAAAAAGCCTAATCTCTAAAGCTGAAAAGAAGTGTACTATTAGCAGGTATCAAATTTCTTAGCACCATCAAATGTTCATCATCTGAAATATGAAGCATATGACGTAGATTTGTCAATCTTGCTTCATCTTCCCATGTCAAAGGCCCTGAAGCATATAAAATATAAAGTCCTTCACGCACAAAAATATTTAGTAATTCTGTACTAATATTCTACCCCCGATTGCTCATCTGGTGAAACTGAACATCCTTCTTTCTCATAACCCTCTCCAGAAGATGATTCAGCATCACTATAGTAATCCTCTAAATTGTTACTGTGCTGTCTAGAAAACCTAAAGGCTGAGTTGTGTCCACCATTGCTCATAGAACTAGAACTAGCAACAGAGGATGCACAATCATCAGTATGTAAATATAATGAGGACTCTACAAGAGAACTATCAGTTCCCCTAATTTCATCCATTCTAGAAAATTGAGCCGTAGGAATATTATGAGAAGAATGCACATGATTTTCACCCAATAATTCATTTGGATAAACAACTGCATCTACCTTTTCATAAGTTGGAGATTCGTGTAATGAAAAAATTTGTTGATGGCTACCATCTTTTATAATCAGTCTTCTTTTGAGCAGCTACTGAATTAGCATCTAGATCATACAGGCCAAATGGTGATCCTCTCTTCAATGTTCTATTTGAAACCACACAAGACTTTGGAATGTCAGTCATTTTCTCCACCAGACTGGAATCATCTCCAACATATTGCTTTATCCACGCATATGATTGTCTTTTATCCATAGGCATGGCGCCATGCTCCGGACCCTGTTTCAAAATGCCATCAACGATAATTAGAAGATGTAAATTATAACTAGTTACAATGACATGAAATGATTATATGATAATTTGAATCACAAGGCAAAAAGAATACATTCGAACTAAGGTGATAAAATTCCCATATTGAGAATCTCAAGAAAAATGTATCACAACCTATCAATGAGCTGCGAGCATTTAATCTCTGCCAACAATAAACAGTGACCAACAAGCAAGCCACAGTTTAGAACAAAACCACTAATCAGTAAAGAGGTCCAACAAATCAAAGTGCTGAATACTTGCTAGATAGTGACAGTTAGGTTGTAAAGCAAGAGGGGAGGAAAAAAAAAAAAAAAAGAAGATAGTGCGATTATCCAAGTGCCATATCCAGAAGATCTATGAGGAATCACAACAGTCCCAGCCATCAGTGCTTTTGCTTGAGGCAGCTGTGTTGCCCATGCATTTTCAGGGACAGCACTTTCACCGATATATGCAAACAAGTGACAGAAGCTTTCAACTATTCCCAACAACAGCAAATGTGTACAGACAAGTTAGAATTGAAAATATTACCTTTCCAATCACAAACCATTTGCCATCTTGCCAGCACTGTCGAACCCTCAGATGAGACTTATGGACCCGCAAACCTTTGGATGATCCAAGTATTCTAACACAAAAGTAGTTCATACCCATAACCTTCACAATTTGTACAGACAAGTTAGAATTGAAAATATTACCTTTCCAATCACAAACCATTTGCCATCTTGCCAGCACTGTCGAACCCTCAGATGAGACTTATGGACCCGCAAACCTTTGGATGATCCAAGTATTCTAACACAAAAGTAGTTCATACCCATAACCTTCACAATTCTTGCTGTTTTCCAGGCGAGATTGTTAAAAGCCTCAACAAGATTACCAGGAACCCAAGTATCCACCCCTTGCATAGGAGGTGGGCAAGGCCTAATTGCCTTTCTAGGCACCCTTTCCACAATTGCTTCATTACTCACCAGAAACGAACCATACTTGACGCTATACGTGTGTCCATTCCCAGATATTATTTCAGCACATAGCCAAGCACCAGTAGAGACCTCTTTTTTGCCAAATACCTCTACCTTACTTCCTTTCTTGAATCTCACGGCGACTATGATTAAACAAAGACAGAAAACCAACCTGCCATGACATAACAATTTAAAGATCAGCTCTTTGTTGCAAAAGAATTAGAAATCTATCAATACTGCAGCAGCTGAAAAATAAAGGCAGACAAATGTAAAGAAATTATGCAATAATAGAAAAACACGTATTATTAAGTATAGGATAAAAAAAAGTATTAGCAATATAAACCAATAGATAGAGGAAGATAGGGAAAAATACGTCAGCAGAAAACAAAACTAAAACCTAAAAATTAATTCAACATTAACCCTAATTCATATAAACACTAGAAACAATTTTAATATATAGACAAATTAATCATACACTGTACAAAGCATAAACGCTAAAATAACAAAACCATATCATCGCAAAATATTATGCAATTCAACACAAACCCTAGAAATAACTAGCAGAAATTTAAAATGTAAAAGAGCAATTAACAATTCATGTTTTGAGAATTAAACGAGACGATTGAATTGAATACGCATGGAGAAAGAGAGATCTTGCTGACCTTCGTGCTTCGAATTAGATTTCTACACAATCAGAGAAATTTATTTGAGTGAATGAAGCGATTGTTAAGTTTCTGAAAGGTATTTGAGTTAGGGTTTAGGATTATCTGACGGTTATCGTGTCATCTCTTGGTAATTATGGAAGTAGCTTCATGTTGTTGCTCTTACAAATTTTCTGACGGACATCATGGATGAATATGGGGTAATAGCTTCATGTCAGTTGTTAGTTCCTTGAGGCTTTGATTGGTAGCACACAAACTTGCATGTTTATCAAATTTTATTGAAATTTGTATTGCTGGTTGTTTATTTGGTACTTTTAATAATGCCGCCACGACTTTGCATTAAGTAGAGACAAGCCCTTTCTTCGTGAAAATTCAGTGTAGTGCTATCTTTTTGCTGTTGGCTCATAAGCTATTATTAAATGAATAAGCTAAAAAAGTTGTCATTCAAGCAAAAGTGATAGATTTCTAGTATTGATGATTTGCTATGTGTTTCGATCTGATTACTGAGGCTATGTGATGTCAGTTGCCGGGATTTTTGCAGTTCCAGTATTGTTTCTACCCTGATACGCATGCATTACAAAAGAAATAGGGTCAGAGTTATTTCTTTCTCTTTTTCCATTGGAAAAGTCCTAAATTATGCGAGCATCTTTAAGACCTACTATTTTATGGGATATAGTCTGCTTAATGGCCCATAATTTATGAATTTATAGTGCAAGTACATGTTATAAGGCACAAAATAGTTATTTGGTTATTTTCCTGGCTTCTTGAGAGGCCTCTGTTGTAATCCTGATGTTAGCATGGCATGGTTATGTTGTTTCCAATATTTGTTTCCATGATTCCCTATTCACCTAATTAGTATCTTATGAACAGCAAAAAAGGAAGAGCTCTTGTGGAATTGGTCCAATTGCTTTTATAGCTTCTGTGCAGACTCTGAAGAGTATTCCCCAGTCATTGAGCACTTCAGGTTTGTCTCTCTTATTTCATTTTTTTGGCTTACAGGAGTTCTTATCTAAGAAATCAGTTGCTAATTTTTCCTTTTCTCCTTTGTTGGTAATTTTTTTTCTTTGGCATTCTGTTTACTGCTTTTAGGACGGTTTGACTTTCATGTGCAACTTCCTGCTCCTGCTGCCTCAGAACGTCTTCTGTTGGCATCGTTACTTGCTTTAGGGACGTGTTGACTTCATGAGTGCAACTTCCTGCCCTGTGGCTCGATAACTTCTGGCTATACTGGTGCAATGAAATTCAGAGACGGCTTCGCTTCAATGTTCCACGAGTGTTTTCAATATGTTAGCTCAAGAATTGATTGGTTATGATGCATAGTGATTGGTACAATCTTCATTCTGATTACTGTTATATTTGTTTCTCTCCAGCGGTATATAGAACTATTCATGTCTAGGATTAAGGTACAATTATAGTCTGAGTTAAGGATATAGTTGTTGCTTGCTGTGGTGCATTGATAGATTGCATAATAATAGTGGATTGTTAATCATTGATAGATTGCACTATAAATAGTGATGTATAAAGTTGTAAACTGTGATTCTTTGGAATTAATCAATAATAACAGAATTCTACTATATTTTCCCGGTTCCTTTCTTTCTCTCCTCTATTTCGTATTTTCTCAATCTTTCTTTCACTTTCTTATCAAACAAACACAACAGGTTGGGATTAATGGCTAATAATCCTAACAATATGTCTACTTAACCAAAGAATTGATTCCTCAAATTCTGTCAATGAAAGTGCTGGAAATCAGTAAATTTGTGCATCTGAGGTTTTGAAGAATCATCACTCTTTTATGCTGTCCTAAATTAGGCTGATGGATCTGAATGTGGGATTTCCCTTTGACAAAGTTAATAGATGTGATAACTTTATGTAATAGATTTGGCATGTGATAACTTTATGTAATAGATTTGGCCTATTGGAGTCTAACAACTTGCAGAGTCATAAAACTCATCTATTTGTTTTATGCCCACTTCTTCCTGTTACTTTTATTAATAAGAATTAAGAATATGCTACTCAATTTATTAGCCTATTTTATTCAATTTGTTTCATTCTCATAAATCATAATTAACATACAAGCTTATTTATTCAAGCTTTCAACATGATCATAACTTGAGACAGTGTTCTCAATCTTTTATTGAAGTCCTTTGAATTGTATGTTAACTACATGTATCTAGTTTATAATTGAAGTTAAGTTTCATGGATGTTTTATGCCTAAAGTCTTTATGGCCTAATAGAGTGCGAGTGCTGTAAAGCTTAGGATAGAGTGCAGATTCTTGTAAGTGAAAGATGTTGCAATTCAAAACTTTGTTCTTGCTGGACTTTCTATTCTAAACTTTATAGTATTCTTATTTGTCAGGAAATTTGGCTAAGATTTGCAATTCAAACTTGTTTTGCTGACTTACATATTCTAACTTTTAATATGATTTCTTTTTGGTCAGGAAATATTGGTTGATAGAACTGTTCATGCTGCATTGGCCGTTTTTTGCCTTCTCAATATACTTTTGAAGAACATGAGGTGCCCACTTTGGTCAGGGATGATTTTTCTCAGGCAATGCATGAGTTTCTTCCTGTTGCCATGCGTGACATTACTAAATCTTCTCCTGAAAGTGGTCGCTCTGGATGGGAAGATATTGGTGGTCTTAAGGACATCAGAAATGCTAGTAAAGATGTATGCTTAATGAGTTTACTTCTTACCTTAACAGCTAATTTGAAAATATTTCATTATTTAGGCCTCTTTTGTTTCATTGAAAAAACTTGCATATAGAGGAAAATACTTTTTGAGAGAATGATTTGTTTTGGTTGCAATATTGGAAATTTTTCAGCATTTAAAATACATGGGAAAGTATAAAGTGTTTTAGAAGATAAAAGACTGACAATGTTTAGACCTAAAAGGATTTATAGTTGCTTGTGAAAAGAAAAAAGGTGACTATAAAAATGGTAATTGTGGCCACATTGATGACTGGCAGTGGTGTTGATGGCAATGTTTTCAGAGACGGCTATATCATCACTGTGTTGCATGGATAATAGACTTCAGAACATTAGTAAAACCATAGTCTCTCTCTCTCTCTCTCTCTCTCTCTCTCTCTCTTTAACTGGTGCTTAGACAGATTTTTTGTCAGCTAATAAGTTGATATTTTAACCCTTTCTTTTTATTCCCGTGCTTGTTCTATGTTGTATTGGAAGTTTTCATTTTTGTTTGTTTGTTCTTTGCTTGATTAAAATGGCAGATGATTGAATTGCCTTCAAAGTTCCCAAATATTTTTGCCCAAGCTCCTTTAAGACTGCGGTCAAATGTTCTCTTATATGGTCCTCCTGGTTGTAGAAAGACTCACATTGTTGGTGCTGCTGCTGTGGGCTGCTCGCTGCCTTGTTCCCTCGATGCATATGCATGAAAGGGCCTGGCTGTCTGAACTAAAGTATTGGTGCGTCTAGCAAGCTGTGAGTAATAGCAATGGTAGTTGCTTTCATATTTCATTTCTTGAGATCTCAATGACATGGGTATTGACATAGCCTATTCATCTAAGCGCTTGTAAGCCTTTTTTTTTTTTTTTTTTTTTTAAGCCTTTTTTTTTTTTTTTTATCTTGATCTTGATTGATCTATGCTCTTTTTTAATGCATAATACATATGCTGTGACTTTCTCACTTGATTCTGAATTTATCAATTTATATCTAGAGACATTTTTGAAAAAGAAGGCACAAGTTAGAATAGTTGTTAAAAGGGACGCAACTTGGCTTGGATCAGGGTGGTTGTGGGATTATAGAAGCAACTTGATGTTTGTTGGTTTAAAAGTTTGGAACAGTGATAAAAATATCTATCTTTGGATCTGTGTCAATCCAAATAAAAACTGATTATATGGTACTCTTAACATAAGAAAAGTTTTCAATTAAATTAGTTTGTTGAGGTGCTCAGTATGTGCTATGCACAAATCATAAGAAGGATGATGTGCTAGTAAATCTAAATCTCCATACAGAAACCCTCTCTATGTCCTAATTGTGATCCAAGGTCTTCGTGGAGAGTTCCTATTTGCAATCATTATGCTTCTTTTAGGGTATCTAAATTCTAAGAGTTCAATAAACCAGGTCCTTAATTTTTTAATATCAAGATGTCTTTTTACCAGTTTATATTTTTCTTCTGCGTTTTCAATGTGTCTATCATTTGTTTTTGGTTGAAATAGAATTCTTTGGGATTCAACATCAAAAGATGAAGACCAATAGATATTCCCATGGAACTTCTATGCATAAATAATTTTATTTTACTTTTGATGCATGAATAATATTATTTTATCTTTGTTGAAAGTAAACAAGAAATATTTGAAGTAAACAAGAAATAAGAGGGGAGAGGGAGTCTGTAACAAACTTTTTAGTATCAATATGATCATCTTTGACCTGTGTTCTTGCAAACTGATTTGTAAGGCTCCTTATTTGGTGACAATGAGAGCACAGTATTGTAAGTCTAGTGGTTTTTTTCGAGAAAAATGGCTTTGACACTGTTGTTCTGCAACTGATTTGTAGCTCCATTGGTGACAATTGAGAGCACAGTATTGTAAGCTAGTGGTTGTTTTCGAGAAAATGGAAATATGTTCAGTGATTCTTTGGCATAAAATTTAATGCAAAAATGGCTGTTAAGGATGCTCTTGCTTTGGTTGCAGGTTCGTGATATTTTCTCGAAAGCCACTGCTGCAGCACCATGCCTTCTCTTTTTTGATGAATTTGATTCCATTGCCCCAAAAAGAGGGCATGACAATACTGGTGTTACTGATCGTGTTGTTAATCAAGTCAGTTTCATATTTTCTTTCATTTTTCTTTTTTTTCATTTTTTTTTCTTTTTTGTGTTCGTTTTCTGAATTAAGTTTCTCATTGTAACATTCCTCTCCTCTCTCAGTTTCTCACGGAATTAGATGGTGTTTTCGTATTCGCTGCAACAAGGTTAGTTTCTTTCTGGAGTTAAAGTTATGTTATTTTAGGTTATTCTCATGGCACTAATTATTGGATAGTCAATACTAATATGTGTGGAAAGATACTTTTGCATTATGCCTCTGTAGCCTCTTCAATTACTTAAATCAGATACTCGATAAATAGTTAACAGTATTTTAGCGCATGAGTACCACAGCATGATGCATAAAATTTTGTATTGCTTGTTGAGTTAAATATTTGTTGTACATCCTTAGTAACTTATCAAATGATGTTCTGCACATAAGCTTTAGTTTAAATAGGATGGTAGCACAGATTCTAGTCTCATACCATATCTCAATAAAAACCAATTCTCCATTATTTTCCATGAATATATGAGTTGCAAAATGGGCACTAACAGTAAGTACTAAATGATATGTAGTGGAAAAGGTACATTGTAGGGATTTTCTTCTTCAATTATGTTGAATGTTTACAGCTATAGTTTCTGATTTACCCTTTATGTAAATCTCTCTCTCTCTCTCTCCTTTTATGTAAATCTTCTCTCTCTCTCTCTCTTTCACTCATTTCTCTCTCTCCACTCATTTGCATGCTCACTCATTCTCACATTTGTCGAGCAGTAGACCAGATCTACTTGATGCTGCATTGCTCAGACCTGGTAGGTTAGATCGTCTTCTTTTCTGCGATTTTCCATCTCTGCAGGAGAGGTTAGACATCCTTAAGGTTCTTTCCCGAAAGGTGAGTGGTTCTGCCCAGAATTAATTTTTGGTGGAATCCATGTAAAGTATTGCTGTTTTTTTTTGCGTTTCTTATGTCTGCTTTCTGCAAATTAATGCAGCTACCGATTGCTTTCTGCAAATTAATGCAGCTACCGATAGACAATGATGTTGACTTAGATGCCATCGCACGTATGACAGAAGGATTTAGTGGAGCTGACCTACAAGCTCTTCTATCAGATGCACAACTTGCGGCAGTTCATGAACATCTGAGTGCAGACAGCAGCAAACATGGGAAAATGCCAGTCATAACTGATGCCTTGTTGAAGTCCATTGCTTCCAAAGCAAGACTATCCATTTCTGAATCTGAGAAGCGGAGACTATATGGTATTTATAACCAGTTCTTGGATTCAAAGAAATCTGCTGCCGCCCAGGTCCCTCTCTCTCATCGCATTTTCATGTGCTCATATTTTTCTCTCTTAAGATCGAGGTGTAGTGCTAACAAAGTATTAATTTGTTTTGCAGTCAAAGGATGCAAAGGGCAAAAGGGCTACTCTAGCATGATGAATAGCCAGATACAGCTAGCTAGTCGCGTTCAATGAGTTAGTTGGTGTGGCACTACTTTTCAGTATTGACAAACAGTTGGTATGGGAAAAAAAAAGCCACGATACTTCCGAATCAATTTTAACAGAGATCTTACATTACATTCCATCTTCTCCATTGTAGAAAATTAGATATAGATTTATTATTTTCCAACTCTTTGTATGATGTATAATTTTCTATTAAGATGGATATAACTACTGCTATATATATATACTCTGAATCATTTGTATTAATCTGAGATCTGAGATCAACTTTGAACCAACCAAGTTTGATATCAGATAAAAGTCATATGATCAAAAGAAATGTTTGAACATCAAAGAAATTGTATTGACATCGCTATTGACAGAGGTTTGAGGTTTATGATCGAAAGAAAGAATTTAGTTCTGTCTTTTTTTATAATCAACTGATGAATTTAATTTCTTTTAATATATTAATATTTATATATATAATTATATATATGTCTAATATATGTCTAATGTATTTGATAACATAATTGAGTGATTGAAGCTGTGAAATAGTGACTAGCATGGTACAGGTCTTTTGTACAGTAGAATGGAATATTATAAAGACCTTCCTGAGTGTATTTGATGAAGTGGGCGCTGCAAAATATCAATTTAATTCTTTAACTATCGTTTGTTTACTGAGAAACAGAGGGTAAATAGAAAAAAAGAGAAGAAAAGTGAGAAGAAGGGAGAAAGATGGACATACTTGGGAGATAAAAAATTTGAGAAATGAAATGACAATTCAATCCGCATTACATCAGCTGCATATTTATATCACATTTCAATAACTGCCATGTAAGCAATAAACTCACAAATCAAAATCAAATACAATTACAATCAAGTCCAATCAATTCAAGCTCAGTTACAACATTACAATCGAGTCCTGACAATTTATCACCAAAAAAAAAAAAAAAAAAAAAAAAAAAAAAAAAAAAAAAAAAAAAAAAAAAAAAAAAACTCAAAACGTTCCGATCCTTTATTGCACAAGTTTACTCCTTCCTTTGCCTTGGAACCTTGATCACATCGAAATTTGCACAAGTTTACTCCTTCCTTTGCCTTGGAACCTTGATCACATCGAAATCATTCCACAATTTTGATGGCCTGCCTCTGTAAATTGCTAAGCAAGAAATTGGATTGGTAGCGTCAGACTCAATGACAATATTCAAAATTTTCCAGTATCAACAACATTAAGGAAATTGTATGACAAATTTGCTTCAGTAAATCAAAATTATAACTCAGTGATTATAAATTTAGGCTAAATTACAAGCATTAAATTTCCATGATATCTCTATTTATAATGTAGAATTCAGGTTTTACTTCTGTTGTCTGTTATCCGCAACATGCATCAATTAGCTTCATACGTAAATTTCATGCGAAAAATAACAAATCTCCTTATAAAGAAAAATCTGGTTACCTGTAGAAGGGCAGTTTCCATTAGATTTGTTCTTGTGCGTCAGTCACCACCTTGATTCCTTTCCACTGCTTCTGGTATATCACCGCATTGAATCTTAAAGACATTGCCCATAGCCTGCTTGTGAAAAATTGGACAGGAAAGAAATCTATCCAAAGAAAGATGAAGTGGTTAATGAAGGAACAAGAACTTAGGCTGAAGGCATAGTTCAAAAATGATCTAGATATAATTGTTTTCTTGTGGAATTTTAAAAGGCTGTTGGTGTTTTCTAGCTATGGAGAAGATGAAATGAAGAGAGAATATTTGGGTTTCTTTACTTCTTATAAAACTGCAGTATGTACACAAATATATAGATGAGACTACAGCTACTTGGTGACCTTAGAAACAAGATTTAAAATCAAACTTTGTCCCAAAGCTAGAGCAAAACATGATTAAATCAGCATGTTCTAGAAGATATAAAATATAAAATATGGTGAACTGGAGTGTATAGCAACTGTAGCAATTCAACAAGGTACTTCAGGTAATACTAATTTTTTAAGTTAAAATTGACTTCATTTGATAATGAACCAGTGGGGACCAGACAAATGGGCAAAACGCTCCCTCCTAAGTGTTTAAAAAGACAAAAGATTTCTATTGTCGTATCTAACTCTTTGGAGATTTTAATTAATGGTTCCAACAATAATTTTGTTCAGCTCAATGAATATTCGAATTTGGCTACATCATCCCTTGGCCCTTCCTTCAAAATGGTAATACTTAAATTTTCTATCTAGTTGTTTCATAGTCAATTAGCTTGAAATAAAGCTGTCATCAAATGCATAAATTGTTTTAGTCTAGTGCAACCATGAGTTGTCTACTACTAAGGGAGAATCAGATATAAATGAATTATTTCATTTGATACTAATAATTAAGCTTTTAAAAAAAAAATTTGAAAATAAAGATATTAATTATTACTATTAATAAATAAAATAATGAAAACTTAATCTATAAGTTGTATTTTAAACCCAGATTAGCATATCAAGTGAAAAAACTTGGATGTTATTTATTTTACTATTAAAGTTTGATGTTATTTCTTCTAGAATTACTCTTTATTTTTTACTTATTACTTGGTTGGATAGTAAATATTTCCTTTTAGATATATCAAAGTATCAGAACATTATTCATCTTATATTTAATATTATTATTTGCAAATAATAAATAATGTAGTATTCAAAAATAAAACTATAATTTTTTTTTTTTTTTACTTCTCAAAATGCTTTTCATTTAAGATATACAGAATATTTCTTTCACACATGGGTCAAATATAATGGACACTTTGCAATATAGAAAAGAAATGACACTTGCAATTAATTAAAACAATTCTCAATTCTTGGATTCTTTTTCGAATGGGTAGTCTTTTTTTTTTATTATTATTCCTATTGTTTTTAGATATATAAGTCTTTTTTTACTATTATTTTTTGAGGCGGTATTACAACAACCTAGTTGTGGATTATAAAATTAAGGGGAAGTCGATATCATGTTCATATGATAAATAACCTAGCTTTGGGATTTTTTTTTCCCTTAATATTCAAATGCAAAAGAAAGATTATAGTTAAATTGTTTCACATGAAAAATTTCAAGTCTGTGGTTATTCCATTATCCTCAAATGAAAAATTATCTAAATATATGATGATGGAAATATGTTGAAGCATCTCTTTGTAGAGTCTAATTAGTAGCTTGCTTTGTTTGATTGCTATAAGGCCTATATATGTTAATGTCTTTCAGTGAGTTTACTTTCAAGATTCAGGAATTCTCCTAATGAATTTCATCTGGAAGTGGTCAAGAATGTCTTAATATACATCAAAAGTACAACTGATCTTAGTGTTTGGTATTTTAAAATCTCAAATATAAAGCTTGAAGAGCACTTTAGGTTACTTGTTCTTTTTTGGCTCATATCCTTTTTGCTAGAATTCAAAGAACCAAGAAATGCTTGCTTCGTCTAAAGTGAAGCTAGAGTATGTTGCAGTGTTGCTGTTATAAATCAAGCTCTATGACCTGAAAAAAATTTACAAGACCTGATGATGGAGCAAATAGAGCCTATTATCCTAAATTGTGATAACAAATCTGTCATAACCATAGCTCACAACCTAATCTACATGGAAGAACAAAGGTAAAATATCATTCCGTTAGAGAAGGTGAAAGAAATCAAGCTTGTACATTGCAATTCTAAAATTCAGTTAGTAGATGTTGGGATGTGATGTGACATATGCTGCTATGAGCCTTGCACACCAACTTGTGAAAGAGCTTAATTTAGCATGAAACAATGGAGACAAATTTCCTTAATTATAGGAGAGTTGGTAATGACTTAGAGTAAAGATATTTTGCATTTTACTACTGTAAAAGAATGTTTATCAAAGGAAATGGGTTAATGACTTAGAAGTAAAGGATATTTTGCATTTTACTACTGTAAAAGATATGTTTATCAAAGGAAAATGGAAGATAATGTCTGCTTGAAATGTGAGAGAGTTGAGAGAGCTGGGGAATTGTTTTATGCTCGGCAATTATGAAGAAAAGGGAAAAGAAAAAAAAAAAAAAATAGGCCATTGTCTTTTTAATGTTAAATCTGGTTTTTTTCCTTTTGTATAAGTTTTATTCGTCTTTATGTTTTGTTAAGTTATGTTTATGTTTGTTTTTATTTCTCCTCTTCTTCTCCATTCCGTTACTTTATATTCTCCTCTTCTTCTCCATTTCCGTACAGTAGATACCTCGGCAAAAGTTTTGTTTATTCAAGATTTGAAGACATGAGATGCAAGCTTAAATTATCTGAGCAATATCTCAAGACAGTGTTGGTTTAGCTACAATTTCTCTTATTAAGTTACTATCAATCCATACACTCAACATAAGACCTAAACAAAAAAAAAAACATGGATGAAGAACAAGTTCAACTAAAATAGAATATTATTTATTAGACATTTTACTATTAAATCTCCTCCATCTGCAGGTCTTTTTCCATTGCTCCCGCATGATTTTGCGGGTGTTGCTTATGCTCGTTTTTGTGTTAGTCATTTTTTAGTTTCCTATTGTTATAAAGAAAATTGAGAGTGAAAGGTATGAGGTCCAATTTTTTAGTCATTTTTGTCGTTTTTGTGTTAATTTTTACTGTGTAAACAACTCAAATCTAATGTGAATTAAGTTGGAATATAAATTTTTTAAATTTTGAGAGAGCCAAGCCAAATGAATAATTTTTGAATTTTTAATATTAATATATAATAAATTTTTCTTTAGTTAAGGAAAATTTTGATTTTTAAATTTTATTTGTATTCCAACAAAGTTAATAGTGATAAGTGCACATATATCATGAGCAATAAATCCAGATTTAAATCCCTTCCCTCAATACTCAAAAAAAAAAAATTAATGTTTAAATATTACCGATCATCAGTTATTTTAATGATATTGAAATTATGTCAAAAATATGATCTTAAAAGTTGAATTTTTATAGAAATTAAATTTATAAACATAGTACTTGAAGAAAAAAAAGTGTTCAGTGAAGTGAAAATATGAAGGCAATGGAGTCACCGAGAGGAAAACGTGGACCAAAGACACTTCTGAATCAATTCGAATGGAAGATCTTACATTACATTATCAGAAGTGTGCATTGAGAACCATTTGATCCTGAGATTGGGAGTTATGGAGATTAGGGTTGAGAAAAGGAGAAAGAAGAGAAAGAAAAAGGAATATAGAAAGAAGGAGAGAGAAGAAGGAAATAGTGTATTCATTCAGTAACCCTAAAATGTCTCATTACAAGAGTATATATATAATATATGCCCGCTGATGGGGCACACAATCAGATAAAATAAGCCATATCAACTTACATCTCAGCAATTTACTAATAACAATTCAGTATCTCTATAACAACATAACTTTCAATTGTATTTGCAAATTATTACAATGAAACTCCCAAAATTAATACTTATTATAATTATATCCTAACATACATTTCATTCCATTTTCTCCATTATAGTAAATTTCTTTGTATTTAAATTAATGTATAATATTCTATTAAGATGGATATAACTTCTGATGTGTATATACTCTGAATCATTTGTATTAATGGAGATCTGAGATCGACTTTGCACCAGTGAAGTTTGATATCAAATAAAAGCCATATGGTCAAAAGAAATGCTTGAGCATGGCTTTGACAGTAGTTGAAGTTTATGATCAAAAGAAAGAAATTTACTTCTGTCTTCTTCTTATTAATGAACTGATGAATTTAATTCATTATTCATATATATATGAGTCTAATTTATTTGATAACATAATAGAGTGACTGAAGCTGTGAAATTGTGCCTAACATGGTACAGGTCTTCTTGGTGCAGGTGAATTGGAATATAAGGATCTTCCATGGAAGCACTAAATTGACAATTCAAATTCAAATGTAATTACAATCAAGTCCAACCAATTGGATCTCAATTGCAAAATTACAATCAAAGCGGAAACAACTCAAACAGAAAAAAAAAAAAAAAAAAAAACAACTCAAACAGAAAAAAAAAAAAAAAAATCAAAAAATCCTCTGTAATTCTTTATTGCACACCTCTGAATCTTTATTGCACAGGTTTCCATTAGATTAGTTCTTGTGCGTCAGTCACAACCTTGCAGTGCTTCTGGTATATTCTCCAGCTTTGGGCATTCACGTACTTGTATTCTGTTCAAAAGTGGAAAAGACAGAGCATTCCTATATATGCATTTCAGTTCTGGTAAATTAGACAATTTAAGAGCTTGGAGTTTTGAAAATAGGTTCATGTTTTCACTCCCAACTTGAAGCTCACTTAACTTTTCAGCACTTACAATTTCTTCCATATGCTTATTGGATCTCACTATCAAAATTTCCAAATTTGGGATTAGAACAACCCATGTCAGCTCTCGCAGACGGAAGTTACGCGATACATTCACTTCCCGGAGGCTATTGAAGCATACTGGAGCTGAGACCATTGAGTTGCTGATAGTATGATGATGTGTAGAACTCTCACCAAGCATAACATCCACGATCAACTCTTCTAAATCATAAGTATGAAATATGTTCAGGATCTCTAGGTTCCTAAAATTTGCTAATGAAGAAACACTAAGAGATCTTTGAAAGTAGAACCCTCTAAGCTGTAGAGATCGAGTACGGTTGAGTAATGTCTGGGTGCTGGAAAACAACTGAAGCATAGAGGCACTTATTATTGTGAGGCTCAGTTCATTCAAATTTTCAAGACACTGGAGCTCCTCTATTAGCAAATTGCCTTCACCCAATAAGTTATTTACCGACTTTTCATAAGCCATATTACCGGCTTGGAACATTCTCAAAATTTGCAGTGACGATGACAGACTAGATATGACTCCCCTTGGAATACTTTCTAGGAAGCCATTACGCTCCAAGTTCAAATATTTCAGCTTTTTCAATAACTTCAACTCAACTGGTAACCGCGTTATACGTGTACTACGCAGATTAAGATATTGCAATGAGGTTAATTTTGAAATTCCCTCAGGCAATTTCTTTATACATGTCTCTGATAGATCAAGAACGGTGAGCGAATTCATATACCGGAAGAAATCACCACTGATCTCCTCCAAAAACCTATTATGACCAAGGAATAAAGTCGAAAGATCCCCGCATCTAGGAACTTCTGGGATACTTTTAAAGGAGTTTGCCATCAACGACATTCTTTTTGATCCTTCCCATTCTTTGACCGCTGGAAATTTTGTTAATTGGGCACCCACTTGCACGAAAAATTTCTCCTTGTCTTTTTCATATTTACATGCTATAATTGGCATCCCACTTGCACGAAAATTCTCCTTGTCTTTTCATATTTACATGCTACCCACCACAAAAGCCATGTTCACGAATTCTACATTCATGCATTTTTACATATTTTCCATTTTCTTCCATAGGCATACTTTCGAAACAAGTGAACCAATTTATAGTATATCCTTCATTTCGAGCGCTAAAAATTCTCAGAAAATCCAATAATGTACCAAATTCATCCTTGAGAATTTGAAGTTCCTTCGGGGACAAAGGTCCAACCGTTATTAAAGTATAAGAAGCAAGATTTAACTTTATCACCGTGTAGACTATCATAACTAAACTTCAAAATTGCAAATACTTCAACCTCCATATCTTGAAACACCTCATCTTCCATTCCGTGTAAACTTGAGGCATAACTTCTTAAGACCTCGAGAGCATGTTCCCATTCTTGGAGTGCATCTTTGCCAGCCATGGCATGGCCAATTGTGATGAGTGCCAGTGGCAATCCACCACACTCCTTAACAACATCTTTAGCTAGAGGAAGGATATTCGGAGGAATATCCCCAACTTTCTCCTGGAATAAGGTCCAAGATTCTCTTGGATTCAGAGGCTCCACTTTCATAATTTTTTGGGCTTCCATTTGCCTGCATATTTTGTAGAAACGCGTCGTGAATACTATCATTGACCCATGTTTTTTTTGTAGAGGAACCCCTATGTCTCTGAGATCAACCTTCTGCCATAAGTCATCCAAAAATAATACAAACTTCGTTCTGCTTAACCTATAAAATATATCTTCTGCTTTCTCACTGGGGATTTTTTTTGCCCACGTCTCATCAAAAATGCCAACCTTTTTCCAAATATCTTCTTGAATCTTGTCAGGTTTCAAATCTCTTGACACCACCACCCAAATCACAACATCAAAATTATGGGTTGAACTAGCAAACTTGTTGTTGATTTGGTTTAAGAGAGTAGTTTTGCCAACACCCCCCATACCATATATGCCAACAGTGCCCAGTTCATCTTGTGTGAACCATCTCCAAATATCACCTAACATCGCTTCCATGCCACATGTTGGTTTTTCATTCCTTTCAACTACTGGGTCTGGAAGTACCCTCTCAACCATCTCTTTGAATTCTCCTTTGGCTCTACTGGGTCTGGAAGTACCCTCTCAACCATCTCTTTGAATTCTCCTTTGGCTCTTAGAGCAACTGCTTCTTCTAACACTTTGGCCACCTTTCGCACAAATTCGTAGCTGGAAAAGTCTTTACGACGCAATTTCTCAATTTCTTGTGGACCATTTCTTATCATCTCCTCCGCCACAGTCACTATTGGTTCCAGCATCGAGAGCCAAAGTTGAACTTGTGGCTTCCGCTTCTTTTGTGGCCCTTCCTCCAAGGTGATCCTCATCATCACTCCCTCCTTTAAAGCCTTTAATTCTTTCATTATAGACTCCAAATCTCGAAGATCAACTTGAAGCTGACTTATGTCTGACTTATGTAATCTGGTTCTGCAGGTATTCTTCTAACCAATTCTTTGAAAACTCCTTTGGCCTTTACAAAGGCTACATCTTCTAATTTTTTGGCGACCCTTCCGACAAACCTGTAGTTGGAAATATCTCCATGACTCAATTTTTGAATTTCTGGTGGACCATCTTCCTCGTATCAGGCTCATCCGCTTAGGTTATGGTCGATTCGCCATTGAAAGCTCACATGGTCGATTCTGCCATTGAAAGCCACAAGCCAACTTGTTGCAGCAGCATCTTTTCCGGCCCTTCCTCCAACGCTACATTCTGCCTGACATCCTCCTTTAATGCGTATAATTCTTGTCTTGAAGTCTTCAATTTTTCAAGATTAGCTTGAAGTTGATTTGCTGGTTCTGCCATAACCACTTCTTTGAAATCTCCTTCATTGATCAAAGTAGTCGCTTCTTTTAGAATTCTTGCAACACTTCTCCCAAATGTGTAGCTGGATTTGCAGTTCTTGGAGCAACAGCCTGCTATACATAACTTCTGTCTTTCTTGTATAGCCTTGCTTGGCAGCTGATTAATTTTAACTATGGCAGCATCCACCCTCGAGAGCCATCCTCCAACTCGATCTATCTGCGCCATTTCTGGTCTTTCCTGATTGACGATCAACCGCATCACATCAGTCCTCAGGTCTCTTAATTGATCTCTTGTAGTCTCCAATGCCTCAAGATTATCTTCAAGCTTGTATATATACCGCCAATGTCCAGCAATGCAATCCAGCAATGCAATCCCCAGCAGCGGCTCAGCCAAAGCATCACCGGCTTTGGAATCAAAGACATTGCCCATAGCCTGCTTGTGAAAAATTGGACAGGAAAGAAATCTATCCAAAGAAAGATGAAGGGATTAATGGAGGAACAAGAACTTAGGCTGAAGGCATAGTTCAAAATGATGTATATACAAATACAATTGTTTACCTGTGGAAGTTTAAAAATACAATTGTTTACCTGTGGAAGTTTAAAACGCTGTTGGTGTTTTCCAGCTATGGAGAAGATGAAATGAAGAGAGAATACTTGGGTTTCTTTACTTCTTATAAAACTGCAGTACGTACACAAATATATAGACGAGACCACGGCTACTTAGGGACCTTAGAAACAAGATTTAAAATCAAGCTTGGTCCCAAAGCTAATGCAAAACATGATCATATCTCCCTCTTCGGAGATTTTAATGGTTCCAACGGAGGCCATAGATAGTGTACACGAAGAAAAATTTTATTAAGGAAGCATCCAATTAATTTAAGAAAGAGGAAGCATAAATATTTATAGGCTAAGCGAACCAATGAGATGAACCCATTTGGCGATCTTTATTTTATAATAATGCAAAGAAATTTTATCCCAGGGATGCCACATTTTTCAAAGGAAACAACAAAAAGCTAGAAAAAGACATAAAGCAAAAAGTTGATAATTATTACAACATGTAGAAAAAGCCAAAAGATACCAAGGACCACGATGGACACGAACGTGTCATGCTTCACAGCTGGCGATTATTGTTCATACCAATCTTCATCTGGGTCATCTTCTATTTAATATTATTATTTGTAAATAATAAATAATGTAGTATTGAAAAATAAAACTATAAATTTTTTTTTTTTTATTTTACTTCTCAAATGCTTTTCATTTAAGATATACAGAATATTTCTTTCACACATGGGTCAAACATAATGGACACTTTGCAATATTGAAAAGAAATGACACTTGCAATTTAAAACAATTCTCAATTATTGGATTCTGTTTCAAATGGGTAGTCTTTTTTTTTATTATTATTATTCCTATTGTTTTTAGATATATAAGTCTTTTTTTTTACTATTATTTTTGGAGGTGTTATTACAACAACCTACTTGTGGATTATAAAATTAAGGGGAAGTCGATATCATGTTTATATAATAAATAACCTAGCTTTGGGATTTTTTTTTCCCTTAATATTCAAATTTCACGAATATAATCTAGTGCAAAAGAAAGATTATAGTTAAATTGTTTCACATGAAAAATTTCAAGTATGTGGTTATTCCATTATCCTCAAATGAAAAATTATCTAAATATATGATGATGGAAAATATGTTGAAGCATCTCTTTGTAAAGTCTAATTAGTAGCTTGCTTTGTTTGATTGCTATAAGGCCTATTATATGTTGATGTCTTTCAGTGAGTCTACTTTCAAGATTCAGGAATTCTCCTAATGAATTTCGTCTGGAAGTGGTAAGTACTGATCTTAGTGTTTAAAATCTCAAATATAAAGCTTGAAGAGCACTTTAGGTTACTTGTTCTTTTTTGGCTTATATCTTGTTTGCTAGAATTCAAAGAACCAAGAAATGCTTGCTTCGTCTAAAGTGAAGCCAGAGTATGTTGCAGTGTTGCTGTTATAAATCAAGCTCTATGACCTGAAAAAAATTTACAAGACCTGATGATGGAGCAAATAGAGCCTATTATCCTAAATTGTGATAACAAATCTGTCATAACCATAGCTCACAACCTAATCTACATGGAAGAACAAAGGGCATCAAGGTAAAATATCATTCCGTTAGAGAAGCTGAAAGAAATCAAGCTTGTACATTGCAATTCTAAAATTCAGTTAGTAGATGTTGGGATGTGATGTGACATATGCTGCTATGAGCCTTGTACACCAACTTGTGAAAGAGCTTAATTTAGCATGAACAATGGAGACAAATTTCCTTAATTATAGGAGAGTTGGTAATGACTTAGAGTAAAGATATTTTGCATTTTGCTAATGTAAAAGAATGTTTACCAAAGGAAATGGAAGATAATGTGTGAAAGAGAGAGTTGAGAGAGGGGTTGTAATGACCATTGACAGTAATAAGATATTTTTGTCATTTTGCTAAACTGTAAAAGACTGTTTACCCAAATGAGAGAGAGGAAAGATATGTGTGAAAGAGAAGAGGTTGAGAGCGGGGCAATTTTTATGCCCGGCAATATGAAAAAAGGAAAAGAACAAAAAAAAAAAAGCCAATTGTCCTTTTAAAGTAAATCTGTTTTTTCCTTTGTAAAAGTTATGCTGTCCTTTAGTTGTTAAGATTATGTTTTTATATTCCCTTCTTCTTCTCCATTTCGAACAGTAAGACTACCTCGACAAAAGTTTTGTTTATTTCAAGATTTGAAAGACAAAGTTTTGTTTATTCAAGATTTGAAGACACAAGATGCAAGCTTTAAGTATCTGAGCAAAATCTCAAGACAGTGTTGGTTTAGCTACCGTTTCTCTTATTAAGTTACTATCAATCCATAGACTCAACATAAGAGCTAAACAAAAAAAAAAACGTGGATGAAGAACAAGATCAACTAAAATAGAATATTATTTATTAGACATTTTACTATTAAAGTTTGACCCTTAAAATTACTCTTTGTATTAATTTTACATTTGCCAATCAGGTATGATCGAATAAGATTTTTCATTTCTGATAAGAGTAAAGAGACTGAAATATTCCAATAGCGAACTTCTGTGCAGATTAACTTTTCTAGTTTGTTGTTTCAGTTCCTGAAGGATTGCAAATTTTTGAATCTCCTCCATCTGCAGGTCTTTTTCCATGGCTCCTTCATGACGCTGCGGGTGTTGCTTATGCTCATTTTTGTGTTGGTCATTTTTTAGTTTCCTATTGTTTTTTTTAAAAAAAAAATTGAGAGTGAAAGGTATGAGGTCCAATTTTTTAGTCATTTTTGTCGTTTTTGTGTTATTTTTTTGGTTTGTAAACAACTCAAATCTAACGTTTTTAGTTTGTTTGTACGAAAATATATAAAAAGGATAAAAAAGCCACTTGCTGTTAAAAACAATTTTAGAAGTGAAGTTCTCTTTCTCTTTTGCGTTGGGTGTTAGGTGGAGTGGAAGTTAATGACAAAATAGAATTATTTCCTTTTACAATAAAATAAAAGCACTTTCGTCCTAATTTTCCAAAAAATAAGAGAAGAAAAAAAAAATTACACACAATCATTAGGAGAGAGAGATAGTTAAAGTGGAGCTAGAGTTGAATTAAGTTGGAATATAAATTTTTTAAATTTTGAGAGAGCCAAGCCAGAATTAAGTTGGAATATAAATTTTTTAAATTTTGAGAGAGCCAAGCCAAATGAATAATTTTTGAATTTTTAATATTAATATATAATAAATTTTTCTTTAGTTAAGGAAAATTTTGATTTTTAAATTTTATTTGTATTCCAACAAAGTTAATAGTGATAAGTGCACATATATCATGAGCAATAAATCCAGATTTAAATCCCTTCCCTCAATACTCAAAAAAAAAAAATTAATGTTTAAATATTACCGATCATCAGTTATTTTAATGATATTGAAATTATGTCAAAAATATGATCTTAAAAGTTGAATTTTTATAGAAATTAAATTTATAAACATAGTACTTGAAGAAAAAAAAGTGTTCAGTGAAGTGAAAATATGAAGGCAATGGAGTCACCGAGAGGAAAACGTGGACCAAAGACACTTCTGAATCAATTCGAATGGAAGATCTTACATTACATTATCAGAAGTGTGCATTGAGAACCATTTGATCCTGAGATTGGGAGTTATGGAGATTAGGGTTGAGAAAAGGAGAAAGAAGAGAAAGAAAAAGGAATATAGAAAGAAGGAGAGAGAAGAAGGAAATAGTGTATTCATTCAGTAACCCTAAAATGTCTCATTACAAGAGTATATATATAATATATGCCCGCTGATGGGGCACACAATCAGATAAAATAAGCCATATCAACTTACATCTCAGCAATTTACTAATAACAATTCAGTATCTCTATAACAACATAACTTTCAATTGTATTTGCAAATTATTACAATGAAACTCCCAAAATTAATACTTATTATAATTATATCCTAACATACATTTCATTCCATTTTCTCCATTATAGTAAATTTCTTTGTATTTAAATTAATGTATAATATTAAAAACTGATATGAAGCTATATGGAAAATGTTTTATAAACTGGAATATATTGGACTTGGAAGCACATCATTCTTATTTACTGCTGAATATTTATAGAGAAAAAGAGACATCACTACTTAGCAACTACCGCCAATAATCCGGAAAAAAAACTGAACTAATCTCCTATAATTAAGCAACAAGTAAATCATGCTTAAAGATTTATTCAAAAAGCAAAAAAACTGTAAAGACTTGGTCAAATACTAAAGGCAATTACTAACAGATCAAAAGAAACAAATTTACTGCTGTCTTTTTCTTTATTAATGAACTAATGAATTTAATTCATTATTCATATATATATGAGTCTAATTTATTTGATAACATAATAGAGTGACTGAAGCTGTGAAATTGTGCCTAACATGGTACAGGTCTTTTTGGTACAGTAGAATGGAATATAAGGATCTTCCATGGAAGCACTAAATTGACAAATCAAATTCAAATGTAATTACAATCAAGTCCAACCAATTGTATCTCAATTGCAGAATTACAATCAAAGCGGAAACAACTCAAACAGAAAAAAAAAAAAAAGAAAAAAATCAAAATCCTCTGAATCTTTATTGCACAGGTTTCCATTAGATTAGTTCTTATGCGTCAGTCACAACCTTGCAGTGCTTCTGGTATATTCTCCAGCTTTGGGCATCCACGTACTTGTATTTCGTTCAAAAGTGGAAAAGACAGAGCATTCCTATATATGCATTTCAGTTCTGGTAAATTAGACAATTCAAGAACTTGGAGTTTTGAAAATAGGTTCATATTTTCACTTCCAACTTGAACCTCACTTAACTTTTCAGCGCTTACAATTTCTTCCATATGCTCATTGGATCTCACTATCAAAATTTCCAAATTTGGGATCAGAACAACCCATGTCAGCTCTCACAGTCTGAAGTTTTGCAATACAATCACTTCCCGGAGGCTATTGAAGCATACTGGAGCTGAGACCATTGAGTTGCTGATAGTATGATGATGTGTAGAACTCTCACCAAGCATAACATCCACGATCAACTCTTCTAAATTAGGATTACCAAATATGTTCAGGATCTCTAGGTGCCTCAATTTTGCTAATGAAGAAACACTAAGAGATCGATGAACTTGGAACCATGCAAGCTGTAGAGATCGAGTACAGTTGAGTAATGTCTGGGTGCTGGAAAACAACTGAAGCGCAGAAACACTTCTTATTGTGAGGCTTAATTCATTCAAATTTTCCAGAGATTGTAGCTTCTTTATTAGCAAATTGCCTTCACCCAATACGTTATCTGCCAAGTTTTCATTATACAAATAACTACCAGCTTGGTACATTTTCAAAGTTTGCAATGATGATGACAAACTAGATATGACTTCCATTGGAATACTTTCTAGGAAGCCATTACACTCCAAGTTCAAATATTTCAGCTTTTGCAATAACTTCAACTCAACTGGTAACCGCGTTATATGTGTACTACGCAGATTAAGATATTGCAATGAGGTTAATTTTGAAATTCCCTCAGGCAATTTCTTTATACGTGTCTCTGATAGATCAAGAACGGTGAGCGAATTCATATACTGGAAGAAATCACCACTGATCTCCGTCAAAAACCTATTATGACCAAGGAATAAAGTCGAAAGATCCCCGCATCTAGGAACTTCTTGGATACTTTTAAAGGAGTTTGCCATCAACAAAGGAGTTGCCATCAACGGACTTCCTTTTTGATCCCTTCCCATTCTTTGACCTACTTGGAAATTTGTTAATTGGCCACCCACTTGCACGAAAAATCTTCTCCTTGTTCTCCTTGTCTTTTTCATATTTACATGCTATCCACAAAGCCATGTCACGAATCACATCATGCATTTTTACATATTTTCCATTTTCTTCCAATAGGCATACTCGAACAAGTGAACCAATTATAGTATATCCTTCATTTCGAGCACAGAAATTCTCAGAAATCCAATGATGTACCAAATCATCGTTGAGAATTTTGAAGTCCTCCGGGAATAAGGAACAGTATAAGAAGCAAGATTTAACTTTATCACTGTGTAGGCTATCATAACTAAACTTCAAAATTGCAAATACGTCAACCTCCATATATATCTTGAAACACCTCATCTTCCATTCCTTGTAAACTTGAGGCATAACTTCTTAAGACCTCGAGAGCATGTTCCCATTCTTGGAGTGCATCTTTGCCGGCCATGGCATGGCCAATTGTGATGAGTGCCATTGTGAGTGAGTGCCAGTGGCAGTCCACCCACTCCTCAACACATCTTCCAGCTAGAGGAAAGGATATTCCGAGGGAATAAATATCCCCAACTTTCTCCTGGAATAAGGTCCAAGATTCTCTTTGATTCAGAGGCTTCACTTTCATCATTTTTTCGGCTTCCATTTGCCTGCATATTTTGTAGGAACGCGTTGTGAATACTATCCTTGACCCATGTGGTCTTTTTGGCAGAGGAACACCTATGCCTTTGAGATCAACCTTCTGCCATACGTCATCCAAAAATAACACAAACTTCTTTCTGCTCAATATATAAAATATATCCTCTGCTTTCTCACTGGGGTTTTTTTTTGCCCACATCTCATCAAAAAAGCCAATCTTTTTCCAAATATCTTCTTGAATCTTGTCAGGTTTCAAATCTTCTTGAATCTTGTCAGGTTTCAAATCTTTTGACACCACCACCCAAATCACAACATCAAAATTATGGGTTGTACTAGCAAACCTGTTGTTGATTTGGTTTAAGAGAGTAGTTTTGCCAACAGCCCCCATACCATATATGCCAACAGTGCCCAGTTGTTCATCTTGTGTGAGCCATCTCCAAACATCATCTAACATCGTTTCCATGCCAACTGTTGGTTTATCATTTCTTTCAACTACTGGTTCTGGAAGTACCCTCTCAACCACTTCTTTGAATTCTCCTTTATCTCTTAGAGCAACTGCATCTTCTAAAATGTTAGCCACCTTCCGTACAAATTCATAGTTGGAAAGGTCTTTACAACGCAATTTCTCAATTTCTTGTGGACCATCTCTTACCAGCTCCTCTACTCCAGTCACTATTGATGGGAGCGGGTATAAAGCGAGCGGGTATAAAGCGGAAACAACCCTTATCGAAACCATATGAGGCAAACTAAAAACATTATCGAACAAATCAATAAACTGACCTCTTGAAGCACAAAATCGCTCACCGGTCTTCTTTCCAGATATCTTGGAGTCACCCACGATCTTCTGCAGTAATCCCTAACTATCTCTGTTTTGGAACTCTCTGAGTGGCAGAGAATAGAATAACGTGCGTATCTCTTTATTCTTAGCGTTTTGCAATCTTATATTAAAAAACCTCTCTTCGATAGGAAGATATTTTTTTAATATAAAATAAATTAAATAAAAAATTATTTAATTAAAATATTATCAAATTATTTTAAAACTAAATAATTTATCTATTATTTAATACCACCTTATAACTTCCAAATAATTAGGCACTACAGGGACCGCAGAGAATTAAAATAAATTCAGGCTACTAATTATAATAAGAACCTATGTAGAACAACATATTCTTATTATAATTAATCATGAATTATTCCACTAAAAACTCATGACTGAACTCTTATTTATTTTACAATTCCATTCCACAACATAATAAAATAATGTTCCCCATGTTAAGATTACAGATGCTGTCATTTAAATAACAGATGCTGTCATTTAAATAACTTACTGACAATTTATTTAAATCACAATATAACTTTAAGATTGTCGCTCAACTTATTTCATGTGTATTCAATATCCACCTATAGGATTTACACTATGAAACCTTATAAACTTACTTAAAGTGCATCATCAATCTCTAAACCGAGACATGGATTCTATCATTAATTAATATTTCACAAACACAATATATCTTTGCCCAATTCACCGAGAACATTATTCCAATAATGAAACTCACCCTTTAATGAATCAAAGCACAAGACAATCAATGTTTGCTCATATTAAAATAAATCAAGATTAAGAACGATAAACATTATTTCTAATGTCCTAGAGAAGATAGATAAATACATTCTTTGAATCAATTTGCATCCAAACCTCAGATTCATTGGAATCCGGTATCAGAATTGGTTGTGTATTTCTTTTTTAAGCTATGTTTCCATCTATAACAATTTATTTAATGAAATTTCATTTCCAATTAAATACAAAGAAATAATCGTCAATAGAAAATCATTCATAGCTATACTATTACATATGCATGGTTAATAGTATATCTCTATCAATTTCCCACTTAGACTCATAACCATGCATCAATAACTTTAACTCCCATTCCTTCTACATGACTGTTAAAAGCCTTTGCTGGTAAGCTTTTTGTAAAAGGATCTGCCAGGTTGTTTTCCGATGCAATCTTTGTCACTACCACATCTCCCCTTTGAACCATGTCTCGTATCAAATGATACTTCCTCTCAATGTGTTTTGCCCTTTTATGGCTCCGTGGCTCCTTGGCTCCTTCGAGTTTGCAACTGCTCCACTAATTATCACAATAAAGTGTAATAGGCAATTGCACTGAAGAAACTAACGCCTAGATCGGCAATTGCACTGAAGAAACTACGCCTAGATCCATAAGGAAGTTCCTAAGCCATACAGCTTCCTTTGCAGCTTCAGAAGCTGCCACATATTCAACTTCCATGGTGGAGTCAGCAACACAAGTTTGCTTAATACTCCTCCAACTTATGGCTCCACCTCCCAAGACAAAAGCATTACCAGAGGTTGACTTCCGAGAGTCCTTATCAGTCTGAAAATCCGAATCTGTATACCCAATGGGTACAAGATCGTCAGATTGATAAACTAACCTATAATCCCTAGTCCTTTTCAAGTACTTGATAATATGCTTGACTGCAGTCCAGTGTTCTCGCCCAGGATTAGATTGAAATCTGCTAACCATGCCAACAGCAAAACAGATATCAGGTCTGTATCAGGTCCTTTGGTACACAAACATTGCATACGATAAAGGCTTCAAATGCAGAACAATATGGAACTGCCTTCATTGTTCTTATCTCCTCAGGTGTCTTTAGACATTATTGGTCCTTAGATAGAGTGATTCCATGTCTGAAGGGAAGAAAACCCTTCTTGGAATCCTGCATGCTGAAACGAGCAAGAATGGTATCAATAAAAAGTGCTTGAGATAAGCCAATCATCCTTTTCTTGCGATCTCGCATAAGCTTAATCCTAAGAATATGAGCAGCCTCTCCCAAATCCTTCATATCAAAACGTTGGGACAGCCAATCTTTGACAGAATTCAACATATTCAACATACCTACACAATTCCCTATAAGCAGAATATCATCCACATATAGTACCAGAAAAACAACCTTACTACCATTCCATTTCTTATACACTCAAGACTCATCATGACACTGATCAAAGCCAAAACTTTTAATCACTTGGTCAAAACAAGTATTCCATGACCTAGATGCTAGTTTAAACCCATAAATGGACCTATTCAATTTGCAAAGCAAATTTTCTTGTCCATTGTTTATGAAACCTTCTGGTTGCTTCATATAGATACATTCATCAAGACTTCCATTTAGGAAAGCTGTCTTGACATCCATTTGCCAAATCTCATAATCATATAATCATAATGAGCTGCATATGGATTAGAAGAGTTCTAATAGCCTTTAGCATGGGCTAACCGGCGAAAAAATTTCCTCAATAATCGTAATCCCTTCTTTCTGAGTAAACCGCTTTCGCATAAGCCTTGCCTTATAAGTTTTGCACTTTAACCCGTCTATACCCGCTCTTTTAGCTTATAGATCCAATTGCATCGCGATGGGTTTACCGCCTTCAGGTGGTTCTACAAGTTCCCAGACTTGATTAGAGTACATGGACTCCATGCTCAGAATTTTCATTAGCTAACAAGCACTTATCAGCATCTTTATCTTGGTAAGTGCTTCATCGTAACAGACAGGTTTGCAATATTCACTTCTTCAAGGGATTCTATCAAAAGCTTCTCCCCAGTGTTATATCGAACCGGTGGTCATCTAATTCTCCACTACGACGGAAGTACTACAGGTTCTGCAATTCACACCTTCATCTTGCCTTGTGGCTGTAAAAGCCGGGCAAGTCCCCATGACTGGTTGGGGACTACATCTTGATCATGTTCTGGAACTTCAACATGTCTGTTCATCACCAGGCAGGCAATGAAGTGTTAGAAGCCCCCACATTGTGCTCCCTGTATATTTGGGATCAACAAGTGCCACTCATCAGTTTCTACATAACTCCCACTACTTTCAGGTGGTAGTGAAATGTTAGGTACTGAATATTTCAGGCTGATGTTGATTTAACTGGTCGACTAAACATTTCTTCACTACGACTAAGGCAATGGAATGTCAGCTCACAACCATTGAATTGGGTTTAGGTTGTTTGTTCTATTGGAAGGTTCTAGTTGGTATATTTCTCCTCTCAAATTACATACAAGGCTAATTGACTTTTGGGATTATGGTTTTTAATATAGTCTTCCTGCAAGATAATGTGCATTGGTGCTAACATGACCGTTTTGTCTTGAGAACTATAAAATAAAACACCTTTCCGTTCCTCTAGGAATATCCAATAAAGAAGCATATGTCTGTTTTTGATTCCAACTAATCTGCTTTCACCTTTTTAGGCACATGGGCTGGGACAACCCCGCACAATCCGAACTATTGTTCTTAGACTTGGCTTTCGCCCAGTCCCACAGTTCGTAGGAGTTTTAGGTACCTGACTTAGATGAACCAATTAGGAATATATGCTGCTGTTTCTATGGCATACCCCCAAAAACGAAAATGGGCAAATCTGAAAATAACTCATCATTGATCTACCATTTCATAAGCGTCCTAATTTCTCTTTCTGTACAACCATTCTGTTGTGGCATACCAGGTGCAGACAACTGTGAAGTAATTCCTTGTTCTGATAAATAAGTAATGAATTCCCTAGAGAGGTATTCGCCACCACGGTCAGATCGTAACGACTTGATATATTTTCCATGTCGTTTCTCCGTTTTTGCCTTGAACTCTTTGACTTTCTCAAAGCATTTAGACTTACGGCGCAACAGGTAAATGTATCCATATTTTGAGAAATCATCTGTGAAAGTCACAAAATACTCAAAACCACTCCTAGCTTGGACAAAAGTCACAAAATACTCAAAACCACCCCTAGCTTGGACACTCATTGGACCACACAAATCAGAATGAATTAATTCAAGTACATCATTAGTTCCATTACCCTTTATAGGAAAAGGCCTCTTAGTCATTTTACCTTCTAAACAAGATTCACAGGTTGGCAGTGCCTCCACTTTCAATGAACTCAATGGTCCATCCTTGACCAACCTAGAAATCCTATCTACATTAATATGACCCAGCCTTAAATGCCACAAATAGGTATGACTAAATTCAATAGGACGTTTTCTTTTCAATGGAACAATGACATCAAAGTTATTAACTTTAGAATTAGGAATTTGCAGTTCAGGTGAAACTTTGAGAATAAAAAGATCATCAATCATTGCAATCATTGGAGCCAGAACATATCATTTGTTTTCTAAAATTAATAATGACAGAATCATCAAATAAAATTCCATAAAAACAAAACTGAATAATCCATTCTTCTGGCTCAAACTAGAAAAACTGAAATTAAATTCCTTCTAATTGAAGGGTAAATATAAAACATCCTATCAAAAACAATGTTCTATGTATTCTCAAAAATTCAAGAAAACATTTCCTATAGCTAGAAGCTGCAACTTCTGTGTCATCTTCCAGAAAAATGCTTACAGTCTAAAAATGCTTACATCTCCTTTATTTAGCTGACGAGTTACCTGAAACTGCTGCAATGAATTGCAGACATGATTAGTGGCTCCAGAATCTACACATCATTGGAGTGTAGTCAACACCGCTAAGCAAGTTTCAACTATCAGCATATAAAACAGAGACATACCTTGCTTCTTCTTGGCTAACCATGTTGGAAATTGTGACTTCCAGTGCCTAGGTTGCTTGCAATGAAAACACTTACCCTTAGGCTTTTTCACAGCAACACTTACACTAGTAGATGCAGCACTTGTTTTAGGCTTAGCCTTGTGAGCATTTTTCTTCTTCTTACCCTTGTTCTGGGCA